AGGATTATTGTTTGTTACATATTTTTTTTAGGCAGTGGTAGCCCAGTGGTAACGCGCTCGCTTGGGAAACCGAGTGAAGCGGATTCAAATCCCGGGTCTCGCACCTCTGATATTTTCACGTGAAGGATTCCTTTCGGTGAAGGAAAATATCGTGAGGAAACTTGCATTTCTAACACTCCACTGCTGCCACTAGCTCTGTTTTCATGATTGATCACATACTTATTGCTATAGCATACCTAGTACTGTAATAACCAAGTAGATATTATACCTAGGTACCAATTTAAAAGCAAATGACCAAGACTGGGCATTTAATTATTTAAGTTTCCCGTAATTACTTACTTTACTTAAACACAATTGATGCATATCTATTAACCCATTTTCAGCTTGTAGATTCAACTCGTAGTTGGTACTTGCAGCATTTAATGGGACATTCGTTGGAAGTAATTGCCTTTAACGTATATATTTCATGACATATAGAACAGCTTATTGATGAATGTGAATGGAGCAGTTATATCGCGTGTATATATAAAATAGTTTTTACTCGCGGCTTGGCAACGACCCCGGACCTAACCTATCCATAGTGTATTGGGTGCCTATGTTTTGCCTAAACAAAAATGTCCAAAAATAGATTTTTGGTATAATTATTCTTTGTTATATTCGTTTATAAGTATAAAGTTTTGATTGCCATAAATATTACCCCTTTTTTAATGTTGGGACATGCATTTACGCTTACCACCTGTGGATATGCAGGTGATTATGTGGGACTCACCGGCTAGAAAAGGCAGTACTTCCTACTATACAAATAGTACCTAGCCTATAGTTGTTCAGAATAGAATTGGTAATCATAAATAATTACAAAATATACCATAATAATGAAAAGCGTAATCTTTATTTAGTAATAGAAAAACAAATCTTATTGAAATTCGTTCATCTATTCTGACGAATATTCGGATTTCTTTGATTCTAACAAAAGAACGTAATATTAAAAGTAACATTGCTATGCATACAAGTATAACATAGCAAGACAGAAATATGTCGGGTTAGGTACTATTATAAATGTAAAATGTGTATGTTTGTTCGTTGCTTCCTCACGTCTAAACGTCTGGAAAAACTTGTATGAGATCTAGTACGCAGTTAGGCTTGGAGAAAAATATAATAGGTTATTTTTAAACAACTAGGGATATAATTATTACGAGTTCAGCCAGGTGCGAAGCCAAGAAACGAACAGGGAGGTGGCCCACCTCGGTGGGCGGTGTACCATGCGGGTTGCTCCTGGTACTTCTTTGATAGCAGAGTGGACAGTGGAGCAACCCCATGGTTGTTATGGTCTGCTTCGGCAGACCTGCCGTCGGAGTATCGTAGTTGAATGCGTAAGCGATCCGGCGACGCCCCATTAAGACGGGGGAAGGTTTTGTTGGGTTTTAGTGGGTAGTACTGGCTTTTCTAGCCGGTGAGTCCCACATAACCACCTGTATGTCTGCAAGTGGTATGCGTAAATGTATTTCCTAACATAAAAAAATGGATATAATTATTATTATTAGCGAAGTGAGGGTAAGTCGTAACTCGCATTTACGTAATAAATGGATACATCGTTAACGCTGTGCAATATTGTAAAAGACTTAAGTTTTGGGTACCTAATAGAAATCGATTGTTTTGAAGTAATTTATACATTTCATCCGTGCACATTTACCATAGCATCATTACATATTTTTATTATTATACTAGCATTGCCCGCGGTTCCGCCCGCGTTCAGATGACCAAAAAGTAAATTCTTAGGTTTACTCATAAATTGCAGTTTTTGTGATTTTTCTCAGAAATGAGATATTTTACCGCGGTAAAAAGTATCCTTTATGTTGACCCGGATAACCATCTATCACCATACCAAATTTCATCAAAATCCATCCAGTAGTTTTTCTGTGATGCGGTAACAGACAGACAGACAGACAAAAATTCTACAAACTATAGATTCGGGCTCTGTATCCGATAATAATGTTTATTTCAATAAGGTTTTCCCAAAAATATTTAATATACAGATTCGGCTTAGTTACAATTTTATTATATGTATAGACTATATGTATTATTGTATATAAAGAATGTATTGTACATTTGTATAAAATAACCTCATTTTTATCCGTCTGCAAACAAAACACAGTATATTCATGATAACTCATGAAGTATCCTGATAACGATTAGCATGAAATATATATGTGTTAATATGTATATTGTAAAAAAAACCTGTTGTTATAAATACATTGTTTTAATATTCATTACATTCAAAGTGATAAAGTCAATGTTATCGTCACTAAAAAAAACTTTTTAACAAAAAAATAAAAACCGACTTCAAACAAAAGCACTAAAAAGTAAAAAATAACTGATTGGTAGTTTTCATTTACTATACATACCTAATCAAATATTTTCGAAGTCGGTGTGCTTTGCTGTGTATGGGCTGGCACCGATTTTGAAAATATTTGATTAGGTATGTATTTAACAGGTAGGCTTTAATTACTTAGCCAAAGCACACCGACTTCGAAAATATTTGATTAGGTATGTATAGTAAATGAAAACTACCAATCAGTTATTTTTTACTTTTTAGTGCTTTTTTTGAAGTCGGTTTTTATTTTTTTGTTAAAAAGTTTTTATTTTACCCTTTTGTAGACCTTAGTGTAGACAGTAGTAGCAAAGTAAGAATTTTAACGTGTTAGACTTGTCAAATCAAACAAAATAAGCCCAAACTCAAAGTATCTACTATTAGTCGTTGAAGAGTTCCACCTAACCACCTTCTCGCCTTACCATCAGATCAGGTCAACAATACCGAACCACTGTACTATCAACGAAAATAGAAACACTTGCAAAGTTTCAAGTCAATATGACAATTAGAAGTAGGTTAAATTCATCATTCGCTATTTTTCCACCCTTAGGGGTGGTATATTTTTTTTTTTGAACAAACAGAACAAAAGAAAAATTGTCCAAATCGGTTATTAAATGACGAAGTTCTGAGGTAACAAACATAAAAAAATACAGTCGAATTGAGAACCTCCTTCTTTTTGAAGTCGGTTGAAAATGGTAAATATCAAACTATATTTAGTTTCTAGCGACTCACCCTCGCGTTGCTCGGCTTCGTCCTTAGGTGATTCTTTAAATTACCACAACTTTTTTAGTTACGAGCCGATCGAAATAAAACAAATACAAAATGTTAAGTGAAGCTTACTTTAATACACTAGTGAAAACCGCACCCAAATCGGTTAAGCAGTTTCTGAGATTAGCGCCCACAAACGGACAAAAATTCTAAATATCATTGTTTTGGGTTCTATTGCGTTAATAAAGACCCCCAATAATAAATAGTTTTTCTCAAATATATCCCATGTGCAGACAGCGATCAGTTACACTTCTGTTATATCTATATATCTATACTAATATTATAAAGAGATAAAGTGTGTGAGATTGTGATGTTGTAGGGGGAAATCTCTGGATCTACTAAACCGATTTAGATGAAATTTTGTAAGAAGATAGTTTGAGACCCTGGGAAGGACATAGGATAGTTATTATTCCGGAAATCATCTCTTAAGGGGGTGAAAATGGGGATAAAAGTTTGTATTACGAATCAAGCTAGGGACGTACCCGAGCGAAGCGAGAGTGAGCTAGTGTACATATATAGGTAAAAGGTATACAACATATTATATATATATATATATGTATAACTAACTAACTAACTGTACTGTTTTTATAGAATTATATTCCTCATCTAAGATTTTGAAGTGTACAATAATTATGAACTTGCCGTAGAATACCTAATAGTTACGTAATAATATATCGTCGCCTCAGCGCTTAATTATTCAAACCACGGTTGTTGACAGACGAACTTTACATTCGAGACGGTTTTTTGTCTATTTTAAAAACAAAGCTTTTTCTTTTATAATATTTCATTTTACATATATAGATAAAATACATCTATTGGGCTTTTTAAAGTAAAACATGTATTTTTATACTTCATATTTATTATATTTTATTTTCATAATAAATTCTAGATTATACTAACTAACGGACGATGAGATAAAATTTACACAAACAATGAAAACTTAAAAGCAAAATTATATAAATGTCGTCTTTTACTCTATAATCATTAATTTTTAAAACTAAAGGTTTCTTCCTTGTCTTTTTAATTCATTCTGAATATGTATAGGAAACGGTCTATATATTTGTTTTTTTTAATGTTTTTTTTTTTGCTTTTCTGCATTTTTTTTATGAATTTTTCGATCGAACGTACGCACCTTGTTCAAAAGTTACTTTTTTGTACATCAGTACCAGTCTTTACTTTTTATCAACGGGAAATAGACAATTTGATTTTGATAAAAGGTGGGTTTAAAGCTTGTTTCTCACCGCTACTTTGAAAATAAAATACTCAGTTCATTTAAATATAGACTTTTATTAAGCCTATTAGACTGTCAATTTTTATAACTAAACTAGGTGCCTAACGTAAATGTAACGTGACGTAAACATAAAGTACTCCAAATGTTATCCTAGATCTAGATATATTCATCCAAACCCGCCTAGCCGTCTTAGCGAGAAGTAGCAACAAACACAGACACACACACAAAGTTTCGTATATACAGGGTCATTTTTAGTTTACTGAAAACCTTTTGGGAATATACTATTTACATCATAACAACAACAAACTGTACAAATCTGTATCAAGAAAAAATAATATTTCTTAAATTTTTATTTTCATACAAAAATAAAAATATTTTTTTGCATCTTCTAAACTTTAAAGTTCTAGCAATATTTTTATTTTTGTTAATTTTAAGATATTTTTTTTTCTTACAGATGTTGTTGTTATGTTGTAAATAGTGTATTCCCAAAAGGCTTTTAGTAAATGAAAAATGACCCTGTAATAGCAGTCCGATGAAATTCAGTAGATATAGAGAAAACTACCACATGCTGAAAACAGATTGATTATGTAAGATCAATTTAAATGTATTAATTAAACTCTTTTCAGTCGTAAAATGGCCATCCACATCAAGGACGTAGATGACCTGAAGAACAGGCTCGCCGAGGCCGGTGAGAAGCTGGTGGTCATCGACTTCATGGCCAACTGGTGCGGTCCCTGCAAGATGATCGGGCCAAAGCTAGAGGAGCTCGCCAATGAGATGGCCGATTCTCTCGTTGTACTTAAGGTAACAATAAACAAATAGGCATTCGAAAATATTCGTCTTATATGTTTCAATTATTACTTAGATATTTTCGAACTTTTCCATTTTTTATATAGATTTTTTGTTCCCGATATTTTAAATGTTTTACGGCAAACAATAACGAGACTGGGATTTTTGAGGTTTATTTATTTATTATAAAGGCTTACTAACGAAATTTACATAAAAACATATATTTAACATTATAATTTTACCTATTTGTATATAAATTTAATTTAAAAGTATGCACATCTTTTTATAGAATTATTCCATTAAAATTTTATGTGTACAATAAACAAAAGAAAAAGTTTAAAAAGTCATAGTTATTATAGACGGAGTCTACCCCTTAAATTATACGATTGCTTAATCGAGTTGCGATAAAGTAATTAAAACTGTTGTATTTAGTTCCAAAAACAGCCATTAGGGTTTAATCGACATCAACACCTAGGTCGTTTAGTTACGACCTTGGCCTCGAAACATGCGAAAAGGCAATCCGTTGAGTCACAGTCACAAACAAACCTACCCCACTGGAACTGTACATTACCGAGATAAGACATGCCTATGTGTTATTCTGATGTATGAGCTATATTATTGTAAAGTTTCATTAAAATCCATTCAATGGTTTTTGCATGTAAGAGTAACAAACATCCATGCATCTATACATATGTACATTCATACAGCCTCACAAACTTTCGCATTTATAATATTAAAAATAAATAAATATTTAAATATGTTGGGACATTAACACACAGCACCATCTAATTCCATGGTAAGCTATGAGGCTTGTGTTATGGATACCAGACAGTTGATGCACTACACATATATAACTTTAAATACATACATATTATAAATATAAAACGGACTCGAACCCGCGACCGCTGGCACAGTAAGTAGGGTCACTACAGACTGAGCCAGACGTGTCGTCATATTAGTAGGACTAACTTAAATAATATATAAAACTAATAAAACGGGCACGTCTAAAAATTCTAGGAGTAGTTGAACAAAAACCAGTGAAATGTAAAAATATCTGGAATTGCATCCAAGGCAAGGTTTTCTCATTCCAATTTCGCTTAGACGATTTTTATGGAAAAGAAAAATATTTTTATATAGTTAAAGTCTTCTATAGAAGCTTTTCTTGATCATTCTAAGAAACGCTAACGTACAACAGCATTGGACACTTTCCAAATGTCAAAAAAATTGGATTTCATATTATTTCTAGACTACAGTTTTATTTAGTCTAAAACATAAAATATTAGATAGATATTCTTAGCATCTTTTTAGCAAAGCTGTCTTAGTTTGCAGAGCGTTTTATTTGGGTGTTAGCGTTTTATTATAATATTAATTTGGATAAATTAATTCAAGCAATGTACATATGTGTATAATGTTGATGTTTCTGTTTGTTCGGGTATTGACTTCTAAATAATAATATAACTAGCGACTCACCCTCGCTTCGCTCGGGTTCGTCTAGCCTAGCTTGATTCCCCATACAAACTTTCAACTTCATTTTCACTCCCTTAAGGGATGATTTCCGGGATAAAAAGTATCCTATGTCCTTTCCAGGGTCTCGCACTATCTTCTTACCAAATTTCATCTAAATCAGTTCAGTAGATCCAGAGATTACCTCCTACAACGTCACAAACTTACAATCTCACAAACTCACAAACTTTACCTCTTTATAATAATATAGTATAGATTTATTTATTTATTAGAATTATCAACAAAAGTTACAATAAATTACATAAAAAAGTTTCATTACTTTAAAACATGATGATGGCACTTTTAATTAATTATTTTGATTTTAAGATTTATTTTGATTTTTGTTTCCCGCCGTTTCGAATGCTTTACAGCAATCATGGTCACGGGAGATAATAAATAATTACTGAATAATATGTAGTGTATATTTATCTATACATATAATAAAATTGTAACTAAGCCGAATCTGTACATTAAATATTTTTTGAAAAATCTTATTGAAATAAACATCACAGAGCACAGTACCAAATAAACATTATTATCGATACAGAGGCCGATATCCATCAGGCCGAGGATCTATAGTTTTTAAAAATTTTTACTGTCTGTCTGTTTGTTACCCCATCACAGAAAAACCACGGGAGGGATTTCGATGAAATTTGGTATGGTGAAAGCTGGTTATCCGGGCCAACATATAGGATACTTTTTACCGCGGGAAAATGTCTCATTTCTGAGAAAAAATACAAAATCTACAATGTAAGAGTATACTAATATGTAAAACCTAAGAATTTGATTTTTGGTTATGTGAACGCGGGCGGAGCCGCGGACAATGCTAGTATTAAAATAAGTTTTTACAATATTTTAAGTCCTTGAGAATTCTCTATTGTTAACTCTACGTTCTAAGTATTATGTATGTAACATAATACCGTCCAGTATGTACGTGCGCTATCTACATATTATGTACACTACATATTCTATTAACCGCTTGTAATACGCCTCTGATTAATGGTACTTTATTCATGGCTCATAGCTAATTTAAGTACTTAGATGTGCTATTTCTTGTTGTTTTAACCTTATTCACCGACTTTAAAAATGAAGGAGCCGATTTCGAATTGGTCTTGATGTTTTTTTTTTTAATATGCAGATGGATGATACAGATGTCATAGACAAAAATACTCCTTTTTTAATCGGAATTATCAAGAGTGGTTATTATATATGTATACGTTTTTAAGAAAATATTATACCCCCAAAAGCGAAATAATTAGTGGAATAAGTCATAGCCCAGAATATATTATAGATTCCGAAATCGTTACATGTATGCTTATTAATATAATTGTAAAATTGTTTGTTAGTCTGTTGGTTTGTCCATTCGTTTGACTTATAACGAAGTGTACCGGTCATACACTATTTTTTGTTTCAAAACATTTAATGGATCTCATAGGTTTTATTGTTCTACAGCAAAACGTTGAAAGACATGCGTAGAATAGCTAGGACACTAATAGTTTAATAACATAATCATATAAGTGTTGTTATTGTAAGTCTAATTAAGCTAACGCTTCAAACATCCATTAACGTCAACTGAACTTCCGCTTCTCGCACCTTACATTTGTAATGTAGGTAGAATCGTAATCTATACATATAATAAAAATTGAAATGTATGTTTGTAATGTCAAAATAACAGCTTTTTACTAAATACATAAGAAATATACGGTACTTATAAGAAAAAAAAAACAATTATCAAAAAATTTTGGCTGTCTGTCTGTTTGTTCCGGCTTATCTCTGAAACGGCTCTACAGATTTTTGAAGGGACCTTCACTGACTGATAGCTGACGTCATAAGAAGTAACTTAAGGGATTTTTTTTTTTGAAAAAGAATTAGGGTCCGCGCAAAAAATGTGTGTGTTTGTTAGTGTACTTTTTCTAATTAATAAATATATAATTACAATTACTACGCTCAACTTTAAGGAGGTATCATCAACAAAGAGTACAATATCACATAATTTATTTATATAATTCTAGTATTTGACTATATGTACATATGTTTATTGATATAAATTAATTTGTTTCGCAATTAACACTTAACTAAAAAGAAATCATTTTATTCGGAAAATAATTATAGGTCCCCACTCCTTTGTTGCCCTAGGGCCTCCAGGCCCCTTTAATCTTATCATAAGTTGTGTTTAACTTACATTCCCTAATACGATCGACAACAATATAAATGTCCATGGATATTCTGTATTAACTCTATAAGTACTAATCAATATGAAAATATCGAGTGTTAGATAGATACTTTTACTACCAAATGACTCATGATTGTAAGTTGTAACGTATATGAAGTCTAGTAGGGATTATTGAGCAATAAAATTATATATACATACATATATATATATATATATATATATATATATATATATATATATATATATATATATATAATTTTCATAATTTTTTACTATGTATGAATCTTAATTACCCAGCAAACGTTTCTTAGCAAAAATCCTTTGCTTTCATATATGTATGTAGATTGAAAATGAGAAAATGCAGAGGTTTGATCGAACACGTCTCTGAGTTTAGTACGTAGTTTGCTTGTTGAGATTATAAAGGTTTATTTTACTTTTCGTTTTTTTTTTAATTTCTTTTACTTTGATTGTTGCGAGATTTAAACCCGCTTCACTTGTTTTCCCAAGCGAGCGCATTACCACTGGGCTACCACTGTCTAACATAAATAAAATTTATTTTCATTAATTTTACGTGTTCATGAAAAAAATCTAATAATTAAATGAATGTTAAACGAAAAATTCTATATGTATTGCGTGCTATAGCTCATTATTACCTTATCGCTAAAGTGGAGTGCAGGTGATTTATTTTCCTAGAATTTACTTCCATCTACTTTAACAGGTGTTATAAATGTATTATGTTTCTTGGTTTGCCCTTTGACGCAGTAATTAATCGACGTGATTTTTGCTGGATATAGGTTATAGGCTAAACAAAGTACTTACTCTAAGTACATTTTCTATACATATAATAAAATTGTAACTAAGCCGAATCTGTACATTAAATATTTTTTGGAAAATCTTATTGAAATAAACATTATTATCGATACAGAGGCCGAATCTATAGTTTTTAGAATTTTTGTCTATATGTCTGTTACCGCATCACAGAAAAACCATTGGAGGGATTTTGATGAAATTTGGTATGGTGATAGCTGGTGATCCGAGTCAACTTATACTCGTAGGATACTTTTTAGAAAAAATACAAAAACTACAAAATCAAAATACAAAACACAAAACCATGTACGGGTATACTAATATGTAAAACCTAAGAATTTGGTTTTTGGTCATCTGAACGCGGGCGGAGCCGCGGGCAATGCTAGTATATAAATAAAAATAGTTATTGTGATTTGTGAGCCTACCTTATGAAATACACATGTTTTTTTAAGACCTACAGTTTTGTTTTGATATATCTCTAAACTTTTTTACCATGTGATGTACGAAAACAGATTTTTAGACAAAACACCGTCTAGTTTCAGCCATTTTGTATAAAATATTTATAAATATACACAAACTTCCGTCTATCGATTTTTATATTAGTGATTTTTGTATAAGTGACTTAGAAGGAGTAATCAGAGAAATTGACAGAGGCGGACAGCTACTTTGTTTTATACTATCTATATATAAAACAAAAATATACACACATATTTATGATAGTGTACACAAAATAATTCCCGTGGGAACATCCCACGGTTAGGTAAAGTTTAGGGATGAGCGAAGCGAAGTATCAATAGTATCGTGCCAATTAAACTTTAGCGTAGGTATTTAGTTTATATCTTACTTTAATATATTTCTACTAGCGGCTCACCCTCGCTTCGCTCGGGTTCGTCGCTAGGTACGTTTTAAATAGATATAAATAGTTATTAGCCAGTGTTATTAGCCATATAAATATATTTTTTTCGTTAATTTTTCTGACGTTTTAATACTTAGGTATTAACCTATTCCGGAATGAGAGAAATCCAAAAATTCAAATATCATAAAAATTGGTCCAGCCGTTCTAACGGGCTAAAAAGTATCCTATGTCCGTCTCCTGGTTCTAAGCTACCTCCCCACCATGTTTCAGCCAAATCGGTTCAGCCGTTCTTGAATTATAAATAGTGTAACTAACACGACTTTCTTTTATATATATAGATTTCCCTTGAAAGTTACTTACAGTGTAAAGGTCATCGCTAATATTAAATATCTAAAAATCATATAAAATATCAAAAATCTTTATAGTCTAAAGTTATTACTGAGAATTACCGCAAGGAACTAAATTTTATTCCGAATTCAATTAGAATTACTATGATTTCTGACAGTAAACAGATTTTTTTCGAAATAAAAAATTGCTTTAGCTTATAATATAACAATCGGTAATAATGTGGTTTTTTTCAATTCAGTTCAATTATTTACTTTCGTGGCTTCTAGGAGTGCCATTTGGACACAATCTTATACATGAAAGAATTTTCCAAAATCGGATCTGTAGATTAAAAGATTCCCTACTTAAATACTACACCATTTTATATTTTCTATATTAATATTTAGTATACATTCTCATACGGTCTTTAATAACTTTTTTTTTTTTAATTATTACAGGTGGACGTAGACGAGTGCGAAGACCTAGCGACCGAGTACAACGTCAGCGCAATGCCTACATTCATATTTGTGAAGAATTCCACGAAATTGGAGGAGTTCTCTGGAGCTAACTACGACAAGCTCAAGAACACTATACTGAAACTGAAGTAAATCAACGAAACGGTGTGTACGCCGGCCGCAGGCGGAACAAACTTGCATTACGTGTGAATATGCGCTTTGTACCATATATTTTACAAATTTCCTTCAATAATTACACAACTATGTTTAGAACCGGTCATAAATGCATTTATAAAAGTGGAGAGTAATTGATGCATATATTTTTTTTTTATTTGAATCTCATTTCTTTCAAGCATAATGGTCACCCTACTTTGATTATTTTTAAGGTTTATTTGTTGTATCTACAATTTAAATGGATTTTTTCAAAGTTTGTGGTTGTAATATCACGTCCAGTGAGGCGTATGTTACAGGTTCGATTCTGATATGTGATTTGGAACACGATTTTTTTTTATGTATCAAAATGTTGACAGATAATGAAATGTCAATCGAATATTTTTATATTGGCCGTAAAGTGTCTTAACATAGCTTTATAGTTTTGTACTAAACACGTAGAGCATTTAGCACAAGTTTTGGCGTACATGCCTCACTGTTTAACTTTATCCATTGCGTTATGTATGTTATAAAGTATTGTGTCTTCAATAAAATGTCTTATTTATGTGGTGTTTTGTTATTTATCGTCCAAGATATTAATTTTTAGTTCTTACCCTATTCTCTCTGTAATGCTGTAATATTGAGACATCGTTTATCATAAACTGTCCGTGCAAAATTATATGCACCGTCGTTTGCTCTTCTGGTTTCCTTATAGTAATAGTTTACATTTTGACGTTTCGCAATCTTAATTACGCAAAAACTTTGATCAATATCAAAAAAAATTAAGTTATTTATATTATATTATAATTCATAATATTATCATTAGATGTAATATTCCTGTGAATTAATCGAAAGATGAGACTCTTAAAACTAATTAAAACTAAAGCAATAAATTAAGTTGATGGTATTACAATGATACGTCATTCTCTTTAGTCTTTATAGATAATATGTCTCCGCTCGCGACAATAAGGACCGTAAGCGAAATGTAGAGGGCAGCACTATTGTCCCCCTAGTGATTTATTCCCGAAGACAGTGGGATCAAAACGTTCATTTGTAAACACAGAATATGTGTAAACATGGAAAAAATAATAAAATATGGATTTCAAACAGTTATCAATAATATTGAACATGGTCAGAATAATGACAATGGTAAAAAAATATTCAAGTCCAACCATGTTTATGGAGTAGTAGAAAACTTTTTAACAAAAAATAATAACCGACTTCCAGGCACTAAAATGTAAAAAATAACTAAACGAAGGTTTTCATTTAGAATAGATACCTAATCAGATATTTTCAAAGTCGGTGCCAGCCGATGCAAAGCAAATCTGATATATTTCGATACGTAAAATACATATTTACCTATTAGATATTAATATCTTAAAATATTGTCGGCTGGCAGTCGGTTTTTATTTTTTGTTCAAAAGTTTTTATGTTTTCATTTTCAGTGTAGAAGTAATAAGCAGGTAATTTGTAAGAAGAAAGTTTTTTTAATAACATATTCGATTAAGCAATTTATTTAAAAAAATATATTTATTGTTGATTTTATAAAAACCGTTCGACCGATTTCAATAAAATTTATATGGGACCACCTGGGAAGTATACCCTTTGAAACAAAAAAAAATTCCAAGTCGGTTAAGGCGTCTTCGAGTAATCTGTGTACATACATAAAAAAAAGATTCCGACGAATTGATAACCTCCTCCTTTTTGGAAGTCGGTTAAAAAGTGAAACTCCTAATCGCAAAAGTAGTACCACAAACGAATGTGTCGAATGTTTATGATGTAAAAATTATGGTATGTATAAAAATATTACTTAAAAAATATTTAGTGTAATCAAATTATTATTTTTTTCTTGAAGTTGAAATTATTTAAAAATGATCCCAATAAATCCAGGTGTTTGCAACTAATTGCCGCTTTATAACAGCGCAGGAAGTATGTGAGACATTCATAAGAGAATGGGGTCCCTGGTTTAGGTGTCTTATCTGTAATCACCACAAATCAGGGCGTTTGAATCTGATGTCCTAGAAATTGATGCATAATTTCGTTATAAAACGTAACAGGACTACTTCTTATCATCCTTATGCTAATGGTATGATTGAACGAGTTCATAGACAGTTGAAAACTGCGAGCATTACCATTTGTGCTTTTGGGTATGCGTACAGGTTTTAAGGAGGACCTGAAAGTATAGTAGCTGAAATTCTCTACTGCGAACCCTTTTGTTTACGTGGGGAGATGCTCGCACTAGCAGCTCTGAAAACTTTGAAAATCTACCACATTTTATTTCACAGCTTCATGACAAAATGTCTAAACCTCGCCCTGCATGATATGGCGAAACACAAATAGTTTTAAACTTGTGTAAACAATATTCTATTGGAGTCGATTTTAATTTCTCCCATACTCCAAACCTACATTTAATATTTTAGTTCGAATAAGAAGCCTAACAGGCAGTGTAACGCTTGGAAAACAAAATGTAGCGTATTCGAGTCCCAGGTCTTGTACCTCTGATATTTTCATGTCGAATCATTTCCAATACGATTACCACTTGTCTTACTAAGAAGGAAACTTGCATGTGTGAAAGAACCTAGCTAGTTTTAAAAGACATATGAAGACCACCAACCCGCACTTGGCCGGCGTGGTAGACTATAGCCTGAACCCCCTCGTATCGAAGTGAGGCCAGTGCCCAGCAGTGGGACGCTAAAAAGGGCTGACTACAAAGTGTCCTAATCAATTCATGAAGGCAAAAGTCTAGGGATTTTGATTTATGTAAACTCCCGAACAAAGCTATAGTGTAAGTCGCCAGTTAGTAATATAAATTTATCTTTTCTATTTTCATTTTTATCTATTTATGGATATTATAAACTATTTAAAATAATTACAAGTAAGACGATCATATAATAGATATTTCCTCTTAGCACTTGATGATTCACAAATGGAAAAACGCCATTTATCAATCAGCCTTTAAAGCCGCCAATCCCACAAACCGAGCACTCATTCGTTTCAACTTTGTATTGAGAAATAGGTATAATAAAATTTTGCTTGTCACGATGATAAGATGACGTCATTTTATCGTACACCTAAAACTTGATATATCTTACCACATAAGTATCTACTTTGGTAGTGTGATAAGTTCGGTACAGTATTCCGCACCAATTGGACCTATTACTTTAAAATGTGAGTTAAATCTATTTTATTTTAAGTGTGGAGTTTTTTTTTGTCATTTTACTGCTGTGTAGTTAAAATGAAAATTAATTTTGAATTATAGTATCATAAATTAACAATAATTTAATAGGTATTTAATTATTTTAATATAAATTTTGTTTTAAGTACAGTGACCATGCATTTATGGAGGACTTTTTTCGTAATGTTATAAAGATTTAATATACGAAGTGTTTAAATTTTAGCTTACCGCGAACTTTTAACATTTTTGAATTATTACAAACTAGCATTGCCCGCGGCTCCCCCGCGTTCAGATGACCAAAAACCAAATTCTTAGGTTTTACATATTAGTATACCTACCTACTCTAACATTGCCGTTTTTGTATTTTTTCTCAGAAATGAGATATTTGCCTGCGGTAAAAAGTATCCTATATGTTGACCCGGATAATATCACTACTATCACCATACCACATTTCATCAAAATCCCTCCAGTGGTTTTTCTGTGATACGGTAACAGATAGACAGACAAAAATTCTAAAAACTATAGATTCGGCCTCTGTATCGATAATAAAGTCTATTTCAATAAGATTTTCCAAAAAATATTTAATGTACAGATTCGGCTTAGTTACAATATTATTATATGTATAGATAAATATTGTGAGCCATTTATTACATATACTTATTTAAGCATCTAAGCTTTAATCCTAAATCATATTCAACTACTTAAAACAGAAAAAATAACATCCATACTTAATATTATAAATGTGAAAGTGTGTTTGTTTGTTTGTCCTTTCACGTCTAAGCGGAGTGACGGATTGTCGTGATTTTTTGTGTGGAGATAGTTGGAGGACTGGAGAGTGACATAGGCTACTATTTACCGCGAGAGATTATCTAATTCCCACGGGAAAACACGTTATAATACAATCCAAAAAAATATTTATAATCAGAATTACTTGAAACTTGGTATTAATGCTCTTCAATAAAATTAAATAAATACGTGTTTTAGCATTTTTCGAAATTCATCCTATAAAGGGGTAAAATAGAGGATGAAAGTTTGTATGAAACAAACTTTTTAGAGATTTTATTGTAGTTTTAGCACGAGCGAAGCCGTGGGTTCTGCTAGTTTCCTATAAAGCCAGTAGTAGGTACTATGATTTCGTGTCAAATATAAAAACAAAACGTGCCAAAAAAATTAACACATACAAAGAACGCAGAGTCGATTCCTGGCTGTACTTCATTTCATATGTTACTTATTATACTTCATTAAAACTTACTTACGTAACTAAGTTGTAGCGACAAAGTTGTACTTAACATATAGTATTAAAAATTTGTTAAATAAATAAATTGTGTAGTAGAATTTTTATTATATATTTATAAAATTTAAAACCACAAAACACAGAAAGTTAGTCAGTTAGTACCTACTGAATTAACTAAAAATTATATATAAAGGTTAAATAGGTTAATGCTATCTATATTGATAAAATAACAATTTTATCTATCTGCAAGCACAAATCATAAATGATAAGTTTTATAGATAGCAGTGTGTTATCATGATAGGGTCAAACTTAACTCAATAGATACGCGAAGATTAGAAAAAACAATCATTATACATATTTATTTTTATTTCTGTTCTTCCGTGCAATAAAAAAAATTATCTTTGATTTATTTTCTTTTACCTATTTCAAAATGGTAAATAACTTTGATTTCATAATATAAATAACAATTAGGTAACATTTCATTTTATAATTTAGATAAAATATCTTAATGATTACCACAATCTATCTCCTCCACTATCGCTGCTACTGGAATTTTGTATACTTAGATCATTATAAAATAATAAATATTTTCTTTTATAATATAACAATAAAAGTCTACAAAGCCTAACCTTACAAAATGAGGCAGATAGGGGGAAAGAATAAATTCACAATTCTCTTTCTAAAGTTAAGTTTAATACAAATATAGGTAAAATAGCATCACTTATGTTACTTGGTGGAAGAGGATCTTTTGATTTTGAAGGGATATTTAGATATATAGTGCATATTTGAACTACTATAGGTTAAACTTCAAGAAATTATTATTAAAATCAATGTTTTCAGAAACAACAATGGCCATCCTAATCAGGGACGCTCAAGACCTTCAGAACAGGCTCGCTGAGGCCGGAGATAAGTTAGTCGTCATCGACTTCAAGGCAACCTGGTGCGGTCCCTGCAAGATCATTGGACCCAAACTCGATGAACTAGCTAACGAGCACGTTGACTCAGTTGTCGTTCTTAAGGTAAAAATATAATTATTTTTAATCAGACTACTCCTTTAAATGTGAAGGTTAGTATGAGTGTTTGTTAATCCTGAACGCTGGAACAGCTGCACCAATTTGGATGATGAATTAACATAGATAGACTAAGATTTAGGAGTACCACATTGGCTGTTGTATATCTAGTGGCGCATCCGAGCGCAGCGAGGGTACATTAAATAATGATATGTTTGAAGGAAGTGTTGGAATCATCAGTCATATGAAAATATAATAAATTTAATTTATTAAAAATACAAACAGACGAACATAGAACCTCCTCCTTTTCGGAAGTCGGTTGAAAATAGGCACATATGTACATAAAAGCCCACGCAGAATAGGTACCATTTAAAATACTTTTCAATTATTTTGGTTAGCCCCCTTTTTAACTATATGTACAAAATATTTATATTGAATTGAAATAAACCAATAAACAATTTTATTATTCGAAAAAACATAAATAGTTACGAATGATTCTTCATAAACAAAACTAAAACCAGTTTTTTTCATGATGTATGTAGAGTATTATTCATTATCGTATGTGATTCTCTACAATTAGATGACGCAATCCATATAATTTACTTCGTAGAAAAACTATTGCATAATATTTTTTTATAAAATTAAATTATGTTAAAAGACATACTTTGTGAGATTTTACTCTGACGTAAAAAACTAACTTCTGTATAAATAAATTTAACTTTGGGCCTATATAAGGCAATATGTATTTTAAAATTATTGTATTTTCTATATATAATAGGAAAAATTAAGAATATATTCTAAACTCTTAACGACACGCTTGGCTCAGTTTGTAGTGACCCTATTTGCTGTGCCAGCAGTCACAGGTTCGAGTCCCGCTGGGGTGCGGGCATTCATTAATTGTGTGATGAGCACGAATGTTTGTACTCCAGTCATGTTTGTTTATATTTATAATATGTATGTAGTTAAAGTTATATATGTATAATGTATCAACTATCTGATATCCATAACACAAGCCTCGTAGCTTACTATGGAACTAGATGGTGTTGTGTGTTAATGTCCTGACATATAACTCTTCAGTTTACATTGCTAATTTATTTAATCTGATGGTTGCCTAGAAGAAATCGCCGTTTTAACCGCCGCATCTTGGTACATTCGTACCATTGCATATTTTCTCTTCTTTTTGAGTACCTATACAATGAAGAGTTTTAATATTATCATATTTGTTCATGTTCATAAACCTCAGTAGGTACTCAGTACCGGAGTATCAACAATGTCGGGCCTAAGCCAACTGACTGCTTATGTACTACGGATTATTATTTAAAAAAAACTCACTAAACGACATATAATTACGTAAGTAAATGGAAGAAGAAGAAGGCCAAGATTATTATTATTAATAGGCACTTTCCTTCATTACAGGTTGACGTAGACGACTGTGAAGACATTGCCGCAGACTACGACATCAGCGCAATGCCCACCTTTGTATTCATCAAGAACGGACAAAAATTAGAAGAGTTCTCTGGAGCTAACTACGACAAATTAAAGAACACTCTCCTCAAGCATAAGTAATTTAGAATACTTATTAATAATTAAGTAATAGTGTTTAATTTTTTTTTATTTAAAATAGTTTGAAATTAAATATAAGATTATTTATCCTAAAATACCAAATATAATGGTAGCCCTACTGCCGCTGTTTATAATATTATTAATAAATTAATTTTATTATTTAAAAATTAATTACTATATAAAAAATAGTAATATGGCGACCAGCGTGCCGTATATTACTGTGTATTGGGTCAGTAATTGGAATATTTATCGTTTTCTACATTGACGTCACACTGTATTAATTATATTATTTAAATAATAATAAAAAAAATAAAAATAGTTTTTAAAAAATAAAAAAAAAGTTTTTATTTTTCTTAATCATTTTTTACATTTTGTGTTCGAGTCTTCCCAGTAAGTAATCCGAGGATACTTGTGTTGGGAATGGCCGCTTCTTCCCATATGCATACTCTATGATTAAGTTAAACTATATATATAGGATAGTTACATGATTTAAGTTATTTAAAGCAAAGAAAATTATATAAAATTACAATATTAACAACTGAAGGTTGTTATTGCATGTACAATTTCACTAATTTTAATTTATAATGTTAGGAAAATTACTATTTTAAACGGTAAGTACATGTGAGTAGAACACCTAGATATAAACAGTCTTCGTAAGCTAGTAGTAAAAATATTTTACATAATTTAGTTATATTAAAAATATTTGTTATTTAATAAAATGTTTTTAACATATTCTGTTTATTTTGCCCTTAATATTTTTCCCCATTAATTTTTAACCAGTGTCTTATTTGATTTAAAAAAATATATGTTAGTATTAAAATAATAAAAATATATTTTTATTACATTATTAAATAAATAACTATTCTGTGTTCAAAAATAGGTATTAAACAAGAATTACCGACCACCAAGACTTTTCTGTTTACCGCCCAACAAAAGTGCGTAAATTGTTATAAAATTAAGATATAGTATTATATTATCATGTGATTAAGGTAAGTACACATTAAATGTGCGTTCACCTTGTCGTCCTAACTAGCGTCCGGCAATCCAGCCAGGCGCGAAGCCAAGAAATGTTTGTGTTGTCGAAGTTTAATAAAAATCTATCTTACCAGCAGTACATTAGTTTTGGTACCTAGTTTTATTTATTATCAGAAGATAGTTTACCCTAGCGCAAGACTACCGCTTATAATGATTCAACACTACCTAAAACAATATTATATCGACATGCACTTCGAAAAAATCCACAAGATTATATAAAAAAAAATGTCGTCACGTTTGAAACGTAGAAATGAAACAACAAAACATAATTCTATATTTATTTTATTAACCATTTCTACATAATATATTACAACGATGGTAGCTTTTAAACAAAAGTAGATCAAAACGAAAATGTCTTATATAATAAAAACCTATAATTATACTAAAGTATTTTACATTCACAGCTTGCGTGTATGATACATACAATCCATACAAAATGCTAACTTATGTGACAAACACAAATAAAATTATTTATGAAATTTGAATATAAAATCGACATCATGGCGTATTCCCATTATTAACTATAAAAAAAAACGAAAACAAATTTTCAGTTTTAAAACTGGGTTCGTCCCTAGGTTGCTTCCCCATACAGACTATCATCCCCATCTTCCCCCCCTTTAAGGGATGATTTCCGGGATAAAAACTATCCTATGTCCTTCGCAGGGTCTCAAACTATCTCTTACCAAATTTCATCTAAATCGATTCAGTCGTTTCGTAACCTATTCGGTACAAACAAAAAATCAAATCTTTCCTCTTTATAACATTAGTTTACACATAGATGAGCGTTCTCACATCATCATAATATTGCTCTCTTTATTCCTCCTAGTATATATTTTGCATGTTATTCTGTAGTTTGTTTATTTGTTTCTCGTTAAATTATATGGTAAAGCAATGGTTCCAAAACTTTGGATTTTCCACTATAATTAACATTTATTTTCAAATAGCTATATATATTAGAAAGATTTTGCAGAAGATGAATTCTTCAATAAATTCATTTGACGAGAAAACTTAAAATTCAAGTATTATTTAGCATTTCAAATCAATTAAATCAATATTTAGATAATGATGTAATTTATCATAAATCATTTTTACAGACATTTAACATTGCTTCTCTGATACAAGGCAACTCACTGAATACAAATTTCACACATATCTGAAACAAAAGAAAAAACAAAATATATACTCACATTCAAATCTTTTTAAATTTGAAGTTTTCAGAATATAATAAAAGGAATGAAACTAGAAAGTTTAAGAATTGATATGTTGTAAATTATATATTTTGCTTCGCTTTTTAGCGTTAATGGGAAATATATCTACTCCGCTTCGCTCAGGAACCATGTACATAGAATATGGCCCGTGTTTAGCTCTCTAAATATAATAAAACATATTAACAATGTTATATTTAACTTTTAAAATTTCGCGTTTCATCTAATATATAAATATCTCGTGTCACTGTGTTTGTCACCGATTTAAATGCTTTTTTTTGTATATTTGGTAGGTCGTAAAGTATTTGTCATTCTCCTACCTCCACCCCCCATTATAAAATAACTAAAATAATCCTTATAAAAGTAACTAAGGGCGAACCCGAGCGCAGCGAGGATGATTCGCTAGTAGTTGTTTAATAATGAATTCGTAAGTGACAAAGTAAGGTAAGCTCAGTACCTTATTCTCGACGCAAACATTCTAGCTGTCGAATGTTTACGTCGGGAACAAGATATTTTGCCACTTACGAATTCACATGTTTAAGTGCCGTAGTGTCATTATTACACATAATAATGTCCTCCATAGCAATTTCTGTTACAATAGCCAATTTCACTGAGACTAGTATCTGCACAGGAGATAATATTATAGTGCATTGCGTGTACGCGCAAACACAACGTGCACTCTCTATTCCTGTCACTCGCATCCTCGCAGCCATATATACTGGCCACTTGACCACCGAGGCAGTGATATAAAACACAGTACACATACCATGAAGGGAACATCCCAGATAAACAAACTTCATTCTCTCCGCTTCTTAGCGTGGGGTTCGTGGTGGTCACGTTTCCGGGAACTTTTGTCCGCTCGCTTCGCTTCGCTCAAGAACCGGTCAAGACCGAACGGATCGAAGTCTGCCTCGGGCTGGGTGCTTCGTGACTGTGACTGTGGATTGTATTCAGATGTTATTTATTAAACACTTACATTAAAATATAGTTTTTTATGAATTAATCTGAATTTTTGTTTTAATCAATATATTTTTTAAATTATTATCAAATCAATTACAAAATTAATTAAAGTTTAAAAGTTTTATGTGGAATTGTACTTCACATATATATGTACAATAAGATAGTCTGGATGGATCTGGTGTAAAGTTTTTTTTCTTTAATAAATAGGTAATGTCCAGGATGGAACTAATTAATTTCTACTCTTAAGGGATGATTTCCGGGATATAAACTATCCTATGTCCTTTCCAGGGTTCTTAAACTATCTTCTTACTAAATTTCATCTAAATCGGATCAGTGGTTCCAGAGATTACCTTCGACAAACAAACTTACAAACTTTACCTCTTTATTATAGAGTATAGGAAGATGATAAATTTGACTCGCACTTCTGCTACTCACGTATACTATGTATTATACTGACTTACACCTAAAAAACGTTTTACTTCAAAAACCTTTCAACATATTACATAAATACATATTTATTAGAAAACAATTTATCTTTAATAACTATATTAGTAAACATAATTATGAATTAGATATTTTTTAATATTGAATTAATTAAAACATTTATTTTACTCAATCATTTTAACTTATAACATACTTATAAATAACAGGCAGTAAAAGTAAAGAAAACGCAACACTCACAGGCTCCTCTCTAGGCGCGTCCTTCTCGAAGGGCACGGGTCCGGAGCGAGTGTTCGAACTGCTCGTGCCGGCGAATGCTTTGTCCGCAACGAAACTGTCATAACAATGGGGAAAAATGGAAATTATCTATGTATAAATAAAAACTACATTTAATATGAATTTAATGATATAATAATATAAAGAGAAAAAAAATGTTTGTAGTCAAACTATGAAAGTAGTGAACAGATTTTAATAAATCTTTCACTGGCAGACGTATTTTTCATTATATATGTGGTGACTACGTCCCACATCCCAGCCAGAGCGCCGACATATATTTTTCTTCATTCAGATTCACGCATGTACTATATTATTTTTCGTTTCTTGCCATAGTAGAAATATTCAGCCCTTTTTAACGTCCCACTGCTGGGGGTGGGCCTCCCTTCAATACGAGGGGGATCAGGCTATAGTCCACCACGCTGGCCGAGTGCGGGCGAATTGCTAGATTCTCTCAGATATGCAGGGTTCCTCACGCTTTTTCCCTTCACCGTAAGACAAATGGTAATCATGTCGATAGATTGAACTGGTACACATGATAAAATCAGTAATGTAAAACTCGGGATTTGAACTCGCTTCACTCGGTTTCCCAAGCGACCGCGTTACCACTGGGCTAGTTAAATACTCCTCATGGAAGATCCTTGTTCACTATTAGTTCAATTCGTGTCGATGGAATCTGGTGGGATCAGAGCGGAGCTCAATAAAACGAGTATACGGCAGGCCGATAGCCTCTCTTTCCATTTTGAAACGCATTACTAGCCACGATCATTAACGCACCAGACGTTGTTTTTCGACACACACATTCGGAATCGGGAATTTGGAGTGGAAAGGTGTGCACACCACTCGCACGCGGCCGTATTCTCCACCATCGTCAGTAGCTCAGAGTGAGCTTTTTTTACCCCTAAAATAAAAAAAAACTTTAATACATTCAAATTAGCTACATACCGTTTATTATTAGCCAAACTATCTAAGTCCCCGTAGTTGTCCTTCTCAGCGTTCCTGGAGGGGCGGTATATGTGGGAGCCGATGGACTCCTGGTTGCGCCACGGCTTGTCATACACGTTGTACGCCTCGTCGTCGCCGTACCCTGGGGAATGTTGTGTTATTATATTATCATAAGAAAAGTACACTAATAAAAATATCCTTAAATGTATATTTTGAAGTTTTACTTCTTTTGGTATGGTTTGGAAAAAAATATGAGTAAAATTTTTACTTTACAGCAACACACACCGACAGCCAAAAAGAGACATGATGAAGTTTGTTGCATTCCTTTACCAGATAAAATCTTTAGCTACTTTAGTTCTGTTACGCCAAAGAAGTATAACTTCTTACGTGCGTACATAAGTACACAGATACGTTTTTTATATCTTTGTTGCAGCTGTATAATGCATTAGTATAAACTGCATTCAGCCAGTCCAGAGCTTAGTTGGATTTTTAAAAAGTAACGTAAACGTAATATCATCAACGGTAATAAAAACAAAATAAACTTTTTTTTTAATAAGTATTGTTTTGCTTAAACATTTCCCTCAGTAAATATTTATAATATACAATATTTTTTCCATCGCGTTAAGTGTTAAATTAGTGAAATAAAAATAAATCAATAAACCCCAAAAAAAAAAGGCAATTCCGATTTTAATATGTATATAATTAATTAAATAACTTAAACTTCAATTATTATCATTTAAAAAAACTATAGATATGACATAAAGTTTATAATAAAATGAGAATTATAATACTTTCTTAGATTTACGCGAACATTTGACATTTTAAATAAAACTATGTTTTCGGATTATTTCGCGAATTTATTTTCATTTTTGGTTCCCTTTTTTATTTGGTCTGGTAAAATTGTGGGTAGGCACTGTCTTTAACAAGTATATAACGCCTTTGAGACGTCTAAAACTATAGTATTCGAAACGTCGGGAACCAAAAATCAAAATAAATCCGCGACATAATCCGAAAAGATAGTTTTATATAAAATAAGATTTATAAATAAACAAAGCTTACCGCTATCCATTCCCTTGCTGTTGTTGAACAGCCGCTGATCAAACATCCCTTCACCACCTTGCGTGGTCTTGGCGGGCAGACCCAAAGCTATCTGTTCAGATATATCACGTTCACGGTCCTTCACTAGTTTAGACCTAGAAAATAGAAAAATAATTAATTTATGCATACATAAGTATATTTATAAAATAGTTTTTTTTTTTTAACATCAAAAATTATTAGGAGGAAGCTAACCGATTTTGGTCACACATCCTTACCACTGAGGCTAACATAATTGGCTTACTATTACAAGGTTCTATGTTAATTTTAATGAAGTTTAGTAATTTTGACATAGAAGTTCGTTATTTTGTTATCGTACAGAAAACAACATAGAACTATGTAAAATTGAATATTTTGTAGTTATAGTGCCGCTATCTAGTGTTTTGTTTTTGCAAAACTGTAGCTAATGACACATAGAACCTTGTAGCATTAATAACTAAATAAGTACTAAAATTGTAACATAGAACCTTGTAATAGTGAGCCAAAGAATTATGTATAGTTATAGGAAATAGATCTGTAGAGTAGTATCTCTGCCTGCTTTCAGAGCCGGTGGTAGATTCCTCACAGACTGACTACACTGACAATAATTTAATTTTAAAATGTTAAAGTGACGATTCAAAAGTGCTTGTAAAAGTCTATTTGAATAAAGTATAATTTGATTTAATGGGAGATATTATAGTGCAGTGTGTGTAATGGAGAACTCAGACACACTCTTATACTGCGGTATCACTAGATACTTGGAGTGAGTGGCACAGGACCGATGGCTAAACGTGCTCACTGAAGTATTGACAAAGTAGTCTGTGCTCAAGTGGCACGCTTTAAAGCCTTTGCATTCATTAATAAGAAGAAAGCATTAATAAGAGAATTAATTGATACATATTTCTGATGATTTTTTGATATACTATCTATATCATACAAGTACTACTTCACTTAATTTATAAAAAAACATTATGGCACTTTATAGTCATATATCATTAAAGTATTGATTGGGTTTGATTACAAACAAATTATTACGAAATAAAATCACTAAATATATTAACATCTAGAAAAAATAAAATTGCAACTTAATATACTATTAAACACTAAACCCTCACTCAAGTCAGGTGCTAAAAGAAGTAATTTTTCCATCTTAATTCACAAACATCCTCATACAGGTAGATTATTGTTACAAAAATATTATAAATTATATAACATTGCCAATAAGTAAGCGAAAACCATAAAAAAAAACCACTACAGTAGTTTCTGAGATTTGCTTGAACAAACACAAACTCAGCTTTAATTTTTAATATAATATGGTGATAGCAAAAAAGTTACAATAATGCTCCTTGCAGTGTACTTATATACTCCATACCGTTTATCAGGCGCAGCTCTAGAAATATTCCTATCTCTCTGCCTCTCTCTATGTCTCTCCGCTCTCAGCTTATCTCTCTCTGCGGCAGAGAGCTCTCCCTCTGGTTCCGGTGCAATACTGGCTGTTTCTTCATTAGCCTCGTCTTCAGGGTTGCGAATACCTATTACATATAAGATATACGTCTGTTAGATTGCTAGTAATGGTCCTTTGTTTTGTTTGTTTATGTTTAGCTATTTTATCAATCGACATTTTCAACCGACTTTCAAAAGGGAGGTTCTCCATTCGATCGTATATATATATTTTTTTTGTGTTCAGGGATAACTTCGTCGTTTATAAACCGATTCTGATGATTCTTTTTTTTTTTGTTGGAAAGGACATATACCAAGGGTGGTACCATGATAAGGAAAGCAGAGAAGTCGTGAGGAACCTTCGAAAATCGTAGTGGCGACTAGTGCGTTTGTTAATTTTTTCATTAAGTATTTTAAAGCACTTTTTCTACTATTTAATGAAGGTCTGGAGTCGATCTGATGATGGAGCCGAAAGATAGTCGAGGGAACTCCTAAACGATTTACAGCAATTACCTTGTGTTTGGGCTTGATTAATTTGTATTGATGAGAACTTTATACCTAGATGGGTTGTGACTGTCATTAGGGGTTTGAATAAATGGCTTAATCGAATATGTTTTTAAGAATCTCTCTAAATCTTATATGTATGTCTAAAAAAAATAAAAACTATTAAAAAAATCATAAAAACAGGCACTAAGAAGTCGGTGCTAGCCAATACAAATCAAAGCACATTCGAAAATTATCTGATTATGGATTTATTCAAAATGAAAACCATAATTTAATGATTTTTTCACTTTTCAGTGCCTGGAAATTGGTTTTTATTTTATTTTTTTAAGTTTTTATAAATCTATACGATTTTTGACTGATATCTATGACTCTGATTGTCAACTGATTTTGATTTTTTTTTAAATAATGCTTCATTAAGATTAAATTAAGATTAAATTTAAAGAAATTTAAATCCCTAAGAGAATTGAATCTATCAGGTTTAATATTTTTCACAAATTTATATTATGACGTAATGATTAATTGATATTTAATACAATGTATAAGACAATAGTGTCCTGTTGACAGAACTGACTGAAATGAAATTTGCTATAAATTTTTAAGTCGTACTGCGATCTAGAAATAAAAAAAATATATATGATCTTGCTTATGTACTTTTATAACTTAAAAATCTAGACTAACCAGCTCTATGATCTCTTGCTCTTTGGGCTAACATTCTCAAATGCTCTTCCTTCTTTTCTTTCTCTCTCTGTGCCAATCTCCTCTCTAACTGTGCTCTCGCTTCCACCGCTTCTCTTGCTTTCCTATCTGCTATGTACAGTGCTTCGGCAAGCTTTGAGAAGTTCTCGTTTATGTGCACTTGTTGAAGTCCTCGACCGTCGGCAGCCAGACGCTTATCCAGAGGTATGGTATAACCTGAAATGTATAAAAAAATAATATTAAATTGTAATTTATTTACACTATTATGACACTTCTTATTCAAAGTTAAAAATACACCCCTAAAATCTAAATTCTCACTATATAGTCAATTTTAACATCCCACTGCAGGGCACAGGCCTCCCTTAAAAACGAGCATGTCTTTCGAAAACTTGTTAGGTTCTCTCAGAAATGCAGGTTTCTTCACAATGTTTACCTGTAAGATAAGTGGTAAGATTATAATACTTTCTTAGATTTACGCGAATGTTTGACATTTTTAAATAAAACTATCTTTTCGGATTATTTCGCGGATTTATTTTGATTTTTGGTTCCCGACTTTTATTTAAAACGACGAGTTTTATTTAAAAATGGTAAGATTATGTTGAAAGATGATTTGCACATTTAAATATGGTATAGGTGCGAGAACCGGCATTCGAACCCGCTTCACTCGGTTTGCCAATCGAGCGCGATACCACTGGGCACTACAAATACACCCTAGCTAGTCTATACATATAATAAAATTTTGAGTTGAATCTGTACATTAAATAATTTTTATAAAATTTTATTGAAATAGTCATTATTATCAACACAGAGGCCGAATGTATAGTTTTTAGAATATTGACTGCATCACGAGAAAACCACAGGACAAATTTTGATGAAATTTGTTATGATGATAGCTGGTTGACCTAGATAACCGGGCCATCATATAGGATATTTTTCACTGCGAAAAAATCTCATCTTTGAGAAATTTATACTAAACGTTAAAACATAACTAGGGACGAAACCGAGCAGGGCGAAGGTGAGTAGATAGTACATATACATATAAACAATGACCTTTAGCATTCTTCCAGTGCGACACGCAGGGAGGCACCTTCCAGTCGCGCTGCTGCTTGACGGAGACGCGGCGCGGCGGCGAGTGCAGCACGGGCGCGGGCGGCGACGGCGCCGCGCGCGGGATCTTACGGTTGATCTGGAACCGCGGCGGCTCCATAGGGTCCGACTGGGCTTCCACCATTCTGGAATTGGACATTATTCATTTACAAATAAATAAAATAATAAATATGTTGAGACATTAACACATAACACCGTCTAGTTCCATGGTAAGCTACGAAGCTTTTTATGGATACCAGATGGTTGATACACAACACATATACATATAACTTTTTAAATATAAACACCCATGACTGGAGTACAAACATTCATGCACACATCACACAAATGAATGCCCCCAGCGGAACTCTAAATCTCGGGTCACTACGAACTGAGGCAAATGTGTCGTCAAATTTGTAAATTCATATCATATTTAATAAGGTGTAATATATAGTAAGGTGTAGTCATATCTTATTAAATTTCATTTAAACTGAGGGAGGGAGAATTAAAAATCTCACATCAACTTTAAAAGAATACATATTATAAAGGTAATAGAAAGATATTAAATTTTTCTCTCCTTTCCTTTGTAATTGTTCCATTTTTCATATTGAAACAATCTCACTGCTATTATAAAAAACATGAGATTTACCCTTAGTTTTTGTTGAGACATCACCAAGATGGAGGAAGGAGTCCAAATTATGAGAAAAACAGCTCACATAATTAATGGATGTCCCAGTAATTAGATTTTATCAGACATGCAAGTTATCTCTGATGGATGATTATTAATAAAAATAAGGATTACACTTTCACTTCACTTCAAATACCTATAATAAATGGAATAATCATAGTAATATAATATTAAATGTTTTCCATTATAAAAGTATTTAACTTCTCACCTAATAACCCGTTGCTTTGCTCCAGAATTGAAAGTGCTGCCTTGTTGTGCAGGTGTGTACCGAATGTATTGTGCTGGTGCCTGTAAATATATGGCACTATCAGAACGCCATATAGTTATTAGTTCCTTCTCTAATATAGAGAAGAGATGTAAAGCCTCATGCCAGTAATGACACTACAATCAGTTAAATTATAAATAGATTTGGACAATGGATAGACCTATATGAGTTCAATAAAAGATAACTATTCAAAAATCAAAAACAGACTTTAAAAACAATTTTATGATAATACTAGCGGCACACCTCACTTTGCTCGGGTTTGTCCCTACTGAAAAAGAAATGTATCCCATGGGATATTCCAGGATAAAAAGTAGCCTATATGCTATTCCAGACTGCCTGATTTCATCCAGATCTATTGAGCCGTTCTGGCATGATTGAGTAACAAACATCCATTTATCTAAATTTTTGCATTTATATAACAGTGAGATAAAACTGTAATAACTACTAAGTTGTAATTATTATAAAATAAAATTATATAAAATTCAACTCACAGCTTTTGGTGCAGCTTTAACTGGCATAGCAGCAGATATTTTTGCATTTGTTAGTTTCTCTAAAGCCAATTTGGTCCTCTCAGTTATATCTTGAATATCATCATCTGTTGGTTTCTGTAGAGTAGGGTCATCTTCGGCTAGAACTTCCGATGGCAATAGATCTGTTAGTTTAGAATAAATAATCTGAAAATAAAACAGATAAATTTAATGAATAAAAGAGATTATAAATAAAACAGGCTTCATATTTAGGCTAATAATGCTTATTGTTGATTTAATGATAAATTAATGAATTTTACTACATACAGCACTATTTATTTTAGCCTTGACATAATACTATTTCATATATTTGAGATTTCTATTAGTTTTTTTAAGTCTCACCTTGTCAGCGCTGTGTCCTTGTCTTGCAATTGCTGAATACTTAACTTTTCCAGATTCATCCAATTGTACAGCTAATGCATTGGATGTGCTTTCCTTACCCCTGGCTCCCATACCCAGGGGATACTGAGCTACATGAATCTCAGGAAAAGCTCCTCCATCTGGAAACATTTTATTGTTTAAAATAAATAGACAAGTAACAAATACAAAAATAAGATGTAAATCCCAGTTTTCTTTATACATATTTTAAATGTATTTACATACTACATATTATGTGATAATATTATTGACAAAAAGAATATTTAATTTAATTACAACTTTTATGCTTCTAAATCAACATATTTTTGTAGAAGTGAATAATTTTTAAATATAAAAAACCATATCTTCATAGTATATATTTATAAAACTTAAAAAATCAATACCCCCGAAGTCTTCCTCTGCTCGAGGTACCCAGCCTTTTCTTTGGCCATAAGGTGGAACACTTGTTTGTGATACCACAAGGGCACTACCGACTCGTTTGGCTTTCTGTTCGTCATCTCTATCCCACACCTGCTGAACAGGAGCTGGCAACAAACTGCAATCAAAATTAGAATCTGTACAAATTTTGCTAATACACTAGACACTTTCGCACCAAGCAATGTTCGAAAGCAAATAATTTATTGTCACAAATAATATAATCGACAATGTATGCATTTATTGAGAATCATAAAGAAGAATATAAAGCATGTTCAATATTAATAAACACTGTGACTATTACGACTAAAAACTTTATGAGTCAGTGGCACCGAAATATAAAATAAGTGTAACACTAAATATTACAAACAAAATGTAGATTTCTTTTTAAAATATTTATCAAATGTGTTTCAAGAAGAATTACGAACACACCTCGACAAAGACGCCATTTTGAATGACAGTAGGTAGACAGATTGAAAATTAAAATAGACGGGGATGAAATTTTTTTGACACTTCTATCTTCGTTCAAAATTTATTTTCAAATAACATATTTTTATAAAAATAAATTATATCTTATTTAACATAATTGATGAAACTACTTATGTATATAACATTGTATACTTACACAATATTACTAAATACAGTTATATATAATAGTCTCTTACATGACAAGTGAAATATTGGGATAAAAAATTAAGATAATCTTGTAAATCCTGTAAATATAAACTAATCAGATGTCTATATACTATTATAAGCATTATAAATGAAATAACTTTTATTATATATATTTTTAGAATATTTATTATTATACAACTAGGTAAATAATGCTACGTTCAAAATATAATATTCTTACATTGTCATATATTATTTGAAAAGTTGTTTGTAAAAAGAGGTGGAAAACTGTCAGATTCGTATATAAATGAAGTAGGCTGCGAACGTCCCCCTTTTATAACCTCAAAAATGCGCGAGAAGTGTAACAGTGGTATGGCAAAGTGAGCTTATTTTAATCTTTAAATAGTGCTAAAGTGAACGGATTGTCACTATGCCGTCGAAGAAAAGAAAATACAATGCCAGGTTTCCAGCCGTAAGTGTAAAGTTGCCGAAAACGTCCATAATAACAAGATAAAGAGCCTTGTTTTTGTCGGTTCTATGAAAGATTGGTGATATCATGACATTGTTTGCTTATAGGGACGAATTAAGAAGATAATGCAGACTGACGAAGAAGTGGGAAAAGTGGCACAAGCTGTACCAATTATAATCTATATCCTTTTCAATTGACTCTAATAAAATTGTAGTACATAATACAAACATTCATATATAGTAAGTGAAGACTTGACTAGGTGACATTATTTGTATTGGAAGAAGGTCCCCTTGCTATTATTTAATTCCCTTTTTGATACTGCGCATTTGTAAATGCAGTGCTTTATTACACATATACATTGTATCAATATTTTAAATTTAATGAAATCCAGGGCTTAGTTTTGGATTATTTATAGTACTCTTATTAAATAAATAGTACAATTAATTATGGAGGTACATTTGAATAATTTTTAGTTATCTATATTGAAAGTTCTTTTAAAACTCAAAGTATAAAAATAAAGCAGCAGTAAATTAGACTAATCTTATCAGTTATGTTTTGTTTTACTCACATTCTATGTATGCAATTTGTAGTAGTCCATAGTATATTCAATACTATTATTTTAAAATATTTAGTATAGTTATCACAAAACTTAATTTATTTCTTCTTTACTATTATGTCCAAATAACTTTGTTATCCATGATTTCAATACTTTTGTTGAATCAAAGACCCCTTTAGTTGTGCTGTCTTTGCTTAGGAATATGGAGGATTCTATAATTAATCAATATGTTATTTTAATAAACCACAATAAATAGGATAAAGGAGATTACCTATGTTGATTTTCCAATTTAATATATTTTATTGTGATATCTTTGCAGATAAATGTCAAATTAAATACAAAATAGAAATGCTATTTAGCATAATTCTTATCATTTATTCAATCTAAATAAAATTTATTTTAATACTAGCATTGCCCGCGGCTCTGCCCCTGTTCAGATGACAAAAAATAAAATTCTTATGTTTTACAAATTAGTATACTCTTACAATGCAGTATTTGTATTTTTCCTTGTGGTTTCTCTGTGATGCGGTAACAGACAGACAAAAATTCTAAAAAGTATAGATTCGTCATCTGTATCGATAATCATGTCTACTTAAATAAGATTTTCAAAAAAATATTTAAGGTACAGATTCAGCTTAGTTACAATTTTATTATATGTATAGTTTGTTTATTTCAATATTGTTTGGTAAGAAGTAAAATTTGTTCATTTTGTATTATTGGATTAGAGGTTCCCAAAGTTATTTTTGTAAAACTATCTTTTTATCATCTATCATAATGATTAATATGTTTGATAATAAGACTTGAAAGAAAAAAATACTTATACTATTATTATTTTGATATATAGATGATTTTTTCTAAGAAATCTCAATATTATTTGTTCTTATTTCTAGGATAAGGTAACTATTTTTTTCTAAATCTCAATATGTCACTCCTTTAACTTTGCTACTACAAAGCTTTACTTTTATCTAACCTTCGTACTTTTGCTTTAATTATGTTTATTTTAATGTAAAGTATTACTTACCTATTATGTAATGTAGTAGGAAATGTATAAAAAATTAAAATGATCAAAAAGTTAATCCCACTATTTTAATATTATAAATGTGAAAGTTTGGATGAATGTTTGTTACTCAATCACACCAGAACGACTGAACAGATCTGGATGAAATTTGTCACAGAGATTGATTATAGTCTGAAATAGCACAAAGGTTACTATTTATCCTGGAAAAATGTATGGTTTCCGTGGGATAGATTTATTTTTGTTTTTCACTAGGGATGAAGTGAGGGTGAGTTGCTAGTAAATATTACTAAGCAAATATGATTTAATAATTGTTTCCTTAACTCTATCTCTTTATCTTCACACCTCGTACACTAGAGCTGTTTGTAGAGTCTCTTCTAAGTAAAGCCATGCAAGTGACAATGCAGAGAAATGCAAAGACACTCAGCCCCTCGCATGTAAAGCAATGTATACTTGCAGAATCCCGGTTTGATTTCCTAAGAGATTTGGTAAGCATTTTACTGATTTAGTATCATTTTCTTGTATGCAATACAATAGTGTTAATACAGTTTTTTTTATTATGTTTGGCTTTTATATTGTGAAACATTTGTCTGACTTATTAACTTGTCTACTAATCCAGAGTTTCTGTATTCAATTTTGATATAAGAAAAATAATTCTTTTGAATTAATAATCTTACCCAGTTCAGTTCAAATAATAATAAATATGTTGGTACATTAACACACAGCACCATCTAGTTACATGGTAAGCTACAAGGCTTGTGTTATGGATACCAGATAGTAGATATACGACACATATATAACTTTAAATATATACATAATATAAATATAAACACCCATGATTGGAGTAAAAACATTCATGCTCATCACACAAAAGAATGCCCCCAGAAGGAATCGAACCCACAACCGCTGTCACAGCAAGTAGGGTCACAAACTGAGCCAAATGTGCCGTCAAATGTATATATAATAGCTATATATGTTGAATATAGTATTTAACAATGGCAAAAAAAAATATTCAACTTGAATAACTGAGATAAGATTTAATGTTGATATATAATTTTTAACTCATTTCTAAAAGACTTATAAAATAAATAAATTTCTAAACTTGAGTGAGTCTTTAGCTTAAGATAGGTACTTAATAATTTTGTACTGTTTTATATTGTTCAATCTTAAAATATTTTATTTTCATCATTTCAGGTTAAAAACATACCTGACGTGACCGCAGCTGAGGAAAGAGAGATGTTAAGTGGTGAGAGCTCCCCGAATTCTTCTAGGTAATTATAAACGTAAAAGTAATTCTAAAATTAATGTATTTTCTTCACCTTTCCTTAACCTTCACTTTAATTTATATTTTAATTAAAAATTGTTGACCTTGTAGAATAACGTACCCATCTACTCTATATTCGATCCATGTTTAATTTTATCGAGCCCCGCTGTAATTTAATTTTTACCCAAAGTCATTAAACTCATGTCATTGAGGTATCCTACAAAAATTACTTGAATGGAACAAAACACATATAAAACAAACATTATAATTATGTTTTTATACACTGTCTTCTGTATCTATTATTTATACTGGCAAAAAAAATTGCCTCGGTGGCGTGTGAGCGCCTGCTGCATATCGAGAAGTTCTGGGTTCAAGTCCCGGGTCGGGCCAAGTTTAGTTATGCAGTCTTTGTCTTTAGTAAGTCTCTATAACAGCTCGGAGTTGGGAAGTTAGCGGTGTTTCACCTCCGTGCCTCGGAGAGCACGTAAAGCCGTCTGTCCTGCGCCGACACTCTCACCGGTCGTGTCGAACAGTCGTCCCGCCGGAGTATGAGAGTGCCAGGAATAGAGAGTGCACGTTGTGTCTGCGCGTACACTTGTGCACTATAATATCTCCTGCGCAGTCAGTCTCATTGAGACTAGCCGCCGTGGCCGAAGTCGCATGCAAAATGTTCCTATTTTGTCTCCATTTTATTTAAGTCTACACCTGCTGTTATATTGCAACTCTCGCCTCAAATATCTTGCTCAGGATTAGTAGTAAGCAAATTTACCGATTTATATTTAGAAATAAATATATTTAAATTGTGTGCAGAATAACGTAACAATGTATATTACTAGCGAATTCAGTTATAGTGTATCCCTAAGCATAATAAGAGTCGATAAAGTAACTCGATACTATTTTTCCGACTTCAATTAAAGTAAATGATTTGTGACATGAAACACATTTTCTAAAGAATTTTCTGAATCGGATCAGTACTTTAAGAGATTACTCCTAGTCTACATACAAACTTACAAACTTTATCTCTTTATATTATTAGTGTAGAGTACTTCTTTTTAGTTTTTAATATTTCTTGCAATAAATATATACTTAAATAAATATATTATAGATTTTCAGACACATCAGTACCGCGGAGGGTAGCTAGAGAAGATTCGAACAGTTCGAGCAGTTCCGACATTAAGGTTCAACAGATTATAACAGCGCCAAAGGACAATCTTAGAAGGGCATTATCTGTGGAAACGGAGATAAAACCTAAAAATGAAACGGTCACATCAGAAAGTCCTATTGATTTAAGCAAAAAAGTGGAAGAGAAACCCGTTGTATCAGCAAATTTCTATCAAGAAACACTATTAACAGAGGAAGTACAACATAAGAGTGTAATAAAAGTCAATCCAACGTACTCGAGTCCACAGCCCTCGACGTCTAGTTACACGAATTTGCCCCCTGTGGAGCCAGTGCATAAAGTCGAAGTTTTAGTGCCAAAGCCGGAACATCCAGCGATGTTCTATGTAGATGTAAGGCAAAATAACACCCCCCCTCCCCGAACACCTGTCACCCCAATCCTAAATATAGATTTCACTAAAAATTTAACTAAACCAGAAATAAAAGTTCTAGACACAGCTGTCGCTAATATCGTAGGCGTTCCCAAATCTGATAAAAAATTACAACGACAAAATTCTAAGTCTAACAAGTCTGATATAAAGAAAAGTGAAGCCAAACCCTTCATACCCCCTCGGATCGACATAGATCACTTGAATTCAGGAAATTTACAAATAGATGAAGACTATGATACCTGAATAAGTTTGTAAGTATGTGTTTTTGTTGTGCTATTTTTAGTAATATCAAAACATGAGGTTTGTTATCCAAATAATGTCTCGAATTGAGTGTGTTTATTGTTTCTTTTTTATTTATCGATTTCGTAAAATGATAGAATTTGTGAGGCACCTAAATATTAATAATGAAATATAATTTCATTTTATCAATTTTTTAAAGTGCTTGAAGGTTTTTTTTTTTTAAATAATAAAAATGTGTGATAGTAATCTATTGTTTTGTACAATATATCGATAGTAGGTGTTAGCGACTGCCAAATGTAATGAAACTTTCTAAAGTGTTATAAAACGTCATTGCGTTATGTCAAAAATGACATAAATCGTTTTTGGAGATTAATTCGTGAAATATGCATACATACAATTATTAGTAGGAATTAAGTTATTATATATAAGAGCATGTAAAATTTGACAACTTATGATATGGATTTTTTTTAATGGACCTTTTTAACTGTTGTATTTTGTGAATGAAAACATAATATGAATAATTTTTGTTTGGATAACAGTCATCGTGAAGTTTCGTTGTTTACCATTTAGGTATCTATATTAACTTGTAAGTCAGATTAATTATTGTTTTTTTTTTGTTTGTTTGTGTGTATGACAAAGACTTATGATTTTTATATTTGCATGGACTAGTTTTTGTTATTTGTATGAATGTACCCTGTTTAGGTAAGTCTTATGAGTGATGATCACTAACAGTGCTATATGCGATATTGACCTTTATATGAAAGTAGAATAATGACTATTTTCGCCAGCATTTAGCGTACTGTTATTAAAACCTATTACCTATTTTATTATTGAGACCATTATATGTGATGTTCTAATGCAAGACTTCGGTATTTATTGTAAAAAAAAGCATTTTCTAAGTTTTCAAATATAGAACAAGAGATCTGTAAATCCACTGTATGTTAATTAATTAATGTATGTACAAAAATTGAAAACCAATAGATTATATTATTCAAGCAAGATAAACCCTGAAAAGAAGTCTGACTACGAAAAATAAATATATGAAATAATGTGTTTGTTTTTGAATCTTCATCTTTGCTTATTTTTATTACTAGCAAATTTACCCACACCATTTTTTGGACAATTTAATTATTAACACAAGCCTATACGTTACTCCATATCTTCTTCTTCTTCTCCCTGCCCGTTTCCCAAATCACTTGGGGTTGGCGCAGTACATCTTTAGTGTACTGCTGATAGGATTTGGCAAAAGTTTTACGACCGGCCGCTTGCCTGACGTCAACCCTCCTTGGGAATACGTTACTCCATATCATTGTACTAAATTGCATACAACATGCAAAAGTTCTTTTAAAACTCACCAATTGTGTTTAGGTAATTATTATAGTTGAAATATATATACAATAATGTAAATTGAACCTTAAGTGCAATGCTTCACGTTGTTTTCATTAAAAAAATTCAAAGCGCGCTCAATTTTTCAAATGAGCGCTATTAAAAATATTTATTTTTTCACCTTATTTTGACTTAATATCGAAAAAGCACCCTAATTTTCAATCGAAAATTCTCGCGTCAAAATATGTTCTTGAAATCTCTACTTTATGATGGTGTAAAAAAAAAAATATACATTACTATGGTAAATTTTCTCAGAAAATGCAATTAATAAAGTTAATATTTAATAAAATATCTACAATATTTCAAGAAAGTTGTAGACTCTTCTTTAAATTATATGCGTAGATGCCTATTTATTGCTTTTTTAAGATAACTTATATACCTGAGTGACTTACGGAAAATTTTAGCCCATCAAAAGGTATTTCATACAGAAGCGGGGAAGCGGCTAGGAGGGTCTGGCCTATACTTTTTACATTTTCTGAGAAAATTTACCACAGTAATGTATATTTTTTGATACACCATCAGAAAGTAGAGATTTCAACGAACAAAAATCCCCCGACTTTTTTGAAAAAGAAAATATTTTGACGCGAGAATTTTCGATTGAAAATTAGGTTTGAATTTGGAACATAAAAAGGAAAGTTTTCACCTGAAAAGATTTTTTTTTTGTAAAAGATACAAATAAAAAACTAAAAACTTGGTTATTGAATTTTTTACTTAAATTTTGAGGCTCTATGAAAAAAGTGTGAATACAAAAGTTGTAAATACAACTTTGCCATTTAACTTTTTTCCATAAGACTTGTAGTTCAGCCGGAAATCGAGATAAACCGTTTTTTACCCTTGAAACTCACCCCCTCCCACTTCCCGACCTCAGATCGCCCGTAAATTATTTTTCTTTCATTTTTGTTATAAATCTTCCTTTTCCAATGGGTTTCATCCTACTTTTATTATTTTTTCACTTTTTACCACTTTCAAAGGCTTCAGCCGTGGTCTATACGTAGTCTAACATTTTAAGAAAATACATAGACGGTCGGACAAAAAATTGTAGACTTAGAGGTCCTGAATTATTTTTGTATAGCTTAATGTAATATCCCAAACAATAATAATTATAAGATTTATTAAGAAAGTATTTGTATTAAAGAAAATCACAAATAGGTATACTTAATCTATACTAATATTATAAAGACTTGCCAGCCTACAATATTTTAAGATATGAATGAAAAGAAATGAATAGGTAAATATGTATTTTACGTATCGAAATATATTAGATTTTCTTTGCATCGGCTGGCACCGATTTCGAAAATATCTGATTAGGTATCTATTCTAAATGAAAACCTCTGTTTAGTTAATTTTTACATTCTAGTGCCTGGAAGTCGGTTTCTTTTTTAATTTTAAGCTAAAACGGATGAAATTTAGTACAATGATCTGGAGTAACGTCTCTCTAGGTCATCTAGACCCAACATACAACATTTCTATGAGCAACAGAAATCGTAGTTTCTTCTGGGACTGTATACACATTACACACGTCGCGATAATTTAACAATTTCATTTATTTCTATTATGTTGGTTTATCCTCTTCAGGCCAAGCTACAACTTATATTGTGGTTACCTGCATAGATTGTTCTGCAAGAGATAGTGGGTTCGAATTTCGTACATGCCATTTGCCAAATATCTGTACCTCATATTATATTATGTATATTACCAGAATTCCAACTGTATGTATCTAAGATAATCGTAGTGAGAACATGCTAGATTTTTTTTATAATCTACACTAATATTATAAAGAAAGGTTTGTATGTTTGTAACGAATAAACTCAAAAACTACTGGACCGATTTAGATGAAATTTGGTAAGAAGATAGTTCGAGACCCTGGGAAGGACATAGGATAGTTTTTATCCCGGAAATTATGTCCTAAAATGGGGGGGAGGGGAAGATTGGGATGAAAGTTTGGGGAAGCAACCTAGGGACGAACCCGAGCGAAGCGAGGCCAGAGTGAGACGCTAGTTGGTACATAAAGTTAAGTTTAGCCCAATTAGCATATCATCAGTCTATATAAAATGTATAATATAATTACCTAGGTATATCTTAACTACCAATTCTATAGACTTGTAATTTAGCACTTTAAAATTGAAATATTTAAGGTGTGTCACCTCACGTCTTTCAAATTTAATTGGAACAGTTCACGGCAATTAATCCAAAAAGCTTATACAGCTGCGAGTCTCGACTGTATCAGGTCACAGGGTAATAGGTCAAGTAGTTTGAAAGGTACTTATAATAATTTTATTGCAGTCAACTTAGCTCGATCTATATAATGACCAGTGAATGTACTTAGTAATTGGGTCGTGGCTGGCTCTTAAATATATATTAAGTTATAGATATATTTTTAAATATTTGTTTGATATTTGAGATTGTGGAAGAAGATGAATAATAACGATTTGTTATTTTTCTATATGCTTCAACCTTCAACCTGAAAACATGAATTAAACAGAATGGTTTATAAGGAAAAGAAATAAAATTATTGAAATCCTACACTTGCTATTATATAAAATATGATGCTGCTATTTCCAAAAAAAATACATAAGTAGGATAAAAAAAACTTACAGTACAATTTTAATGTGTTTACTAACTTCTGTGGGTATTCTCAGGTACCTACTTAGTATTTACCAAGCTCTAAACACAGACAGACATTAGGATATCGTTTTTGGAAAATTTCCAATGATACTCAATATTACAATATATTTATTTACTTATCTATACAGATAAATAAAATTGAATTGTCTATTTATAATGTCTAAATATTTTTTTTACTAAGTGCATATGAAAGTGTACTTACGGTACTTATAAGAAAACACAATTTTTTAATTTTTTGGCTGTTTGTTTCGGGTAATCTACGAAATGGCTGGACTGATTTCGACGGAACTTTCACTGGCAAATAGCTGATGTAATAAGTAACTTAGGCTACTTATGTTTTAGAAAAAGGATTAGGGTTCCGCTGGAAAATTTAAAACGTACCCAGGGACGCACCCGAGCGAAGCCAGGGTATAAAGTCGTTAGTAGATAATATAGAAAAAAAATCTTCAATAAATTGTTAAAATACAAACAAATCGAAAATTATCCAGAAGTCTGAATCGGAGCGCACATTTGAATACGACGGCAAGGGATATCTGCAATTTAAATATTTCAATATAATTTGCATTTAAATTCGAATCCCACAGGTAGTGTAGTCGATCGTTGCGCCTGCAGGTTTAAGGTTGCAGAACACGCAACACGCTTCCGGCGAACTTCTCAAAAATTAACGCTTCTTATTATTTAGAAAGGATATTTAAATTGCCATAAAAAAACTTTCACATTGAAATAATTTAAAAGAATAGTATGCCTTATTTCGTTAAGACCCATTTCGAATTAAAGTACTTTCCTAGATGTTAACATAATATACATAAAACATTGTATATATCCGTCTACTAATATGGTAGGATATATATGTATATGCCTAAGTATCGACCTGAAACGGCTGAACGTATTTGGATGAAATTTAGTACGCAGATAAGACTGAGCTAGAGTAACACATAGGTTCCCGGGGGAGAAGCCAACTCCTACCGGGCGCGTCCCCAGGTGGCGGATAGGGGAATGCCACCCGCTTAGGGCGGCGGGTGGTACCGGAGAAATCCGGCGCGGACCAAATGGCTTGGATGGGGCCGCTCGTCTGGGCCTCGAGCCGAAGACGTTGCGGCCACCGGTGGTGGGACCGCTTGGTCCCACAACCGGATGATGGGTGCCGGTTGCGGGACTGTGGTCGCAGGCCCGCATCCGGCGGAGGGGTAGGCCGCGGCGGGAGAGGAGTGCCGGTATTTCGGTGCGCCGTTCTCCCTACCTTCCGCGGCCTAGACGGGGCCGCCACCGTTTGATGGCGGACGCGGTGGGGCTGCAGGGGAAGAGGAGTGTCGGTGTTTCGTTGCCGCTCTCCCTGTCCTCTGCAGCCGATTGGAGGTGGCCCACTTCGGTGGGCGGAGGTTCGGTTTTATGGGGCTGCTCCGGGTACCTCTCTGGTGTAGCAGAGTTGACTGTGGAGCAGCCCCATCGGTGTGGTGGTCAGCCGTTGGGCAGACCTGCCGCCGGGGCGCCGTAGTAGTTATGCGCAAGCGATCCTGCGGCGTCCCATTAAGGCGGAGGGGAGGGGAATGTCGGGTTTTAGTGGGTAGTACCGGCTCTTCTAGCCGGTGAGCCCCACATCACCACCTGGGGGATCAGGTGGTATGCGTAAATGCATTTCCCGACATAAAAAAAAAAAAAAAAAAAAAAAGAGTAACACATAGGTTGACGACACGTTTGGCTCAGTTTGTACTTTGTAGTGTGCCTTACTTGCTGTGCCAGCGGTCGCGGGTTCGTGTCTCGCTGGGGGCATTCATTATTGTGTGATGAGCAGGAATACTTACATACTTCTGTCATGGGTGTTTATATATGTATGTATTTAAAGTTATATATCTGTTATCCATAACACAAGCTTCGTAGCTTACCATGAAACAGGATGGTGCTGTGGCCTATGTGTTAATGTCCCAGCATATTTGTTTATTTATAGGTTACTTACTGTTAGGCATCTAGAGACGCACGTGAGTCAGTCTTTACCTAAAACTTTTTTATATATTTTAAAGTATTTTTATATAAGAATATTTCTTATTTAAATTCTCAAAACACTCTTAATCTAGATCTTAATAACAGAACCTATGCTTCCAACAAGAAAAAACTTAAAGAACGTCAGGTCAAACAAGTTGGCCTAGTTCGCCATAAATAGACTATTCTCATAAAGTAGGCCAGATTTCCATCTTTGCTCTATTTGATGATGAGAAAAGGCAAACAAAATGGCTTTTGAGAGAGAAACTATTTTCAAAACATGTTGTTACTAACGCTTCGTTTTCCTTTTCGTAATAATTCTTTACCTATCTGTACCTTTTCAAAAATACAAAATGCATGTCCTATCCTACTAACATTATAAATACGAAAGTTTGTAAGGATGGATGTTTGTTACTCTTTCACGCAAAAACTACTGAATGAATTTTAATGAAACTACAAATAATATAGCTCATACATCAGAATAACATATAGGCTACATTTTATCCCGAAAAAATATGCGGTTCCCGTGGAATAATTTGTTTTTAGTTTTCTATGTAGATAGAGTTTTCGATGTAACGATGGTTTGTCGTTATACATACGTATTCCCAAAAATACGAAACCTTAGTAATTGTAGACTTCAATCATTTGATTGGAATCATTAGTAATAATTCTATTTAAATAATTATTACTAGTGCGAACAGAGGCACAGGCAGACTAGTTAAAAAGCGAAATTAAACCAAATATTATGGATCATGTACAAAAATATTTTGTTTTATTGTATGTTAAATTACCATTAAAAATATTAACAATGTAATCTTAACTATTCAGATGCATTATTTGACAAAAACAAATGTACAGAACACAGAACAATGTATAGAAGAAGCAGAAAATGTAATCCATGGACATGAACCATTCAAAATTTTTATTATTTATATAAATATTATTGTTTTTATGTAAATCGATGTTTATGCCACTTCTACTATACTATTTATACAGAAATACAGGTAATAAATTTCAGTTAAAATGGGTCAAGACATCAGGAAAACTAATAATAATTTGATGTGGTGGGTTCTGGCAAAGTGTTTTTTCTATATAAATATCTTCTTCTTTACGTTTTTACATTTATATTTAACATAAGTGGTTCCCTACGTTGATGATTCTAATATTATATGATGATTGGCAAGATTACAATAATTTAAATACTTATTTTTTATAGTTCATTTATTTGACATTTTTCCTATAATTTTGATTGCCATTTGATTTGAAATGGATTATTGAGATTCAATATTTTAGTTAGCAGTAACAAATAGCCTTACTCACTAGTTATAAAACAAAAATTGACATATACATCAATCATCAATATAAGTCTGAGGTTAAAACAGTAAAGGCTATATGGGTAATATTCGAAAGGCGAAATGATATAAATTACATGATGAACACAATTTCATTAAAAAAATATTTATATAAATCAGATAATCATGAAAAAAAATCGCAAAATTATAATTGGTCCTTTGAGCCGGACTTTTAAGACACTAGCGAATTCATCAAGCGAAAGAAAACTATAGCTAACAAGTAATAATTATGTATGTATGTTTATATAAATTATAATATTGTATTAATACTGATTAAAGTTACTCATTACATGGTAATTGATGGCGTAATATTTACATTGTGACATGGAATATAATTTAGTAGAAATCATAACTAAAACCCGCATCTTATATGCATTACAACTATACTATACAACAAAATAAAATAAATTAGCACTAAAATATTATCTTAAAAGTAGTAAGTATATGATAAATTAATTATAACAAAATGTAAGGTTTTATACAACTACGATGAAATGTAAACTAAGCACCATTGTTGCAGTAAGGCACTTAAACAATTATTTCATAAAATCCATAGCTATCCTTTGTAAAAAAAAATATCTAAATTACATTTTTTTTAATAATAATTTCTCTTTATTTCAAACACACTGCACTTTAACAAAAATAATGTATGTGATATAAACACATTACAAAAATTCACTCTAAAAACATTAATTTGGGAAGACTTTTAATGAGTAAATTAGAGCTAAATAATTATATTTTTTAATATTACAAACACTACAATATTATAATTCAATATAAGTTATTTTATATCTTACTAATTAGTCTATGCCAATCAACAAAATTTGGAATGTCAATTATGTTGCCAGTCTTAGTGGAAGTTTAAGGTGAAAGTTTAATATATTCTCAAAGGTTAATTTATGAGAACAATATCATAATAATTACTTTAATGTGTAAAAACGTAACGTGCACATATTTTGATGAGACATTCATTGTTAGGTAGAAATTCTCCGGACATTCTTATATATAAACAAAAAATCATTACATTCATTAAATATTATTTGTATTTACTTACATTATTAGAATTTTCAATAGAAGAAAAAAAAATTTTGTACCATTCATTTTAAGTGACCTATATTTTTATTCAGCTAAATTCGTTTCCCTCGTACAAGCTTTCGCAAACCTCCAGCAGTCGGAGAACAGGGCTTATGTTGTAGGGGAATAAAGACTTCGATACTAGCCTGCTGATTTGTAAACGTAATCTTATCAAAACCCTCATCGTATCATCTAAACCCCTCGTACCCCCTGAGTCAGCTTGCTGACATGACTCCAAGAACTTAGGCCAATTCCGCCTCACATATTTCAAAAACCTCAGCAAATATAACAAAAAGCATGTTTCGTTACTTACGAGGTAATCTAATAAGACATCACTATCATGAGACACTACCTTGAGAAATTCAATAAAGGATATTATAGGATTCAACATAGGTATTAAATCAGGATACATGGAATTCCTGTAAACAATTCCCACTGTAATATCTAATGTGCAAACCATAGACTCTATCAAATAATCGTCCTGCTCACTGAAAAGATGAATCAACATCTTCGTAAAAGGTGTCTCTGGGTGAAATTCAAACCTATTTCGAATGAAAACATCTAACTTTTTTAAGACATCTCGTATTGATCTTTCTACAATTTGCATATCTTGTATCGCATTGTAGTCCGATGAATCAATTGAACTATCGGACGAGTCGCAACGCATTTCTTTCACAGTGACTGCTACAGACTTGAGTACCAGCAAGGACATTCTTTGTAACATTGTTTTATCTACTTCGTTTCGAGATTGAGATGAATCTTCATTTTCATCATCACCGTAACTCTGATCAACTAGCTGAATTGAAGATGACAAAGGTGCTATTTCGGGACCTAAAGAATAATCTCGGATAACAGTACAATCGTGACCTAGGAAACCGAACCCACTTCTACTGCTTTGAACTCTAACTTCACTGAGGAGACGAAAATCTTTAACATATCTTACAATAGAATGCGCGAGACAACATATCTCTTCAGGCAATATATCTTGAAGAGCTAGAGTCGAACCATAGCAAAGCACCTCATTAAATAAACTAAGTATCTGGGTATAAATTAAACTTGGCAGCATTGTATTTCTGAGTAAATCAACAAAGCCTTGTAAATCTGCATAGAATGGTTTAGTATCTATTACTGAGAGATTCGCTTTTACACTAATAATGTTCTCCCACAGGGAGAAAAATGTCAATATACAATTTTCAGCATTAGATAAATTCAGGTACCTTAGAAGAAGCAGTTTCATGTTTTTGACCAAAACTGGCCAATGATGCTCTAACGTTTTTATTGTTAAGCATTTTATATGAGATGTATCAAAAGATTCAGAGTCAGTCAATATAACAGTTACACAACCATGTTCGTTAACTCTTTCTATCCTTGACGGAGGAGGTTCAGGGGATTCAGAGGGCTCCATGCCACTATTGGATTGGTCCGGAGGAAATTTTAACACTGGCTCACTAAGTTTAAACTGTATGGGTTTGTTATCAGGTTTTTCACCGGTTGATGTGGAGGGAGAGCTATGGGTTTGCAAATTAGAGAAAGAACTATGTAAATTATCACTATGAGAACTAGATGGCAATTGTGCACTGTTACTACTGCTACCACAACTTGGACCACTCCTAAAGGGATTGTCCTCTGAAACTTGTACAGTTCCAGGTGTGTTTACATAATTACTTTCCTCTAGAGGATGCTGCTCCACATCTTTCCACTCAACTATCCTTTTAATTATATCTAAGCTGAAATTAATTTTTTGTACTGTGATCCTATTTATCCTATCAAACAAATATATGTTTTCAGTAATTTGTTGTAACCAATTTTCATCAACAGTATCTTTAGAAACAATTAGAAAGCTAGCTAATACTCTACAGGCTACAAATGTTATAAACTTACTTTTGTGTTCCGATAAATCCACAACCTCAGTTATCCAGTCATGTCTGTTCCTTACAAATAAGTCACAAGCGTACATCAACCTTGAACATATAGTGCCAGTATTGTTTTGCTTCAAATATATATCAAACATAAGTTGCATAGTTGACAGATAAGTGAGAGAACATGTTATTGGCCATGATACAATATGTAATCTTCTGTCAAAGAGTTGACACAGAGAAGTTTCATCAAAACCACACAAGCATTGTCCAACTAAAGCATTCTGTATAATCCTCAGTTCTGCTAGAAGTGTGTCATCAGCTGCTGTCCAGTGAGCTACGTTATTAGAGCAAGAAGGAATAATGTCAACACTTGTATCACTAGGGAGCCTCAAAATGGCTGAGCAGTCAACTGCATCTTCACTTACAGTCCCACTATCCGGAGACTCACCATTCCTCGACGTGTAGTCCCCCGACGTATCGGCAGGTGGTGTCTCTGAGTCATAAATATCTGTGAGGATATCCTCCGCAGATCTATCACTTCCATCGTCAATATCAGGACCATCAATTCTTTGTTTTTTCTTCACAGGTTGGTCCGAAGCCATCCCTTCATCTGACTTTGGATAACAAACTTGCCCTCGTAAAACCATTAACCCGCGTGTTTGGGCAGCCTTTAAATATATTTACGTACTATTAACGGGTACTCATTAAGCCCATAATGACATTTGCATTACAATCATTCTGAAAATAAAAAGGAAAATGAATGCATGACCTTTCTTACAGCTACCCAGTTACGCGGACGACAAAGCTTAAGGATATTAGCTCATTCTTTGAGAATGTAGACTAAGAAAATATTAAAGGATTATTTTTAATTGCTTAAGATTGACTATTATTGTATATAATAACTTTTTATCACATTGAAATTAGAGTTATGTTAAACTTTCCAAAATATTTTGATGGCACACATACCATTGATGCCAAAATGAGGTTGTTTATACACGTTTTTTTAGCGTTGGTATCCATATATCACTTCTATTTATATACTTCACTCCAACAATACACAATAGAACACAATTTTATGTGATATTTTCATAAAATTCCTTAATAATTTCAATCACAACTTTGTCGAGCAAAAGATCGACTCCATTACGTACAATGACGCTCTGTCAATTGAGGTTCCCTTTAAGATGGAATTTATTTCATATATTTTAAAACATATATTATAAAATTATTTTTTTTATTATACTTAAACATTCCATTCAATAAATAGTTATATAATGTACTAAAACATAGTATTTAATTTAGTTTATAATTAGATAGGAAAAAAAGGACGTTGACTTTAAGTATTTCCGGTATTACATCTAGCAAGGACGTTGCCAGTTTGACGACTTCTGAATTTAGCAATTCCAATAATGAGTAATAACAGGCAGCAAAAAAGTAACAAGTTTAAAATGAAAGAATACTAATAAAGTGACGATTGATTATTAATGGGCTTATAATAAATAATATTTAGCATTATATTTTTCATCGTGTCAATGTGTAGCAAGCAAAGCATATGTATTAGGTCCCTATAAAAGTTAATCAAGAAAGATAATAAAAAAATGTACTATTCTGCATATATCTAAATAACTACTCCTAACAAATTATTATCAATTTAGGAATCGAACCATATCTTATCTTATAGTCTTGATAATTAATTTTTATGAAACAAATATATTTTTCTTTAGCTTCAAATGAAAAAGTATATATAGTTGAGTTATTCTTGTCTTAATTAATTATTTATTAGAATAATAATTCCCTAGATAAATAGATAACATTTTTAAAATAATTTATCTATTTTGAATTGAACTAAAACTTAATCACTAATAATTAATTTTAATATAATTATTAATTTAGATCTGGTAACACTTTTAGTGTCTTCGACTCTCCGAGGAAAATGTCTGCTTTCGAAAGACTCGAAAATTATTTTCATGCTATAAAATAATAGTTGTATCTATAGTTATCAAAAGTTTAAAATTTAGTCAGGTGAATATTTCCGCTATAAAATATAATTGTGCTATAAAAGTGCCCATGATGACTCATCGCAGTGTTTTTGCATAACAATCGATAGAATAAATTTAGGTTAAGATATTTGTGCTGCTGTATTTAATCCTTTAAGGCAGAATTTTAAAGTGAATTATTTAGCATTAATAAGAATATTTACTATATTAATAGGATGCAAGTGCATATTTTGGTTTATTTATAGTCTTGATGCGGAAACGTATCGATATGTCATCGGCTTTCAGCTTTAGTTTTTTTGTATATAAAATGCTATGCTGTCTAAATAAAGTTCAAATCTTAAGGTTGCGAAAGCGCTCCAGTATCGACTGACATTCGCAACCTTGTAATAAACGAATAGAAAGCATTAGTCGCCTTTGAATAACTAGACAATAGTGAAAACTTCTTGATTTCCTGTTAGGCTGTTCAGTGGACCTTCAGAATAGATCCATATTATTTTATATCAGCCAATACTTTCATTGGAACTTAAAAATTAAAATTATATTTTTTTAAATATTATTTTGAGTGATTTGATATAGTTACCTAATTTAGAACTGGATAGTTTAGACAACACCCACTCAATTTAAGTGACAGTCTCTATAAATAAAACATCATTTCACATCTAATATTTATTGTATAATAATTCAATATTTGCAGTCAATGTAAAACAATTACCATAATATTAGCAGTCATATATTGAAAAGTACTAAAAATCTTAATTTTATTTATATTTATTTTATAGTTGAATATTTTGATTACAGAAACTTAACTGAAAATGGAACAAAATATTCGGACCAATTCAAGAAAATATAGGCAGTTTTAGTTATTGTTTGTGAATCTCTTTAAGTGTAAGTGTTTGAGGACATGTCCTGCAGTGTTTTGGTGATTTGATTGTGACATAAGTGAATAACAACAATGTCTGAAGAAGAAGACTCCTCCCCGGATTGGGCTTTGGCCCCAACAAACAGTATACCAGGTAAGATTTTTTAAAAACTGCTAAATTAATTTTAATTACTTATAACAAAGTTTAATTAACCAAGTGATATTTTTTTATGTAGTACACCATAAATAAATATATTTAATTATAAACAGGAAACTTACATTTAAATATAATAATAACCAATAACTAATTTTATGTTTTGAGAAATAACTTTGTATTCAATAGATTTTGTGTACCCATCTATGACCCAAGTTTTACATAGCGTATATTTTTTATAATACTTTATCATTAATAAATTAGATTGAACCTTTCATATAATATAATAAACAAGGAAATGGACTCTAAAGATAATATTTACCATAACATGTTTTTGTAATGTTTTGGTCATTATCGTTATCAGCTAGTAAGAGATTAAAGTAAATATGTCTAACGGAAATGGAGACATTGTTTACTTTTTTATCATTTTTTTTTATATATTTATTTGGTAGATACGCTTACATGTAAAGCAGTTGCAATATATTATTTTCTTGCTTAAATTCTGCAATTTTTTTAAGCTCATTTTGAAAATCAATGATTAAATATTTACATAAGTTGAGTAACTTCTTCAGTTAATCAGTTAAGTACATGCATCATTAAAAAATAATATATATATATATATATATATATATATATATTTATATATTTTATATATAATGTTTTAACATTTAGTGCCCATAGGTCTCTCAAAGATCAGAAGTTACCTGGATAACCAGCTATCATCATACCAAATTTCATCAAAATCTATCCAGTGGTTTTCTCGTGATGCATTTCCAGACAGACTGACAGACAAAAATTAATTATGTTAATAATGACTATTTTAATAAGATTTTCCAAAAAATATTTAATGTACAGATTCAAGTCAGTTAGAATTTTATTATTTTTATAGATAGAAAGATTATGATTAATACTGATTTTAGAATTGCAGTGATTAGCATTTATCAGGAGCACTTGAGAGATATACTCAGCACTTGATGTCTATCTTTCATATCATTACTTATAACTTTATATAACAATAGCAATTATTTCACATTATAGTTAAAGTATAATTATTTGTAGACTGTCTTAGATTTGCCATAACAATATATTAAAACTAGTGGCTCACCCTTACTTCGCTTGGGTTTGCTTCTAGGGAATCAAAAACAAGCGTATCCCACAGGAACCATACATTTGTCCGAGCTAAATAGCTTAAGTGTTATTCCAGACTATAATCTATCTCTGTGATAAATTTCATCCACATCCGTTCAGCTGTTCTGGCATGAAAGAGTAACAAACATCCATACTCACAAACTCACATTTATAATATATATATACAGATTAAAAAATAATTTAAGTAAGTGTAAAATTTTACCTGTAAAAAGTCATAATGAAACAATAAATGTTTTAAATCTGATACAAAAGTAAAAAAAATGGAGTCTTTATTATGCTTTTTATTTGTTTATTTGGATTTTGAACAGAAGCTACAATAATTTAATATGAGTAAAATACATTAATAAGAAAAACACAACACTTGAGTAAATGCACTACTTATTATGAAAGAGAAAATGTACATGAAAATTAAAAATTATGGTTAAAAATGTGTAGTTATATTTAGGTAGTAAACAATTTAATTTAAATAAAAGATATTCATTCATTCATTAATTAAACCCATATACATATTTTAACAATTTAAATATATTTTTAAACATAATGTGGTTTTTAACATAATCGCAATCTATACTATAATATTATAAAGAGGTAAACTTTGTGAGTTTGTGACTGTGTAAGGGGTAATCTCTGGATCTACTGAACCGATTTAGATGAAATTTGATAAGAAGATAGTTTGAGACCCTGGGAAGGGCATAGGACACTTTTTATCCCGGAACTCATTCTTAAGGGGGTGAAAATGGGGATGAAAGTTTGTATGGGGAATCAAGATACAGACGAACCTGAGCGAAGCGAGGGTTATAAATAAATAAATAAATATGTTGGGACATTAACACACAGCACTATCTAGTTCCATGGTAAGCTACGAGGCTTGTGTTATGGATACCAGATAGTTGATACACTACACATATAACTTTAAATACATGCATATTATAAATATAAACACCCATGACTGGAGTACATTCATGCTCATCAAACAAATGAATGACCCCAGCAGGACGGACTCTGGAAGTTATAGTTTTTTAATTTTATTTTATTAAAAGTTGACCTTATTTAAGGTAAAGAATTTAATATTTAAAGTATGTGTTACGACATGTTGCTCATCATTATAGCTTTAATTAATTATTAACATTAATATTATTGCGCAGTGACATTATAAAAGCTAAAATATTTTTTCAAAATATGTTGCTCAAAATAGCTTCATACTGTAGCAATAAATAAGAAATTAGCACATTTGTTCTCAGGGCAGGGGAAAACAAAATGCCAGATGTTACACTTGTATATTATAAATGGAGGGCAACAAAGAGGTTATAAATAGTCCAGAGATTTTGAACCTTTTAAAATTGCACCACTTGTACTGTATGCATGCCCTGCAATTTGCAGGGGACTTGACAAGCTAGACAATATGTTAAAAATATAACATGTAAAAAAGGAAAAAATATATCTTACGATGTTTTCCTTGTTTGGGCTGTATTGTTTTTTAATAAATTAATGGGTAATTAAAATAGTTTACAATAAAAAAAAACAATGCTTACCAAATTACTATATCTCGGAAATCTAATATAGTTTAGTTTTATGTAGCAACTACGTCGTAAAACTCGTTAATAATGCTGAATAATTGACACTAACACGGTCCCGTGAAGGATTGGATGTTTATGAGTTGAAAACTTTAAATGGGTCAATTTTAATTTTCCACAAACATATCGTTTGTTGAATAATTGGGTAAGCAATTTGTATTATATTTTGTTATATCATGCGAAAAAGATTAATACATATTATAAACTAGCGGCTCACCCTCACTTCGCTCGGATTTGTCCCTGGGTACGTTTAAAAGCTGTACGTACGTTTAAACGGGCTATTTATTGTAAAAAGAATTTTTAAAATCGAATTAGTAGTTCCTGAGATTAGCGCGTTCAAACAAACAAACAAAGTCTGCCTCTTTATAAAACTGCCTCGGTGGTGTAGTGGCTAGCATGTACGGCTGCACACCCTGAGGAGGTCCTGGGTTCGAGTCCCGGGTCGGGCCAAGTTTAGTTATTGAGTCTTCCTGTATAGTAAGTCTCAGTAACAGCCCGGAGTTGGGAAGTTGGCGGTGTTTCACCCCCGTGCCTCGGAGAGCACGTAAAGCCGTCGGTCCTGCGCCTTAACTCTCACCGGTCGTGTCGAGTGGTCGTCCCACCGGACTATGAGAGTGATAGGAATAGAGAGTGCACTTGTGTTTGCGCGTACACTTGAGCACTATAATATCTCCTGCGCAGTTGGCTAATCTCATTGAGATTGGCCGCCGTGGCCGGAATCAGCTAGGAGAACATCATCATCATCATCATAGTATAGATCATAATAGTATGTCAAAATTCAAAATTCTCTTTATTTTTCAGTTCATACAGTTGTATAAGTATGTTTATCAAAGCCTAAACAAACTTTAAACACATTTTATGTCTTTTTTCTTTTGTATCTTCTTTTCGCTTCATCCTCTTCAGATTGTCGGACGACTCCATTTTACCCTGTAGAACTTTTATTTGTGAAAGGGTTTAGGCAAGTTTTATATAAGGCTACTTTTTGTCCTTATAAATAACTTCTTTTTTTTTAACGTTGGGTAATGCATTTACGCACGAAGTGTGGGACTCACCGGCGTAATAAAGCCATTACTACCCACTAAAACCTAACAAAACCTTCCCCCGTCTTAATGGGGCGTCGCAGGATCGCTTACGCATTCAACTACGACGCCCCGACGGCAGGTCTGCCGAAGCAGACCACAACAACCACGGGGTTGTTCCAAGATCCACTCTGCTATCAGAGAAGTACCAGGAGCAACCCATATGGTACTGAGCCCCCCCACTACGACAAGGTGAACGCACTTTGGGGGGGGGAGGGTCCTTATAAATAACTAGCTAAACCCGCGTCTTGCCTCGCGCTTAAACAAAAAGAACTAAAAAAAGTAGGTTTCATACAAACTTTCATGCCCTATTTTACTCCCTTACTTTTGGGTTGTATTTTAACATGTTATCCCGTAGGAATGACATAATCTCCCGCAGTAAAATGTAGCCTATGTCACTCTCCAGCCCTCCCAACTATCTTCATTCATTCACACAAAAATCACGCCAATCCGTCATTCCGTTTCCACGTGAAAGAAGGACAAACAAGCAAACAAATAAACAAACAAACACTTTTACATTTATAATATTAGCATGGATGTATTCCTAAAATAAAAACGTGGGAGAAAATAATTCGAGTGAGAGTGAATCAGTTTTTTTTTCTAGCAGAACAGGCAAGCGAACTCGGGGGCATATGTTAGTTTATCTTGTTATAAGCAAATGTTCTCCAGAGAATATTATAGTAGTAAATAGAACATAACATAGGTCAGATAACAAAATAAACAGTTACCACAATCAAGGCTGTTTCATTTAACGCTACCTAATTACCGAGCGTGGATACAAATTAATTAACATTTTATAAGCACTGATTCACCGTCTGTTATGGAGTTCACAATGTGCCATATTATTGTTCGTTTAAGGCTATGGGATATCCTCTTTGTACGGCATTGTTTTGGCTCTGTTTCCTGTAGATTGTATGTTGAAATTATTGTACTGTGAAATAATATTTAATTATGTGTTGATTGGCGAATATTTGACAGTGTTTTGATGTATAGGGTTGCTCTTGAGAGAATTTGAATGTAGTACTCCTATAATTTTATCTAATCAGGAATTGAACTCTGAACCTCAGTGTCGATCTCTTACATTCTTTAATACACGTATTAATCTGTATATAGTAGTAGAACATAATATGTAACATAAATATTATTTAAATAAATAAGATATTACATCGAAAATGAAAAAATCTTAATACATATTGATTCTATAGGTATATAATAGGAATGGTGTTGCTATTTGCAAGTGACGTTACGTACATCATTATTATTACTTAATATTATTATTTACTTTTCATTACCGGTATGAAAATGAATTTGATATTTATATCGATTATAAACACGTCTGACTACACGTTTGGCTCAGTTCGTAGTGACCCTACTTGTTGTGCCAGCGGTCGCGGGTTCGAGTCCCGCTGAGGCATTCATTTGTGAGCACGAATGTTTGTACTCCAATCATGGGTGTTTATATTTATAATATGTATGTATTTAAAGTTATATATTATGTGTAGTGTATCAACAATCTGGTATCCATAACACAAGCCTCGTAGCTTACCATGGAACTAGATGGTGCTGTGTGTTAATGTCCCAACATGTAATTATATATCTTTTAAACAATAATAATACTTGGCGTGACTGACAACCCTAGTATAAAATTGGTTGAAAAAGTTTCTATGAAAACACGTAGGTAACTATTTTATTATTTTTACAGTTACACAGTGGTGAAACTATAAATTAAACACAAAACTAAAAAGTAAGATCGGTAATGTTTTTGGTTTTACTTATAAATATTAATTCAGATTCAAATTTTTTTCTAAATTTAATTCTATAATTTGCTTGAATTTTTATTTTTTTTGACGTCATGGCTTTCGAATGATTGTGCTATTAATTTTGTATTCGATTCTCACGAGAGGTATTTTTTTAATTGATCAAAACCTTTGAAAATAAAGCGCTACAGCCCGCATGTAGCCGTTCAATAAATTGTGTTATAATTATGTTTCTCCACTTTTCACCTCTTTTGGTACAATACTCTACCAAAAGAGGTGAAAAGTGGAGAAACGAGTGTGTAGGTTCCCTATCTTTACAATTTATTATATTACTATCGAGATCCACTCTCGAATCGCTCCAGTTAGGTAATTAATATCCTACTAATGGGATCCCATTTGAAGTAGGTACTGGGATAAAAAGTAGACTGTATGTCGGTCATTCTGTAATTTGTACCAACAAATTACGCACGATTTTGTTACTTAAAAAAATCTTTAAATCGAATTGGGAACTCAATTTTTTTGGAGTAGGTTAAATCAAATCAAGTGACCATGTTAATCGTAATAAAACGAATATTACCATAAAACGTTTCATTTTAGTTCTAGGTATAAAACGGTTAAAGCAGATCGAGACGATGTTCGTCTCGAGACGACTCCAAGGCCCGAGGACTCAGGGTTTGAGTGTGGAGACGCTGTTGGACATGTTACTTGTGCTGTATGACGAGTGTTGCAACAGCAGCTTGCGAAGGGAGAAGGCTGTAGCGGACTTTATACAATATGGTGAGTGAAATTTAGGGAAATGTATTATACTTACATTTTTATTTGATATTATTATTTGATTTTGATTTGGGATTGATTCCCCATACAAACTTTTATCCCCATTTTCACTCCCTTAAGGGATAATTTCCGGAATAAAAAGTATATCCTATGTCCTTCCCAGGGTCTCAAACTATCTTCTTACCAAATTTCATTTAAATCGGTTCAGTAGATCCAGAGATTACCCTCTACAGCCTCACAAACTCACAAACTTTACCTCTTTATAATATTAGTATAGATAAAGTACTAAACAACTTTGTTAGCAAAAAAAAAAAACATTGAATGAGAATGTCATGCGTTTTGTAATATCTGTGAGTTGTATAGTGTATAGTTTTTGTAGGAACACCGTAAGTGCAACATAATATGTAGTTGGGATACAATAGATAGGAAATATTAGTTCCATTAGGGGGGATACCCGACTAATATCTTCGAACTTTGACCCCTCACCAGTGTGATAGGTTGTTCACATACAAATAATAGGTAGCGTACGTATAGACAGACGGACTTTTTCATATCACGTGTCATGTCATTTTGATATTTAATGAAGCGTAAAAGCGGCTCAGGCTAAATCTGTACGTTAATGAGTAGAAGTCAAGTTCAAATAAATTTATTGAACTGCCTGAGGATTTGTCATTTTATGAGTATCCATTTCGTCCAAAATTAAGATTTTTTTTTATTTATAACTAGCGACGTTAGTTATGTTGTAGCATTTAGTATAGATTTCTCAGAGATGATCGATATTTTCCTCCAGTAAAAAATATCCTAAATGTTGACCCGGATAACCAGCTATCATCATACCAAATTTCATCAAAATCTGTCGAGTAGTTTTTTCGTGATACAGTCACAGACAGACAGACAATAAATCTAAAAACTATCGATTCGACTTAGTTACATTTTTATTAAATACTAGCATTGCCCGCGGCTCCGCCCGCGTTCAGATGACCAAAAACCAAATTCTTAGGTTTTACATGTTAGTATACTCTAACAATGCAGTTTTTGTATTTTTTCTCAGAAATGAGACATTTTCCCGCGGTAAAAAGTATCCTATATGTTGAACTGGATAACCCGCTATCACCATACCAAATTTCATCAAAATCCCTCCAGTGGTTTTTCTGTGATGCGGTAACAGACAGACTGACAGACGGACATACATTCTAAAAACTATAGATTCGGCCTCTGTATCGATAATAATGTTTATTTCAATAAGATTTTCCAAAAAATATTTAATGTATATACAGATTCGGCTTAGTTACCATTTTATCATATGTATAGAAATGAATAAAATCAAATAGCAAGAATATAATATGCTCAGTATAAGTACTATTAGAAATTTGGAACACAGAAATATTTTTACGTACATTGCTGCTCTTGCCAAATGCATAGTAATATTCTCTCAAGTGTACATACATTTTCTAAATTGCTTCTAACTCACATTTTATGAATGTAATTAAATAGTGAGAGGGGAAGCTTAGTCCATTGAATATCTATTGTTAATTATTGAGCTTTTTCGCCGAATTCACTGAGGCGAAGATAATTTATTCGAGTGGTATAGAGTTATAGTATATGTTTGGGTTATTTTTGGCAATTTCAACTCAGTTTTCATGTTTCTTTTTTTAACTTTTAATCCGTATTTTCTACTATATCTGTTAGGATTATTACTGAAAATTAAAATTTCTTGATAGGAACATCAAACAACTATACTTAGCTCTATCCGAGATGAACCCGGTATCTCCGTACTGCAGCCATAGGGCTATCCCGCTCATATATTACTTCTATATTTATTATAATACTGTTATTACATATAAACATTTTTATTATGTATTAAAAGATTATTATTTAGATTTTTCTCATCATATTGTATTTTTGCGTTGTTACAGTAAAACCAGTAGCAGCAGCGCTAAAACGTCTAAGACTGTCGCGGGATGATTTCGAACTCGTCAAAGTGATTGGACGCGGGGCCTTCGGGGAGGTTTGCGTTGTGCGAGCGTCGTTTATGCAGGTAAGGATCTATACAACAGCCCAATACCCATATATACGTTTATCGAAGGTGTCCAGGACAGGGAAATCGTACGACTTGCGATGTGGACTCGATTGTCATACTTACTTTTGTATGTCAGTCGGGAAACGGCTTTAGGGTTGACAGGAATAACTGTAACTTGCCACAAGAAGGCATACTTTAACTATGAAACCATGAAGTGCAAATTTCCGTTAAAATCTATAATCACTTCTCTCTCTATGTATAATATAAGATATTACTATATAGAATATGTTTCTTATACATATTTTTATTTTTTACTTTTAAAGTTAAATTTAAATTAAATAAATAAAAATAAAATTATTAGCTAAAACAACTTTCTAAAAATATAGTTTTAGAGAATATATAAATTTTGCAGAAATGTTCGAAGGAATATAAACATGATATCATAAAGATGTAGTTTAGTATAAATAAATCTTCCCTTAAAATAACTGACACCGAAAATGTAAATTATGTTGATTGTCCCATTATCTTGTGATTTATAGAAATAATAATAAGTAAAATAATAATAGTAAGCTTTGTTTACCCAAAGTTAATTGAAAAGACAGGGTCGAAATCAAGATTTAGCAAACAAAAACTATACACAATTTTATTTCGCTTGTGCACGAATCCGGCCCTGTCTATTAGGTCTATCTGGATTAGAGCCAATGTTGAAAGTGTAACACATCATTTATGACAAAAAAATAGGTTAAGTGCAAGTTACAAAACGATGACAAAAATGGCGACAAAATTTTAAGATTTATGTTTGTTATGTTTTGATTTTTCTTCTTATTCAAAAATTGTAGCGCAGTGGCAATTTATTCTGTTCAATGAAAACTATAAGAAACAAACAAAATGATGAAAAAAATATATTTCATGTCCTTTCATACTGATAAGTAGATAATGCTTTGAAAGCAATCAATGAAGTAGTTTCGAAGATTTACGGTTTTGCATAAATAAAAATTTGTTTTTATTTACATACTAGCAACTTGCGAAATAGTCTGGTTGTTACTCCAGTATATCTGTGTACTCTTTCAAATCCGTGCAGCCGTTACACCGTAAAGGAGTAACAAACACACATATATACAAACTTTTGCGTATATAATATGAACCGATTTTTAACCCCCGACGCAAAAAGAGGAGTGTTATAAGTTTGACGTCGATGTCTGCCTGTCTGTGTGGTGTGTCTATGTGTGTCGGTGTGTGGCATCGTAGCTCTCAAACGGATCGACCGACTACGATGCTGTTTTTTTCATTTGAAAGCCAGTTTCCTCGCGGTGGTTTTTGCTATGTATGGTTAATATCAGTCCAGCAGTGTAAGAGTATAAGCTCTTTTCCGAATTGATGTAGTGGAATTGTGTATTTTAGAGTAAATATTAATTTAGCATCGTTTATATTCTATTCAGCAGGGCACAGAAGGTGTGAATACCACAGCCGGAACCATATCGACGACCACCGGCGACCGAGTGTATGCCATGAAGATACTGAACAAGTGGGAGATGTTGAAGGTAAGGAGATTGTAGTTACATTACACTTTATTGTACACCAAGAAAAAAGATATAAACAAAAAAACATAAACTCACAAAGAAAAACTGTACAAAAGGCGGACATATCGCTAGAAGCGATCTCTTCCAGGCAACTTAGTTATTTATTGTAAATATATAATTTTTGTCTTGATTTATATTGAAAATATTTCTTTTAACTAAATAGGTGAACTGACTAAAATAAAACGTTATTTTATCATAGGTTGTATGCAATTTGAAATGCACTTTTATAAGGCATTTATAGTTTGATTGACATGTTTAAGTAGTAAATACAATACCGTATAAATAACAATGATAATTCTAAAATATACTTTACACAATTTGCTATGACTTATGTACATAGTAAATATATGTAAAGTAAACATTTGGTTTGTTCATATAAATACATATATAATTAAGCATATGTGCAATCTCACTGTATTTTATTATCTTATTATATATTATAATAAAAATAAGAAAGTACAGTGAAATGAAAATTAATATTAGATTATGTTAAATACTAGCTAATGTAGGTAAAAGTATAAATAAATAGACTGAGCGAATTACCATGACATATATAATAAATTTTCCTTTTTTTATTAATATATTTCATATTAAGGGCGGTACATTTGCATACATAAAAAATCAAAATAAAAATAAAATAAATAAATAAAAAAAAATCTGTAAGTTAAATAAATTAATAAAAACTTTTAATATTACACTCTGACAAAAATATGATTCAAATGAATATCACACAAAGAGGGGAGAATAATATTTTCTATTTCTATCTAGCTGGGTTCTTACATCTATCGCGTATACTCTAAGGGATGAACACGAACGAAGCGAGGGTGAGCCTCTAGTTATAATGTTTTTACTAATCTTTGAAGACAGCAACGGAAAGAATATCATAATACATATATTAAATTGTTCAGACAATAAAAAAAGGTTACTATGGCAACCTAATGTAAGTGGTTACTATGGAAACCACGACGGGTAATCGTGACGCGACCTTGAAATTTTACTCATGCCTGCAAAGAAGTTTTCCATTAGATATTATAATATTTTAATGTATTGTATTCGCAGAGAGCAGACACGGCATGTTTTCAAGAAGAGCGAGATGTCCTTGTGTTCGGGGACCGGCGTTGGATCACTAACTTGCACTACGCGTTCCAGGATGAACATAATTTGGTAAAAAAATTATTTATATACATTTTACTAGCTTTACCCGCTGCTTTGATACACATTAAACTTCCGATACAAACATCAGTTTTACAATAATATACGGAAGTTTGCCCGATTTGTTGACATTTATAATTGCTGTTCCGCTCCCTTGGGTTGTAGCATGATAATAGATAGCCTATAACCATCCTCAATAAAAGGACTATCTAATGCAACAAGAATTTTTCAAAGCGGATTAGTAGTTCCTGAGATTAGCTCTTTCAAACAAACAAATAAACTCTGTCTCTTTATAATATTAGTATTATTAGTTAGTATAGTAGTCAAAATGTACATAGACAATAAAATAGTTATATGTAATAATTATTTTATTGTCTATGTACATTTTGAGGTAGAGGCGTAGTTACTTGTGAATACTTAGTTTCTTTTTAGATCCGCCTGTCATAATATTACCTCTTACATTTACTTGTTTTACCGTTTTTTTACCTGTTTTATTTTGATATTTTTCTGACATTTTGAATGCGTTACAGCAAAAATGGTCACGATACAGAACAGAACAGTTCTCTCGTGAAAATATAGTGTTATTTAAATATCTAAATCACATTCTAGTACCTAGTGATGGACTACTACTGCGGCGGTGATCTCCTCACTTTGCTGTCCAAGTTCGAGGACCGGCTGCCGGAGGATATGGCGCGTTTCTACATAGCTGAGATGGTGCTCGCCGTGCATAGCGTGCACGAGCTGCGATATGTGCACAGGTCGGTTGTGTTACCTGTGCGTTACCGATGTTAATGTGTGGTGGGAACGTGGTTACCGTTGTTACCAGTGTTGCTATGTGGCGGGAACGTGCGAACGTTGTTAGGTTCATGTTACCATTTTTACTCTTTGTTGGGAACATTGTTACTTTAATATGTCTTCTTAACTGAATTTTCATTTTAGCTTGGAGTGTTTAACACTATAGTGCAGGCGTATGCAGTGTGCACATAATTGTATCTGCGTGCAATGTTTATTAGTTATACTCTCATAGTGCAGTGTGATAGAAACAAAGACGAGATTGTAAAGAAATTCTTATAGAATACTAGCGAACCCGACAAAAGTCCTGCTCCAAATCGGTCCAGCCGTTTAGGAGGAGTCCAGTGTCTTCTGTACGTGTGTATGTCAAAACACACGTACAGAAAAATTATATATCTCTTATCTGTATAAGATGTAATTGTATAATATTAGTATTTTCAAATTAAAATATTATAATATGCGTATTAAATGTGATTCTTTCCCCACAGAGACATAAAGCCGGACAACGTGTTGTTAGACGCGAGCGGTCACATACGACTGGCTGATTTTGGTTCCTGTTTGAGATTAGGAGACGATGGCAAAGTATGCTTTATAATTTATACATAATATTATTGTTTTATTAATAATGATGATTCCCCATACAAACTTTAATCCCCATTTTCATCCCCTTATAGGATTATTTCCGGAATAAAAAGTATCCTATGTCCTTTCCAGAGTGTCAAACTATCTTCTTACCAAATTTAATCTAAATTGGTTCAGAAGATCCAGAGATTACCACCTACAACCTCAAAAACTCACAAACTTTACCTCTTTATAATATTAGTACAGATAATAATGTTCTTATATTTAATGTTATAGTGTGTTCTATTAGTGCTTGAAATATTTTTGACAAATTAATTTTATTTTATTGTATAAAGTAGTTTTATATAAAGCTGGGTACTTTAGATTAAAGATAGCTTTTATTTTTATATTATACTAGCATTTCCCGCGGCTCCGCCCGCGTTCAGATGACCAAAATCCAAATTCTTAGGTTCTACATATTAGTATAGTCTTACAATGCAGTTTTTGTATTTTTTCTCAGAAATGATATATTTTCCCGCGGTAAAAAGTATCCTATATGTTGACCCGGATAACCAGCTACCATCATACCAAATTTCATCAAAATCCTTTCAGTAGTTTTTCCGTGATGCGGTAACAGACATTTGTCTGTCTATTTAGACAAAAATTCTAATAACTATAGATTCGTCCTCTATATCGATAATAATGTCTATTTTAATAAAATTTTCCAAAAAATATTTTATGTACACATTTGACTCATTTAGAATTTTATTATATGTATAGAATATTGATGCGAATCATGTTATTTGCAGGTACAAAGTAATGTAGCTGTAGGCACACCAGATTACATATCGCCTGAAATTCTACGGGTAAGTTATTTTGTTCTAATCTTACAATTATTATAAATTTCATTTTCTATTTTTATGTACATATATGTCTTGTCTAGTAATTCACGTTGTATTGTAGTCTATTATACAGATAAATAAAAGTTGAAGTGTCTGTGTGTTATGTCAAAATAACAACTTTTCACTTAATAAATGCATATGAAATTATATACGGTATTTATAAAAAAAACACAATTTTTTTTAAATTGTCCGTCTGTTTGTTCTGGTTAATCTCCGAAACGGCTGGACTGATTTTGTTATAAGGAGTAACTTAGGCTACTTTTATTTTAGAAAAAGAATTAGGGTTCCGCTGAATAAAATAAAAACGTACCTAATTATAGTAGTATATAGTCCTAAATGTAACTAAATGTATAATTTTAAAAATATTTTACTAATCGTTTCTGTTTTCAGGCGATGGAAGATGGACAAGGTCGATATGGTCCGGAATGCGATTGGTGGTCACTTGGTAGGTCAAAATTGATCAAATCACATAAATCACATCAAAATATGCTTTATTCAAATAGAGTTTTACAAGCATTTTTGAATAGACAACTTTATATTTTAAATTTAAATTAAATGTCAGTATTTAAGTAAGTCTGTGAGCAGTCTACCACCGGCTCGGGAGGCAGTTCTAATGAGAAGAGCCCAAAAGCAACGAGACAGTTGCTCTTTTTAAATATAATAACAATATCGAAATACAAAAAAAAAATGTAATTATATATTTGTTAGACAGTTTTAGATTAAATTTAATACATTATATCTAAGGCATCTAAGTTACAAGTAGTATATTACCTATGGAAATAAGGAATAAATATAACATTAACAATTTCCAGGTGTATGTATGTACGAGATGTTGTTCGGGGAAACCCCGTTTTATGCGGAGAGTCTCGTGGAGACATATGGGAAGATCATGAACCACGCACGTTGTTTTCATTGTCCGCCGCCCGACGAACACGCGGCACAGGTATGTGTTGCTGATGATGATCTACTTTATACTTCTCGACCGTCAAAACGTAATTATAGCGGACCATATACTATCCATGTCGATGGACCCTCGGCGGGCTGGATTAAATACTTTCGCGGGTCGGAGTTGGCCCGCGGGCCGTACTTTGCCCATCACTGATCTAGTTTCATGGTGGCTACGAGGCTTGTGTTATAGAAACCGGATAGTTCATACACTACACATATATAACTAAATGAATGGCCCCAGCGGGATTCGAACCCGCGACCGCAGGCATAGAAGGTAGGGTCACTACAAACTGAGCCAAACGTGTCATCAAATAAGAATATCTAGAATTTTTAATTTTGCTATGAATAAAAAACTTCATGTTTTTGCTGTGAAATTCTGTGCTTGGCGTGAAAGTTTCATCGAAATTGACCAAACTTTTTTAACATACATGTTCAGTTATGTTTATTTTCTTAAATGACCGTTTATTTAAAAAAAAATAAAAATGTCATAACGGTTGTTTTGTTATCTGAACTTCTTTTTCATTTTAGGTATCCGAAGAAGCAAAAGATTTGATAAGGAGATTAATTTGTTCCTCTGAAACTCGATTAGGAAGAAATGGCTTACAAGATTTTAAGGTAATAACATATTTTTGATATTATTTTTATTAGTAAATAATGAATGTATATAAAAATTTCATCATCGGACATCGCGCCCAGATATTAAATTCCATCCACACCACCTCAATGTCCAGCGTTCCACAACAGTGCGATTTTTAAGGCATTTTCTGCCTCGCACAACCACTCTGTGGAACCAGCTATCGCCGGCGGTCTTTCCGAACCGCTACGACCTGGCCACCTTCAAGAAGAAAGCGTATACTTTCCTTAAAGGCCGGCAACGCAAGCCCTGCGGTGTCGCAGATGTCCATGGGCGGCGGTGATCACTTTCCATCAGGTGAGCCTCCTGCCCGTTTGCCCCCATAGTCCCATAAAAAAAAAGCAGGTTGTGTTACGTTGGTAACTAGTAAGGTTACTTTCATAGTAAACATGGGTTCGGATGTGGTGTACATATTATTTAATATTTTTATGGGTTCCACAAGATTTTATTATGGCATTTCTCAAACCTCAAACATTGTAATCTATTGAAGACATCGATTATATAGAATTTATTATTTAAAAATAATTATATGTCTACACTATGCTTATACTCCAAAGATAATAAATATAAAGCTGCAAATGAAATTCATATTTGTACTATACAGATAAATAAAATTAAAGTGTCTATTACTAAATACTTATAAGAATAAAAGTATGTTTTTAAATTTTTTTATTTATGTTTGTCTGTTCATTCCGGCGTATCTCCGAAACGGCTGGACCGATTTCGACGGGACTTACACTGCGAGATAGCTAATGTTATAAGGAGTAACTTAGGCTAAATAAAGTTGTTTAAATTGAATACTACGTTCCAGAGCCACCCGTGGTTCGCGGGGCTGGAGTGGGACAGCGTGCGCGAGATGCAGGCGCCCTTCGTGCCCGACGTGTCCAGTCCCACCGACACCTCCAACTTCGACGTCGACGACACTGATATACGGTTGGTGTTTGATATTGTTATTTTATTACATCAATGTCAAAATAACAGCTTTTTATTAATTGCATATAAATTGTATACGGTACTTATAAGAAAAAAAAACATTTTTAATATTTTTGTCTGTCTGTCTGTTTCGGTTATCTCCGAAACGGTTAGACTGATTTTGACGGGACTTCCGCTGATAGATACCTGATGTTATAAGGAGTAACTTAGGCTACTTTTATTTTAGAAAAAAAAGTTCTGCTCAAAAAATAATACTTACCTAGAAACGCACCCGAGCGAAGCGAGGCTAATTCGCTAATTACTACCATATAACTTATTAACTTTTCGCATTCCATAATTATAAAATAATTACACTACGTAATTTAAACGCGTGGATTCGTTAGTATATACATTATTCTCAACGTTTCGACTGGGTTGCACCAGCAATGGTCACGGGCAGACTGCATGTTGGGAAATGCATTTACGCGTACCACCTGTAGACATACAGGTGGGTATGTGGGACTAGCTTTATTTCCTTTTGCATTAATACATATATAAAAACTGTACATCAATTGTTTTTTGTGTTCTTTTTGGAACGGCTTACCTCTGCTAAAATTTCACCCTTGGCCACTGGTATGTATGTATGTATGTGTACCGCAGGCTGTCGGAGGCGGTGCCGCCGCCGCGCGCGTCGGCCGCCTTCTCCGGCCTGCACCTGCCCTTCGTGGGGTTCACGTTCACGGGCGGCTCGCGCCTCTGCGACCTCGGCGCGCCCACGCCGCTCAGCCCCGCCAAGAACGCCACCAAACAGGTGCGCTCACTCACTCGCTCGTTCACTCATTTAATCGTTCTCTTTTTCAATCAGTCGCTTACTTTTACTTGTTTATTTTCATTCACTTACTTGTTTACCCATTTCCTCATTCATTTCTTGAATCTTACTCACTCACTTGTTAACTTCATTCATTCACTCACTAACTTACTCTTTCACTCATTCATTTGAACTGTCATATTAGTGTAATGTAAAAAATAAGAGCTCTATTTACATATATTTTTGTTTCGATGGGTGTACGAGTATATATCACAACGTTGCTCGTTTGTCGATTGTAATATTTTAAAATTCTGAATAGTTTTTTTTTATTTTGTTCAATTTAATTCTATTTGAGTTTGAATGAAAAATCGTACCCCTAAAGAATTATATATATAAATTAACTATTGAATATATAGCTTATATTCAATAGTTAATTTTAAATATTTCTTCATTACCAATTTATATAATTTAACATATTTTAAACACGAAATATAATATAATATTGTACTCAGTCAAGTAAATTGGTGTTAAATTAATTGTAAATATTCTTTTTCTTTTATTTTAATAACAACACTTACACCAAAATTGTGATTAATTATATAATTCGTTTTATCATATACTTAAGTAAAATAACACTAGCGACTCACACTCGCTCCGCTCGGGTTCGTCTCTAGTGAAAATTTAGATTTGTATGTATTATTAAATGCCGAATTATAAAAAAATAAAAATAAAAATGTTTGTCCAAAAGTTTAAAAAAAAATTCTTAAGGTGGACCATCCTTATCACGTAGGGGTATAAAAAATAGTTAACGTCCTATTCTCAGACCTACTGAATATATACTACAAAATTTCATAAGAATCGGTCAAGCCGTTTTAGAGGAGTTTTGTTACAAACACTGTGACACGAGCATGTTATATATTAGATACATATACATGTTACAGTTACAAGCGCCATCTAACGCGAGCGACCGCGCCGCGCTCAAAGCGCTGGAGAGAGAGAACGCGCTGCTGGCGCAGACCATCGCCGAGCTCAGGGCTGGGAGCGGTGTTGAAGAGGGTTCTGGTACTTTGAAATATACTATATGCTAGCGAATTACCCAGGCTTTGCTCGTGTGATATGAATATGTGTCATACTCTATGTGTGTACTAAATTTCATCAAAATCCATCCAGCCATTTAAGCATAAAGAAGTAACGAACATACACACAAATCAACTTGTATTTACGACAAACTAGCGACTAGCCCTCTCTTCGCTTCGCTCGACAAAAACAAATCTATCCAAGGGGAACCGTACATTTTTCCAGAATAAAAAGTAACCTATGTGCTATTCCAGACAATATATCTATGTGTCAAATTTCATCCAGATTCGTTCGGTTGTTCTGGCGTGAATGAGTAACAAACTAACATCCAAACTTTCGCATTTATAATATTAGCGGTATGTGATATGTAACTTCTTTATAGTCTCTCCGAAAGCTTTGTTGATCTTTTTTTATTATTTTGTTATAACACTAAACTTTTATCGCTCTTTTATTTAACAGACGAAATGACACAATTAAAAGAAGAATTATCGACTCTATCGCAAAGGAACAGTGAATTGGAAGCGCAAGTGCGACGCATCGAGCAATTGAGTGCCTCAGTGGGTTCACAGGTATATGAGAAATGGGAATATATAATTAATGATTTGATACAAAAATATGATTATTATGATGATCATTTGTTACTACTTATTGCTGTTACGATTAATACTATCGATTTGAATGAAATTCCATGAAAAGGCAGCCTTTATTGTGAATTAAAGGATAAGATACTACTCATCAATGTAATTAGTACCTATCACTCGAGCGAATCCCCGAGTAAAGGCAGTAAGTCTTATATATACATTATCCTTATATATAAAGGCAGTGGTAGCCCAGTGGTAACGCGCTCGCTTGGCAAACCGAGTGAAGCGAGTTCAAATCCCGGGTCTCGCACCTCTGATATTTTTATGTGCGTATCATTTCCTGCATGATTCCACTTTTCTTCGGTGAAGGATAACATCGTTAGGAAATCTGCATGTCTGAAAGAACCTCAATCTCGAACCTCATCAAGTTTTCGAAAGACATGTTCAGTCCGCCCGCACTCGGCCAGCGCGGTGGACTATGGCCTGACCCCCTATTGAAGGGAGGCGCTTGCCCAGCAGTGGGACGTTAAAATGGGCTGAATACATACATACACAAACTTTCCTCAAGAGAGGCGAAACAGACAGCGACTTAGTTTTTTACTATGTACATATATAGATGTTATTTACTTACAGCATATAATTATTTTTTTAGGAAATATCATCATCGCCGCAAGAATTAACGACACGCGTCAAGGAATTAGAAGTGCTGCTAAATGCATTGAATATAGAAAAGGAAGAACTAGTCAAAGATAAAACTGATTCTATAGAAAAATTACGATTACAGGTAATTGAAGATGTTATTATTTTGATTGTTTTTTGTTTGTTGCTATTTTATGTTTTTATAGCACCAAATAATGCGGTGTTTATTAGATATGTATTAACGTTAAATAATATTAAAAAAAAATTAAAACTAAATTACTATTAAAATAGATTTCTGGGAACATAAGTATACTATATATAGTCGTATTGTAACAATATTATTTTACTTTCCTTCTATGAAAGGCAAAAAAGCAATTAGTAGCAGCGATTATAAATTATTGAAAACATTTGAAAGCAATATAATTTAAAAAAAATATTTAAAATTGTAAAATCCTATAATGTTGACATCTTTCTTAAATTAATATTTAAAAATAAATCCGTATTAATATATCAGCTTCATTATATTATAATAATAATTGGAAAAAATGAACAATTTCTAAAGCCAGTCACAACTTATGATTTTTAAAATAATTATGTTTGATTAGTTTAAATTCTCGATCAAAAAAGTACTAGATACACAATCAGCGACAAAGAATGTTCTCACCGAATGAGCGCTCATTTGAACATTTGAGCGCGCTTTTAATATTATTTTTTGTGAAAACAACTTTAAGCACTGCATTTAAGGTTCAATTTACATTGTTGTATATTTATTTCAACTAGAATAATTACCTAAACACAATTGGTGATAGTTTTAAGAGAACTTTTACATGGGATTGTGTATCTAGTACTTTTTAAATTTTACTTGCTAAATGCTAATGATATATTACTAATATTTTGCTCTAATATAATCTATCCAAGTCAATCTATATACAGATTGATGTGTGTGAAACATTTATGTTTGTGCTAACCCCTTATTCTGAAATAGGATAAGGAATTGAAAGATGCTGTGTCGCAAAGAAAGCTCGCTATGACCGAGTATAACGAGGTGACCGACAAGTTGGCTGAGCTGAGGCAGCAAAAGCAAAAGTTGTCGAGACAGGTTTGGCATTTTTTTTTATATTAATAATTGTTATTTTACGTTCGTTTTATGTAATTGTTTTTTTTTTAATTGCCAATTATGTATTTTGTTGTTGTGAGGTATTATTATATGCTTTAATTATTGCTTTTGTAGCTTTTTATGTATATCATTGTTGATTTCAAGATCAGAAGTAGACAGAGAGAGAGACAGAAAGAGGAAAAGAAGAGAGGACATAGTTACATATAATAGTAAACAGTTATATGTGTTATATATTAATATTGAAGTCAATTTTAAATAAAAGTATATTTTCGTACTTTTTCGTCGGTTTATTTTGAATTTTGGTTCCCGACGTTTTTCAAATGCTTTACAACAATCATGGTCACGGGAGAGAGTTTCAAAAAATCAAAATACTTTAATTTAAAATATCAAATATTTGCGTAAATCTAAGAAAGTAATTTTTCAGCAAAGTTGAGAGATTTTTCTTTTTAATATTTATACTTTGGAGATAACCTCCCACTTCCAAACTTACAAACTTAACCTCGCCACAAATTAGTGTACATTAAGCAGATAACACTATAAGTGACTTACACTTCACCCTCAATTAATATAGCACGTAATATTAAATAATGAACATTTATGTTTGTACACGCAGGTGCGAGATAAAGAGGAAGAGTTGGAGGTGGCGATGGCCAAGATAGACGCGCTGCGGCAGGACATACGGCGCGCGGACAAGTCCCGGCGAGACCTCGAGGCTCGGTTGGATACTGCTCTCAATGAGGCCGCCAAGGTTAGTGTTTGGTCTAATGTTTAGATTTCTACTGCGTGTTCTTAATTATTTTATGCATGTTCCAATGAAACCATGCAATAACTTTACCAACTCGTTAGTTTAATATTTTTCTACAATGTTTCTTTAACTTGGTATTCTATTAATTATTAATATGAGGAGGAGACCGTCGGGGCACTCGCGAGTATAACGACTGAAAGCCGTTCGGTTTTTAAACCGGTTTCGGTTATTTTGGAAAGGGTTTTCCGTTTAACGTTTCAGTTACGCTCTTTAACCGGTTGAAACCCGGCTTTAGGGTTGAAGGCTAACCTGTAAGTTGCAACGAGATGGTATTACTTAACTTTGAAATCGTTCGTTTATTTGTTCAAACCACAACTACTTTACAGTAGAGAGTTTTCTCTTCATTTTAAAAAACAAAGATTCATTTCTAAAATTTATATACATATAGAGATAAAATACATTTTTTTATCTATTTTAAAGTAAAATGTATATTTTATACCAATAGAATTGACATTTAAATCAATAATTCTGTATGAAAAACTCTTAGAAAATTGGTCGATTGGATAAATACTGAAGACAAATACACTATACACAGATAGTAAATACCAAGACGACGTTGTGGTGATTATGACGTGTCGACGTTTCAGTTTTAATTGTCATAAAGTTGTGATTTATTTAATTTTCCCATATATATTGACATAATAACGTTTGCAGGAGCGTAAATTGAGAGAAGAGAGTCTCAAACTGCAGCGAGTGGAGGCGATCGAGGCGGCCGGCGGGGGCTCGGCGGCGGATGTGGCCAAGTTGCAAGCTGATATCGAGGCTCTGGAGGTAATGTCTGTGTGTTTGTGTGTTTGTTTGTTACTCAAGTCGTTTCAAGCTGAAACGGTTGGACGGATTTGGATGGAATGAATGATTATTGTAATTACGTTTTAGCCTAAAAAGATAGAAAATATTTCAAAATCGTCTAAAGATTGATTTTGTAATTATGTATGTAATGGATAATTTCCTAACAATTATTGTGTAATATATACATAACTAGTACATTAAAGTGTTTCTATAATATTTGTTAAACGGATTGAGATGCATTGTAGTACATCGTTAGAAAACGTCTTCAAGTAACATATAGGTTATTGTTTGGCATCCTGGGACGCATCTAAATGAAGCGAGAGAGAATGAAGCTTACCATGGAACTAGATGGTGTGGTGTGTTAATGTCCGAACATATTTATTTATTTATATTTATTGTTTATATATGTATATATGTGTGTATGTGTGGGCAGACGCAGTACGCGCAGTCGCTGGCGGCGCAGCAGGCGCGCCACGCGGGCGAGCTGGCGGCGCTGCGCGACCAGCTGCACGACGGCGACGCGCTGCGCTCGCGGCTCTCGCGGGAGGTACACACACACATACATACACATACATACTAATATTCTAAATGGGAAAGTGACTCTATCCGTCTCTTGTCCTTACACGCTTAATCTGCGGAACCGATTTATAAGATTTATATGAATTTGGTACGAAGATAGTTTGAGACCCTGGGAAGAACTTAGGATAATTTTTATCCCGTTTGTATGGGCAATCATTTCTCAAGTAAGAGATATAAAACTCATCATACCTATGTATATATATATATATATATATATATATATATATATATATACACACACAATATATACTATAATAGTCTATTACATACTAAGCATTAAAACGTACCCATAGAACCCGAGCGCTTTAATGCCATCATGGCATGTAATGGTCAATCCTAAAACTTCCCGATTGACGTAGAAAAATAAGTATGGCCGTCGAGAGCGCCTCACCAGCGTCCCCCGCACCCCCTGTTTAGACGCCTTTGTTAGACGACTGTATGGATTAGTACACTGTGTTACTATTTCCTTACTATTCTTACTACTTTGTATGTCAAATAAATTTCTTACAAAATGTTACTAGTTGATAAAAGAGTATCATGGCCTAGAATGAACCTGACAACTGTATATTGTGAAAACATTGGTCCTTGAGGGAAATCTATCTCAAAAAAATATTTTGTGTGCGCAGTTGCAAACCTCCAAAGATAAATTGGAGAGCCGTCGGTTGGAGCAACTCAACGACAGTGAGGATAAACAGATGCTCATCAATGAAAATAGAAAGCTAGCAAAAGATCTTGATGCAGTAAGTCTTTAATTTTGTTTACAGTTACATGTATTATGATAATTAATGACCAATAATTATCAAATTACGTATCTCCATAATCTATGTATGTGGTTTTCCGTGTTAGTGATAAATATTCGACAAAAGCTCTATACAAATTATGTTAAATTTCTATCTCTAGTAAGAAAAACCATAGGTAGGTAGACATTCATTGTAGGTCGTTTGAACTGAAGTTAGTTTGTTGTGGTATAAAACTAACAGTAAACCAATGAATAATTTCTGAGATATATTATGACAAACAAACATACATATTACATGGACATGTGTACATTTGTAAAGGTTTGAATGTTTCTTTATAATTCGACACACATATGTGTTATACGAATATTTTGCAACATCAATATTCAAATTGAGAATTAACAATAACACCTCCAGGTAAATTTCTAAGAAATTAATTTAATTTCTAAGAAATCTATTGTTAACTGTAACGCCGGCGTGTCCGCGGTCGTGGAGGGATTAATAAATACTCTTTATTGTACACACAACAAAAACTACAACAAAAATATAAAAAGAGCTATGTACAAGTATTATCGAATTGATAATTGTCAACTCTATCTCTCGTGAAATCGATTTTAAAGCTTTTTTTTGTGAAATTGGTTAAAGAATAAGTTTCAATATTTCATGTTATGTTAATATATAACATATATTTTGCAATTTAAAGATGGCGGAGAACGGTAGGAGATGGCAAGCGGAGAGACGACAGCTCGAGATGGAGTTAGAGGAGTTGCGTGCGAAGCGAGACTCAATGCAACATTGGGAGACTCAGGTTTGTTTTAACCATTTCTTTTTACCACAGTATATTGCCCTTTTTTCTTAACAATTAATATTAAGTTAGACTTCACGAGTAGCTTCGTTTTGACGAGATGCCCAACTTTTCTTTGCACGAAAATTTTCAATACTGAATGATAAAAGTGGGTTGATACGAAATATCCCGATAGGGTGATATTTTTATTGCGAACGGTGTTTTTCCATTTTATCTTGGGATGATTCAATATAAAACAAGAAAAAATGATTACCTACTAACGAGATGGTTTGGTTCTTTCAGAATGTTGTTATTTGTATTTCAACTAAAATATTTAGATTTTTTAAATATGGTTTAGGTCTTTTTTTCGTGCTATTTTTACTTTCATGTCCTTAGTACTTTTATTATTACTCTGTTTGCTCGCGTATTGTAAGTTATATTAATTAATTGTATATTTAATTTAACAGTTTTATTTATGTATGTCACACAGATAGCAGATATAATTCGATGGGTGGCGGACGAGAAGGAGGCTCGAGGCTATTTGCAGGCACTTGCTACTAAAATGACTGAGGAATTGGACTACTTGAAACATGGTATGATATTATTTTAGTATAGATGTACAACATCGATAATATATAATTATTTAATATGTATGCTATTTTAAAAACAAAATCAATTGATATTCGACTGTGATAAAATTATTATTTGACGTCATAATGTCTGTTAATTAATGTAATATTATCCCCGCGAACGGTACACGTAGTGCACCTTCATCTCCCCCAACAGTATGCGTGGGCGTTTTATTTGATTTATTATGACTATTCGCATATATAACAATACAATATCCTCCCAGCAAGTGGCACACGTAGCGGCGCCCCCTCGTCGCCCCCGGCGGTGGGCGTGGGCGCGGGCGCGGGCGCGGGCGTGGGCACAGGCTGGCGCAACCGGCGCTCGCAGAAGCTGGACAAGATGGAGATCCTCACGCTGCAGTCGTCCCTGCACTCCGAGATACAGGCCAAGCAGGCCGTGGGAGAGGAGCTGAGTCGTACCCGTGCAGAACTGCTGGCTAGTCAGAGGTGATTCACTTGTATATTAACATAATAATAGTTTATTAACTGCCTCGTCGGTCTAGTAGCTAGTATGTACGGCTGAAGTTCCGAAGGTCCTGCGTTCGGCTCCCGGTGTGGGTCAAGTTTAGTCATTGAGTCTTGCTGTTAAGTATGTAAATGGAAATGGGAAGTTCGCAGTGCTTAACCTCTATTCCGAGACACTAGTGTCAGAGATTACCCTCCTCCACATATAAACTTACAAATTTAACTTTATATAATATTTGTATAGATTAGTGTAGATACAAAAATGACTAAAATGTAATAATTGACAACAGAGAGCTGATGGAGACCCGGCAGCGGCTCGACACGCTCGCGCACGACATGAAGCGCAAGGAGCAGCACATCCGCGACATGCAGGCCAAGCTCGACGCGCCGCACCAGCCCTCCAACTCCTGTGAGTATACACACACACGTACACACCATACACCCATCATATACATACGCCCATACCAGGGCTGCCAGTAGAGACAACTGCTGATAGTAGAGCCAACTTATTTCGTACTGCCGGTTCACTCAAATTATACCAAATCAAATTTTATTATACGAATTAACTAACTCTGTTTAGAAATAGTCTGTGATGAATAAAAGAAAGTTCAATAAAAAAACGTAATAATTTAAACTAAAATATACATAAAATAAACATATTTTACAATTTTCGTATCCAATTATACGATCTGGCAGCCCTGACGCATACACATACATACACACACAAACTCCCTACTGTGTCAGGCCACAGACAGTCAACTAATCTATAGAGTAGTCTAACGAAGGCGTCTAGACAGGCAATCGTGTGTGGGGGAGATGCGGAGAGATACTCCCGACTGTCATACATTATTTTATATGATAGTCGGGAAACGGCTTAAGGGTTGACGGGTATAACCATCGATCAAAAAGTACTACATACAAAATCAGCGACAAAAAATGTCCTCACCGAATGAGCGCTCATTTGAACATTTGAGCGCGCTTTTAATATTTTTTGTGAAAGCAACTTTAAGCATTGCATTTAAGGTTAAAGTTACATTATTGTACATTTATTTCAACTAGAATAATTACCTAAACACGATTGGTGACAGTTTTAAAAGATCTTTTGCATGGGATTTTATATATACTATTTTTTTGATCGATCGTACTTGGCGACGAGGTGACACTAGAGTGTTTTTACATCGAAATCGTGCCCAAGAAAATTGGCATTTTTCACAACCATTACTGAATTTTAGTCAAATATACAGAATGGATCGTTATATTGTAAACAAGCTGGCTACATTTTCTTATTAAAATATTTAAATAAAGAGATGTGATTTTAACCAACCTAAAAAAAAGGATGTGGTAATCTTTTAAGGTATATGTTTTTTTTGTGTGTATGTTAAGGGATATCTTTGCCAATTGTGAACCGATTTAAATGATTTTTTTTAAATACGCTGTGCCTAAATAATGATACACCACCACACGCACTTTAAGAACAAAAATCTATCTTAATAAATCGAAATAATTTCATTTAAAATTTTATATTCTGTTAGCCTGATAATGTTTATAAGCGCTACGTAAATAAGTCGACATAACGTTGTAGTCGATATAATATTAGTATATTTTAAATAAAACTGTCTTTTCGGATTATTTCGCGGATTTATTTTGATTTTTGGTTCCCGACATTTTGAATAATTTACAGCAATCATGGTCACGGGAGAGACTAAGGGTTACTGATTTTATTTAAAATGTCAAATATTCGCGTAAATCTAAGAAAGTATTAATGTTATATTTATGCAATTGCCTACAAACTACATACATAACATACATGTTACAAAAACTTATTATAACAGAAAGATTAAACAAAAAAAAACTTAACTTTTTACTTTTTAAGAGATTTGATTATATTCGTATTATAATTGTTTAAGTTATGTGGTGTGTTAACAAACATAAGTGGACTCTCAATTATTTTTTTAAATAATCTCATATTTCTTTACACTGGTCAATGGTGAATCAAGAAGGTTTTTTATATATAGAAGGGTTATTTAACTAATACATATCTGACACATAAACTAAAATTTATAGTAATTTGAGTACATAATATAGAGAGAGTTACATAGAACAACTTTTGGGTATTTTTGTTATTATAATATGTGGGTATATTATATTTTAAAATATTTATACTTCTCTAAAATTCAATTAAATTTAAAAAAAAAAAACTTTAAATAAATCTAATGTTATATATCTTATGTATAATTTAATATTACAAATTGATTATTAATTTATTTACAAATTATAATACCAAAATCCCAAGCAATTCAACAAGACTAATATTATACACATACAAACAGGAACAATCTTTATATATATAATTCTTCTGTGAGTGTGTATGTCACTGAACTTCTTTCAAACGACTGGACCGATTTTGATGAAATTTTTTGTGTGTGTTCAAGGGGATCTGGGAATGGTTTAGATTCACAATTTGAATAATAATTTTCATCAAAATGGTCCAGAATGTTTTAAAAAAAGTTTGAAATTTTCAAATTAAAGACGTGTAGACAGGACAACGTCTGTCGGGTCCGCTAGTAATAATTATAACAACTTCCATACTAAAATGAGAATAACATATTAGAATAGACATTTTTTCCAGGCTATACTTGAATATATGAAATGATATAATTTATATCATGTGGTATTAAAATATATAAACTTTTTTGAAGTTATACTTCTTTTGGCACGTTTGGAAAAAAATATGAGAGTAAAATTTTTACGATGCACGCGCACACCAACAGCCAAAAAGCGACATGATGAAGTTAGCTGCATTCCTAATATACAAACAGAGGGTTGTAACATACGAGATGAAATCTTTAGTTCTGTTACGCCAAATAAGTATAACTTGTTTGGTGCGGTACATAAGTACACGCTTTTTTTTTATAATGGTACTATATAATTTCTTACAGCTGTGTATAAATTGTCTAAATTAATAAACTTGGGTGTAAAACCATTTATTTATTTATGTATTTATTTCCAGCACATCACACATAATTATAATATGTTTATTTAGTGCACCTTTTCTTTTTGTTTTCGTTACATGTTACCGCACAATCCCATCCAATACACAATACGTGAAATATAACCGTGACGTCACGGAATCCGACCAAATGTCAAAATGGAATGTTGGATCCATCCACAAAGTCCACCGTCGTCCGCGACGAAAAAAACGAAAATAAATTGTCTTTGCCTCATTATATGGACTCTAAACTGTGCTATGTTTTATTGTCTGTGAAATTTTGAAATTGGAACTGTGATTTGATTCGTCGCGAGCTGTGTTCTTATGTTACGGAATTTTATAAATTTTGATCATATTGTCTATGGGGCCATTTTTTGCATTTATGAAAACTTATGTGTTATCTGTGGCATTTTTAAAACGCGTTCGACGCGGTGCTACTTATTATATTTAATTTATAATCTGTTTTATGCTGTTTCTTTTTTATGACAGTTCGTACGTGGTTAAGGTCATACATACCTCTGTTTATAGGCGTGACGTCATGTATATGGGGTGTTACTGTACTTGTGTACCATCAGATTTACGGCTAAGATATAATATTATAATTTAAACCAGATACTTTTTCCATTTTACATTTATATTAATGCAATTTTACATTTTTTTAATATTTTATTTACCCTAAGGAAAAGTAGCTGGTATTTTTTTTTGTTCCTTTTACCAACAAGTTTTGCCAAAATCAAACTGTGTTGGCATTATATTGTTTGATCCCGCCAGCCGGCGTCGAATCTAGTCTTCGAATCTTAGTCTAGTCCCAAACATAACTTACCAAAGATTTTAAATGAAATATGTAATTTTATAATAATTTAATGCCTATACTCTATAGTAGGGGAGCTACGAACTAGTCAATATACTCGAACTTTATATACATATATACTTTATTTGTATTTACAAAAGTATTAATGAGGATTTTTTTTGCCTTTTTTTTACATTTATTTTCTTCAAAACAATATGAAAAGTAACAGCATAATGCAGATTTTTTTTTAGACTTAAGTTACTACTGATTATTTTAGAATCTCAGTGCATTTTACTTATTTATTTTGTTACCGTTCGTGCATTTTCTAATACTTCAAGAATAACAAAAGTACATTCGCACGCATAAACTTATGTTTTTTTTTTACTTAAAAAAACTTAATGACTTTAACGATTTTACTTTGTATTTTTTCGCACTTTTTCTAATTTCATCTATGTATATTATATTACAATTACATACTAATTAGGAAACTACTTGGAAGGTGGAGGTTTGAATATTAGAAAATGTTACGACCGGTGTTTATATTTTAAATTGTTTGTATTATTTAAGTTGCGGTACATTTACTCTGCATTTAGTGGTTGCCGGTGGGCGCGTGAATGAGACGGTCGTGTACACTGTACAGTGTAGATGTACATATTTATATATCGATATTAAACTTTTGTTGTATTCTCTTGTTATTTGATTTTGTTTTCTTTTATATATCACACTTATTTCGATTACCTGTTTATATTTTGTTTGAAATATGTTCAAGTTTTATCGAAATCGGGCAGATTGAAATTATTAATAAAAGTTATAACGATTTTTTATTATTACAATATTTGAAAAGTTTAAATTAGTAGTCTATGGAGTATAATAGAAATGGAGTGTCAAAATGCTATAAACGATGGTAATTTATTACAATATTAATTAAAATCGTAAGTTATGCGCAAGCAGCGAGGCAAGGCTCGGCTAAATCTTCGAGCTACTGGAGCGGTAAAGAAGAGAATGGTTCGTGAATTTTATTCAGTTTAAGTTTGTCCATAATACGTCCTATTAGAGTAGTTATGTGATTGTGTATGTCTTGACCTTGGTAACTTTCTGTTGGTGACATAAGAAATTTATACATCTATATTTTTTTTTAAATATTTTTTGCTGCCGACTGTACCAGATTTTTATTAGGCCTTATATATATACATACTTTAAAATTTTATTTATAATTAGTTTTCATAAAGTAAGATATTTTTTATGCACCAACATTTATTGCTCATTATTAAAATTAAAAGGTTTTTCATGGATTTCCTGTCTTTGTGCTGCGTTTTTAGTTAATAACTAGTTTTGTTATACTCTTTCGTTTTTTCCATTGTAAGTACGAGCAAGTGTCAAGGAAAATTATATCTTTTTTTATCGAATAACGTGCGATATCGCTGTTTTGAGGGCTCATCTTATTTATAAGATTAATTTTACTTAAATTTAAAGCGTATTTAGGTTAAAATTCGTATTTATTTATATTGAACTCCAAAACAGTGATGTTTCTCAAAAAATATTGGCCAATTTTGTACGATTTGGAATCATTTATCTTCTATCATTGTAAATCGCTTCGCTTTTGCTTGAGCTTCTTGCAGTGGCATGGATGTGACAAAAAATACTTAATTTTTTTTTGGTTTATATTCATTTTGCAAAATTTATTTAATTTGAAAATGTAATTAGGTTATCTAAAATTATATTTATTGTTATTGAAAATGCTACGTTGTTTGTTTCAAAATATTTGTTTTAAACGTCATATGTCCATTCATACCCGGCATATAACGCCCTAAGCGATCTGGTTTTCTTTAACACTTGTTTGTATACGCACTTAGGTACTAATCTGTTTTATTGTAAACCCTAATTTTGTAAACAACCTCAGGCGTGGATGCAACATTCGCACAACAGATAGTATTTTTTTGTGACTAAATTGTTTTTGTTTTTAAGTTAATAAATACTATTTTTTTAGTCTGTGGAATTATTTTATTTTCATATTTTTATGTGTTTGAAATCGAGGAGTTTTATTTTTGACGTGTATTTGTCATATTTAAACATGATCAATGTATTCTAAAATTTTTTTTAATACTTGTGTTGTGTGAGTGTTCAAAGTGTGGGCTAAGGGTTTAGTTTATACAGCCAATTGTATTGTCCCGTGCATGTCCTAGTCCCTACTTTGTTATAACCAAAATGTACGTAAAGTCGGGTGCTAATATTTGTTTACATACGAAAATTATAATAGACTTTCACATTTTTGATTTTGTTATAGCATTGTTTTTCCACCCGACTGTACCTATTTTTATGCTATGTATTAAATAAATCTTATAATAGTTTTTAGTGACGTTTTGTGATCATGGTTTCGGTTGGGATTGGTTTACGTGTTCTTACTCAATTTTTTTTCCAAATTTTTTCATCCATTTTTATCGTATGTTTTGAAGTGATGAGTTTTTATTAATTATTTTTTTTCGTTTTTCAGTTTTAGATCGACCACCGTCGCAAATGAGCTACTTAGACCAATTTTTGAAAGACGCGCCAACGGAAAGGCACTACGATAATGTTGCGTCTATGAACAACGAACAGAAGGTACGTTTCAAATTAAATGTAAAATTGTGTCACATATTTAGTGAAATAATGTCATGTCTCAAAATTTTTACTTTATTATTATTATTAAGATAATATGTACATTGTTATATATCCAAATTCTTTAAAATAATTTATTTTTAGATATGACTTTATTCAATAGTGTAACTAACTTTTTTCGTAATGAGCACATTGTAATTAACTAGTCAATGTCAATCACGTTTTTAAAATATATCTTTTTGTTTGGTACACCTTTGAATGGGTATTTGACTGATTTTATTAAAAAAAAAATGTCTGTTTTTTATGAAAATATTTGAGGTTTGATTCTACATTAAAATGGAATTAAATTACTTTCAAAGTATACATAAATTTTTTTATTAACGGACCGAACTACATATATTAAATGAAAAGTATTTTTTGTTTTTTTTTTTTGTAAATTTACAAAGACTATAAATAATTAAATAAAAAATAAACAATTTGGAGAATTATTTACAATAATATAATAACTACACTAACTTTAAAATTGTAACTTTTTTTATTAATATACATATGTATTTTATTATAATAAGGTTCAGTCAAATACAAAATTATTATTTAGATGATTTTTTTTGTTTACTTTAGCTTATTTTAATTTTGTAAGCTTTTCATTTGCTAATATTCGTTACATCGCTTATTCACGTACAGATATTGCCGCATTACCGTTACAGAAATGTTCAGCATTGTTGCAATGCAAAGGTATACATTTTTTTATTTTTTTTTATTTTTTTAACAGATTAATAATAATTAATTTAATAGTTGACACTATCAATCAATTGACATACTTTTTACTCAGACTAAGTAATAATATAGACAAAGTAAAATAAAACTAAACATGAAGCCAAATAATAATGTTTTAAAAAAAGATACATAATGTTTCAAAATAGTAAACAATTTTTAATAGTATATCTCATTACTGTAATATGTAAATAAATAAATGTTAATGAAAAAAAATACCTAAGTGATTTTATTATAATGAAGAAAAAACCTTATTAAATAAGTGGTAATAAATAAAATATTTCACGGAGTTTACTATAATAACAAGAAATAGTAATTATAAAAATAATTTATTATTATGCTTTCTTTCTTTCAAGGGAAAGAGAACTAATGCTTAAAAATACAAAAGAATATAGTATTATTTTTAGTATTCATTATTATTCACATTTTCTTTTTAAAAATTGTAAATTAACTAGTAATGCCTATATAAAATTACCTTTATTCTTTAAAGAAAGTAGACGATTTATATGGTAAAATCGAGAATAAACAGCAAATCACGCTACCATTTTTGATTTTGCCTTTTTTTGGCGGACTCCGTCTTACGTCTATATAATTCTTGAGCCTGAGACTTATGATGAATAAAACTCGATTCAGTCTTATATTTGAAAATCAATATAAATAGAAATTTTTTATTGATTTCGAAGCAACCAAAAAACTAATTCTACAGTTGAAAGGTTTTCAGGATATTTAGGTCTAAAGTAGAGTGTTTTATAGAGAAGTTGTGACTTGGAATTATTGATTAATGGTGTCAACTATCCAATTTTCACGTTTGCTTTGTGTGTGCTTTTATTTTGTGTTTAATTTTTGTTATTATCTTATCTTTTTTTATCATGATTATACCATTTTGTGTGTTTGTGTATAACAACCTCTCAAATCACGTAACGATGTATAATGCTACCTTTTAACATTAACAAAAATACATTGATATTACAATATTTAATTTAACTATGGAAATTGGAAATTGTTGAAAGCATGTACATTTTGTTTAGTAACACATACATATATAGAAATTATATTTAAAAAATAATTATTTTAACTTTAATAATGATATTGTAAAATATGAGTAATATAAAAACATATAACATTCATAAACCTCTAAAACATATAAAAGTACAGGAAAATAAATACAGGAAACGAAAAAATAATGATAATTTTATACAGCTCATGTACGGGTCTCAGCAGTCGACGGCACTGAGCGGGTCGGCCGAGTCGCAGGATGAAATGGAGCAGCGCGCAGCTTCCCCCATCTCCTGCAAGAGCTCGCCCAGTGAAATGTCCACTGTGAGTTGTTTACTTGAGATTGATTGTTAGTAATCGATCGAAAAAGTACTATAGATACACAATCCCATGCGAAAGTTCTTCTTTACAAAAAAAAAAGAAAAAAGTGCGCTAGAATGTACAAATCGACGCTCATCCGGTGAGGACATTTTTTGTCGCTGATTGTGTATCTACTTCTAGTACATTTTTGATTGATGTTGTTAGAATGTTTTTTTTTTAAATGAAACTATCTTGTCGGATTTTGTCTATGTTTTAGTTTGAGATTTTGTCCTGACATTTTGAATGATTTACAGGAAATACGTTCACGGGTGAAATTTGGTTGGCAAAATCTTTTTTATAGTTACGTAATATAACAAAAAAAAACAGCGACAAATTTCGAAAAATACTTTGACACTTGTTATTGAATTCTCTTAGGGTATTTTTATAACTTCCTCATGAATTTATTATAATATATAAATTACAATATTGATTATTTTTATTTTGCCTCCCTTCAATACGAGGTACTTCTTCACATGTCTTTCGAAAATTTCACAATGTTTTCCTCCATAATAAGCCAGCTAATAATGGTTTGCACATGAAAATAAATGAAGTGCGAGACTTCGATCGAACCCGCTTCCCTCGGTTTCCCAAGCGAGCGTGTCATCACTGTGCTATGGCCTACTGGTATATTGATATTTAATTTATGTGTATTGCAGTACTCTCTGCAAGACCCGACGCTGGGGCCGAGCGTGCCGGGCAAGCAGAAGGTGCACCAGTTCCTGGTGAGGACCTTCAGCAGCCCCACCAAGTGTAACCATTGCACTTCGCTTATGGTGAGATGTACATTTTGATTTTATTTTAATGTATATTTTTTTAATTATGAATTTTTGAACGTAAAGGAAAAAAGTAGGGTAAAATACATATTTTTATATATTAATGTTTAAATTTAATTTTTATAATGAATTAACTCATATATGCGTTAAATATGTGCGTGCAATTTTATCAAGATTAATTTTTAAAAACTATTCAGTAATGTTCTGAAATAGTACATTAGAAAAGAAAATGAATTTTACATATATAAAAAATGCTAATTGTAATTTTACTATAAAATTTCTTGAAACATAAGTAGTTAAGGTTGTATTATGAGTACATAGATCGTTGCGCTCAAACATACAATATTCATGTATGTAGTTGATAATATTCAAATTTAAAATATTTTATTTAGTATTAAATCGATGACGTCATGAGTCTACTACTAGTTTGGAAAGAAGAAACCTCAGACCTGAGACCGGTTGGCGAAAAAAACTCAGCGCAAGTAATATACATAACTTACCTTGGGCTATTTTCTTACTAAATTTCATCTAAATCGGTTCAGTAGTAGCAACAAACAAAAAACGTTCCCTGTTTATAATATAAGTATAGATAAGATGTGAAGGCGGTGCGCCCCCAGATCGGGCTGACGCGGCAGGGCGTGGTGTGCGAGACGTGCGGGCTGGCGGTGCACACGCGCTGCTGCGCGCGCGTGGCGCCGCGCTGCCCGCTGCCGCCCGAGCGCGAGCGCCGCCCGCTCGGCATCGACCCCGCGCGCGGGCAGGGCACCGCCTACGAGGGATACGTCAAGGTACACCTGCATAATGGCCTCCCGATGCCGGCCTGATGTTGCAAAAACTGTTTTTCTATACCGTGAAAAAAAAAAAAACAAAAAAACGCGTCTTTTTCATTTAGGTAGTTTCCATAAAAAAATAAACTTTTTAGAATTCACATTAGAGTTTTGTTTATATTTAAACCTACTATACTTTTTTGGTTGAATAGTGCCAAGCTTACATGTGAAAATTCTGACACTGACAAGGACAAGACTAGTATAGTGGCACTGTTGATTTTTTTTTCTAAAAAAACATATTAAGAAAAAAACCTAAGGTACTAAGTTTTTTTTCATGTTTTTTTCAACATAGTGAACAAAAAACAATGTAGTTTTTTTTCATCTTATATCACTATGCCGTTCGCGGCGGACAATCTTATTGTGAATAGCCAACTGCAGAAGATGTTATAGTGCAGTGTGTGTGAGGGAGAATGCATACATACGGGCGTTCTCTATTGCATTCACTCTCAATGCGCAATGGGATCACAATTCGCGATATTAGGCATGAGACCGGCGTTATGAGCTCTCTGAGGAAGGGTGCTTGCAAAAATAACTGTATTGACGACACGTTTGGCTCAGTTTGTAGTGACTCTACTTGCTGTGTCAGCGGTCGTGGGTTCAAGTCCCGCTGGACGCATTCGTGTGATGAGCACGAATGTTTGTACTGTGTCATGGGTGTTTATATTTATAATATGCATATATTTAAACTTATATATGTGTAGTGTATCAACTATCTGGTATCCATAACACAAGCCCCGTAGCTTACCATGGAACTAGATGGTGTATGTGTTAATGTCCCAACATATTTATTATTATTATTAAACTTATAAAGTATTGGGTTAGTTCTTATGAAACAGTGCGTATTCTGCTATACATGTAAATCAAAACATATTTGCAAAACTTCAAATTTAAACCTAAAAAAAAAACTAAATAAAAGTAAAAATTTTTGGGCGCCATTAATTGAATCTACGAATAACCTTTTTACAGCAATTCTAATTAGCGCGGCAGAATTGTGCCCCAGTGGTAACAAATGTTTATGATAGAAAAACCACTGTTTGGACTCGATCTGTGACTCAAACTCAGATCCTGATGCAGGTACACTTACACGTATGTAAGTGTCGTACTCACACATACTTATGCGTACAGACACAAAAATTGGTTTTTGTTTTGCCGTTATAATATTAGTATGAATAAATAAATCTTATTTATTTCCAATTTTTCCGTGGATTTATTTTAATTTTTGGTTTCCGATGTTTCAATTGAGTTTTAATGAAGTTTCTACCACAAACAAAATTTAAAACATTTAGTGAATTTAAAACATTTAGAAATAATTTCAAGTTACATTAAGTTCAATCTATAAAAAAATCTTTAGTTTTTATATATATCCTTTAGCCTTCCTCAAAAAATGGGCTACCTAATGCAAAAATAATTTTTCACATCGGAATTATTAGCTCCTGAGATTAGCGCGTTCAAACAAACGAAGTCTGTCTCTTTATAATATGAGTATAGATGTCAAATATTCGCTTAAATCTAAGAAAATATTAGTATGATTAAATTTCTTTATTACCTACATGCAGGTTCCTAAGCCCGGTGGCGTGAAAAAAGGCTGGATGCGACAGTTCGTCGTGGTCTGTGACTTCAAATTGTTCCTATACGACATATCACAGGATAGGTGAGTGGTGCTTGTATCTATCTATACATATAATCAAATTCTGAGTCGAATCAGTTCATTAAATATTTTTTGGAAAATCGTTCAATTCCTATGTACAGAAACGCGCTGCCGTCCGTGTGCGTGAGCCAAGTGCTGGACATGCGCGACCCCGAGTTCAGCGTGACGTCGGTGAAGGACTCGGACGTCATACACGCCAGCAAGCGGGACATACCCTGCATATTTAGAGTGAGTGCTTTAAAATTATTATTATACAGGTACTATCTGAGATTTAAACAATATAATTTAATGAATCCTATGTATACCTGTAATTAGAGGACTTTAGCATTTGTTATAATTTAAAAAAATATGATTTATTTAATGTTTGTTTCCTGTTGGTATTCCAAAAATAAAATAAATAATGTAAAGGTAATATAGTTTTTCTAGTATCCATATGGTCACTTTAATCGATTTATTTTTATATTTTAATTTTAATTGGTTCTGTAAATAATGTTGTATGAGTATATAAAAAAATCTATGTGTGTTTTTAATTATAAAGCATATTAAAAAATTAAAAGTGCTTAAATTTCAAAATATCCAGATATTTAAATTCTAAATTATAACTTTTTCAATACATAATTAATATCAAGATATAAATATATTCATATCTTATACGAATATGAAAATTAAAATCTTGACGTATTTTTCATAATCATTAATTTTAGTCCCGCTGAGTTTCTTTCGCCTGTTCCTCTCAGGACTGAAGCTTTTTCTGGTGTGGTAGACTCATAACACTCAGTATAAAATTGTAATAATTTAATATTAAATAAAAATATATGTAAATTGAATTTAATAGATATCAACATCACAACTTGAAGGAGGCAAGCGCTACCATACGCTTATGTTGGCGGAGTCGGAGTCGGAGAAAACGAAGTGGGTGGTCGCGTTGAGCGAGTTGCATAGGATATTGAAGAGGAACAATTTGCCCGATAAATATGTAAGTTGATATTATTAAAATATGTTCTTTTCTTTTTTAATTGATACGGGTTTTTAGTTTTATTTATTGAAAGGTTTTGTAAATGTATTCAATTTTTAATTATTATGAATTATAATAAAAAAATCATAACATTATCATTCTTTTTCAACTTGTATAAAAAATTGTTAGCGTTAATTTGAGTAATACTTTGGGTTATTTTTATTTTCTCGTATAGATTATCATAGATGTTGTTGATCTGATAATTGTTTAATATTATTTTATAAATACGTGTACACAAATTTATGATAAATATTGTCATTTTGATATATTATATGAACTAAATTGTTTTTTAATAAAATTTAGTGTAAGAATGTGTAAGTAGTGTATTATAAAGTTTGTGCGGGGCGTGGCGCAGGTGTACAGCGCGGTGGCGCTGGCGGACGCGCGCACGGCGCTGGTGCGCGGCGCCACGTGCGCGTGCGTGGTGGAGGGCGCGCGCGTGGCGCTGGGCGGCGAGCTGGGCCTGGCGCTGCTGGACCTGGAGCGCGCCGAGCTCGTGCCGCGCCGCGCCATCGCGCCCGTGCACCGCATGCGCTACGTGCACCGGGAGCAGCTGCTCGGTACGCACGCACGCACACACATACACACATCCGGGAGTATTAGTAACTCATGTGCTATTCCAAACTATCTATGATTTATTTCTGTGCCTTTCGTTCAGATCCGTTCAACCGTTCCGGTGTGATTGAGCAACTAACTATCCAAAAATTCTAAACTTTCGCATTTATAATATTCATGAGATTAATAAGATGTTAGTTGTCACTTGTGTGGTTATTAACACTTATTACCTATAGTAGTATTATAGACAGCGGTAAACCACCTACAAAACCCAGTGAATTATTTATTCAAATAGATTAGTTTTCATCTTATTCTATACAATTAATTTAAAAACATAATATACATTTCATGCAAAAGTTCTCTCAGAACTGTCACTCAGAAGATTGTGTTTAAGTAATTATTCTAAATGTAATAAATATACAACAATGCAAATTGAATCTTAAATGCAATGTCTAAAGTTGTTTTTACAAAAAAAAACCCTAAAATGAAATGTCCTCACCGTTCAAATGAGCGCACATTCGGTGAGGACAATTTTTCTCGCTGATTGTGTATCTAGTATTTTTTTGATCAATGCTTCCCAACTAATCTATAGTAATATTATAAAGAGGTAAAGTTTGTGAGTTTGTGACGTTGTAAGGGATAATCTCTGGATTTACAGAACCGATTTAAATGAAATTTGGTAAGAAGATAGTTTGCTACCCTAAGAAGGACATAGGATACTTTTTATTGCGGAAATCATCCCTCAAGGGGGTGAAAATGGGGATGAAAGTTTTATTGGGAAGCAAGCTAGGGACGCGAAGCGAGCGTGAGTCGCTAGTAATTTATATATAGAATATGTTTCGGAACAGTGGTGATAGCGGGGCGCGGGCGGCACGTGCGGCTCGTGCCCATCCGCGCGCTGGAGTGCGCCGAGGCGGAGAGCGTGAAGCTGTCGGAGGCGAAGGGCGCCGTGGACGTGGCGGTGGGCGAGCTGCACGCCAACGCGTACGGGTTCGCCGTCGTCTGCAAGCGGCAGGTTGGTACTGGACGATGCGCATCTCTTTATTTTATAATTTACTTACGACTCATCCTCGCTTTGCTAATGAACTAAAATTTAAAAATTATATCACATTTGTTTATTTTATAATAATTGACTAGCGACTTACCCTAGCATTGCTCGTGTACGTCCTTAAAATTTCATAGGTCTTAATTTTTGATTAACTATTATAATTTATAGTGGCGTAAATTGCTCCTTGTAACATCAGCTATGTTTCAGTGAAAGTTCCGTTAAAATCGGTCCAGTCGTTTATTTATATAGATGTTTATGTTATGAGATTTCTTTAATCATTGTAAAACAATTTTCTTTTTTTTACTATTTTATTTTATACTAGCGAGTTATTTTCGTTTTACTTATAAGCTATGTGTGTACTAAATTACATCCAAACCTGTTCGCCCGTTTTAGCGTGAAAATGTAACAAAAATATTCATACAAATTTTTCGTATAGAAATGTATAAACAGTAGTCGAATAGTCTGAAAAATGATAAAGTTATTATTTAGATATGTATCGTAGAAGGATAAAAAGAAATCTATATTATTTCCCACAGCATAATTTTTTTTCTATGTAAAAATCTTGTCTGTTGCTAATAATATTGTTTCATTACTATATTTTTACGAATATTTATTATCGATATAACTTTTTTGAAGTTTCCCGTTATAATTTTACCAGAACTCGTGGGTAGTGCTAGTGTACGAGATAACGCGCACGGCGGCGCGGCGGCAGCGCGTGGCCGAGCTGCGCGCCGCCGCGCCCGTGCTCAGCGTGCAGCTGCTGCGCGGCCGCCTGCTGCTCGGCTACCGTGGCGCCCTGGTGGCGCACGCGCTGGACCAGCAGGCGGCCGCGCCGCCGCGCACGCTGGTGCACCCCGACAACCACGTGGCGGTGTTCCTGGCGCACTCGGGCGCGCGGCCGCTGTGCGCGCGGCCGCTGGGCGCCGACTGGCTGCTGGTGTTCACGGCGCTCGCGCTCTACGTGGACAGGGTCGGCATGCGCGCGCGGGACACGGAGTTGATGTACACGGCGCATCCTATGTATCACGGTGAGTGTCGCCGCACTATACACTAGTATACGTTATATTATATGACGGACCCGAGACGATCAATCGCATTTGTCAATTTTACGTAATCGTCGATTGACATTGATCGTTTGAAGTGAAGCGATTGTCAATCGTAGTTTCGTGATTGAAAGCAATTGATGGAAATTTTGATTGATGCTCGTTGACGGGAGTCATTGAAGTTGCCAATTGATCGTTTACTTGAGTCATTGTCGACAATCATTTCCGTCATTCGCGCGTCTGACAGCAGTGAAAACGATAAACAAACTCCTAGAAGCCAAGAAATATAAGAATTGAATTGAAGAATACTGAGCGCAAACATATTAAAAACTGCATCGATCGCACTTTAATTGCAATTGACAATACCGTAGCGCATTGACGATTGCGATTCATCGTCTTAGGTCCGCTTTATAGATTTATAACATCGAACATTGATGACACGTTTGGCTCAGTGTGTAGTAATCCTACTTGCTGTGCCAGCGGTTGCGGGTTCAAATCCCGCTAGGGGCATTCATTTGTGTGACGAGCACGAATGTTTGTACTCCAGTCATGGGTGTTTATACTTATAATATGTATGTATTTAAAGTTATATATATGTAGTGTATCAACTATCTAGTATCCATAACACAAGCCTCGTAGCTTACCATGGAACTAGATGGTGCTGTGTGTTAATGTCCAAACATATTTATTTACTTATTTATTTAAATTGTTCACCATTTGAATTGGTATTTTTTGACAACCCTTGCGTTTCGCAGGATTTCCATTAAAATCAAAGACATTCTGTTAAAATTCACTGTAAAAATATTTATTTGATGGCGGTACTGTGTATATACGATACATTTATAACAAATCCGAATACGATAATTTTCTGATGAACAAATTCGCGATAGCAAGAGCAAGAGATACTGGCTGTGTTACATTAGGGATGTCGAATAGTAATTTTATCGAATTGTGAAAGTGAAAGAAAAGATAGTGCAATTCGATCACACAACAAACACTCTTTGCACTTAATCTCAAAAACAATCATATGAAATATTTTTATTAATATAAAATAAAATAAAATTTGTAAAGAGTTTTATGCACTACGACTTATAAAATGATTCATTTCGAGCAAAGAAAACCAGATTGAAGATTACAAAAAACAAATTATCGTGACTTTATGACATAGATATGAGAATATATGAGACTCCAGTGGTAATATATAAAACTAGCGTTTTCCTGCGGCTCCGCCCGCATAGTACATTATACTAGATAAAACCTTCTCCGAAACACGCCGCATCTTATGGTATGAGTATTATTCCGATCGGTTCAGTACATAGTTATCGCAGTATAACCGAACAAAAAAATCGGTCCTCAATTTATTAGTATAGGTGTAACAAGTTCTTAGTTTAATATTATATGACTGGGCTATGACCAATGTTCGTCTGTGATAATCAATAATTTTGTTGTTTTTCTCTAGCTATCAATGACACCCACCTATTGATATTCACCACGTCGCACATAGATATCTACGACATCGAGTCTGGCGAGTGGGTGCAAACTATCAATATACGTGAGTATTATAATAATTATTATTGTAATAAACTATGCACTATTTTTGTAATTTAACATTATATTTTAATGATTTCAATAACGTGTAAATGTGTGTTTGGTTTATATAGTGATTTTTTAGCTAAAAATATTTTTATTACAAATTATGCTTAAAAGCATTTATTTGTCAAGGATATTTTTCTTTCCATTGTATAAAAGATTTAATGTGTAGATAATGTTTCGATACCGTTGTATACGTACCCACAGCGAACGCGCGGCCGCTGGACGAGGCGGGCTGGGTGGTGCTGGCGGGCGCGGGCGCCGGCGCCTTCCCCTTCTCCGCCGACGCGCAGCCCTCGCTCGTGTACCTGCGCCCGCTGCGCTCCGGTACGTACTCGCACGTCGCATTGCGACACGAGAGGTGTATGTCATTGTGTGTGTATATAGGCCTTTACTTGCTTATAGTAAGTACTGGTATGTTACCTTGTATCAATATAATAAAATTGTAACTGAGTCGAATCTGTACATTAAATATTTTTTGGAAAATCTTATTGAAATACTCATTAATTATTAACGATAGAGGCCGAATCTATAGTTTTTAGAATTTTTGTTTGTCTGTCTGGGAATGCATCACTGGAAAACCACTGGACGATAAATTATCTTATTAAATTCCATTATATGCTATTCTGCCTAAATGATATTATTTATTGATAATGAATTTAAAATATATTTGTAATTTAAATATAATTGAACAAATAATACAAAGAATAAATAAATTGTAAATTCCCCAGCGGGCCCGCTCAACTACGAGTTGACTTCGTACGGCACCAACAAGAGACGCTTCTCCGTGCGGGAGCAGTCCCACCAGGCTATTGAGGCACATAACAGACTGTAAGTCAATATATATGCTATATCATTTGTTTTCGTTTGGTTTTGTTCATATTATACAAAATATTTAAGCAACTTAGACTAAAAAGGATATAGATAGAGGGTCATAGAACTAAACATCATCTCCCTGCCCATTTCCCAAATTACTTGGGGTTGGCGCAGTACGTCCATATCTATATAAAATTTCGAGTAAGCTAACTGTATTTTGTACGACAAAATCTAGAATAGCAGTATAAACAGTAATCAGTATTTTCAGAGATTACCCTCGTACATACAAACGAACAAACTAACAACATTTACCTTACAAGATTAGTGTATACTAATTACTAGGTACGTTTTATTTTTTTTTGAGCGGAACCCTAATTCTTTTTCTAAAATAAAAGTAGCTTATGTTACTCCCTATAACATCAGCTATCTTCCAGTTAAAGTCCCTTTCAAAATCAGTACAGCCGTTTCAGAGATTATCCAGAGCAAACAGACAGATAGACAGACAAAAATTTAAAAAAGGTTGATGTACCATATATAATTTGATATGAATTTAGTAAAACGCTCTTATTTTGACATTACAAACAGACACTTCAATTTCATTTATCTGTATAGATGTATAGATTATACAGTAACCATGTATGTATGTGCACAGGTCGGAGCGCCGCTCGCGCCTCATCTCCGCGCCGTCCAACTTCGCGCACGTGTCGCACATGGGCCCCGGCGACGGCATCCGCTCGCAGCGCCTGCTCGACCTGCCCACCACGCTCGAGACCGCCGACCACGACCACGACCACCAGGTGCGTCACCACTGTCACGACCACTACTCTCGCTACCACCACTATCGCTACGACCCACTTTTACTACCATCACAAAACCATCATTGTTACCACTATCATTACCACCACGATTACTATCACTACCGTCACCACCATCACTATCATCACCACTACCACTACCATCACTTACAAATTAATAGCACAGTCCACGAAGATGCCTAGAAGATGAAGAAGATATGACTATCAGCCGATTTATCAGTATCAGTACTCATACCAGCTGATCTTTTAATTGAAACGATTTTTTTAGTGTTTTTGCATATTTATTTTGATTGTTGGTTCCCGACGTTTCGTTATGCCTTAAAGGCATAGTTAAACTATAATCTCTTAATTAATTAATTAAGAGAAACGGGAAAAGCAAAACTAAAAAATAAATAGAACCACGAAAATTTTTTTTTGGAAAATTAAGAACAATATGATAATAATTGAAATATATGTATATTGTATCTTAATAATGAGTATTTACGTAGATGTACGGAAGCCGCGACAGCAGCAAGCGCACGTCGCCGCTGACGATATCGCATCCCACCGGCTCTTATAATGGTTTGTTTTTATTATATTTGTCGTACTTATCGGACTATTATAAATGTGAAAGATTGTATGTGTGTGTTTGCGTGCGTGCGTGTGTAGATTTGTTACTCTGTCACGCCGAAACGGCTGGAGCGGTTTTGTTGTATAGTACATAGACTATGACCTGAAGTAACATAGGCTACTTACGTTAAGGCATTTTAAAAAGCTACCTTATAATTTTATTTGCAAGACTTTGAAAATCTTATATCGTTTTACTTTAAATAATTGTACGATTAAATCGTTTAAATTAATAATAGTTTTCGTTAATTGTGATGTAAATTTAGTTAAAGTACATACATGTTAAAATAACGTGCGAGTTTTTCCTCCTGTTTTTTTTTTTAATTATTATTTATCGATAATGTTATGAATGGTCTATATAATATGTATGATCAATACATGTGCAATTAGTCTATTATAAATACAAAATTTTGTATGAGTATGTTTGTTACTCCATACAAACTAGTGAACAGATTTAGATGAAATTAAACAAACAGTTGGACTATAACTGGAAGTAACATATAGGCTTACTGTTAGTATCAAAATTAGCCAAAACGTGACACTAATAAACTATTGTAATTAATAACAATTTGTGTACAGGGTCATGGCGTGGACGTTCCCGGGACGCGCCGTCCGAGGCGCCGCCGTCGCCGCCCACGCATCGCGCTATGGAGAGGTATTATTTATTGTGTATATTCTATATTAATATAATATTATTATTAAAGGGCATTCAAATTATTGCGTTTCATTTTTTAATTAATGTATAGTAAGTTCTGACTTTCGTAAAAAAAGATCTGTGCAATTTTATTTAGTTTTTTTTTGTGCATATAAATGAAGGCAATGGTAGCTCAGTGGTAACGCGCTCGCTTGGGAAACCAAGTGAAGCGAGTGTAACGTCTTGTATATTGTCATGTGAAATACTTATACGAAAAAAGATTTAGGCAGCAATACAGTATTAGAAAAAACATTTTTTGAAAGTAATGTTTTCTTATATTATTCAATATAATGAATTGCAATGTGTGGGGAGCGGGGGAGATGCAATGAAACACAACCGCTCCCGATAAGGTTCTTTATTCTACTCCTCCGTCACAATACTGTCCTTAATATTTATACTATGCTATACTTAATCCCACTACAGAAGGAATAAATATAAATGCATATTCTGGTAACAAATGAACATATTATAACATATTGTATGTGTCAGGTCTGTGGGCGGCGGGTCGCTGGGCAGCGGGTCGGCGTTGGAGCGCTGCCTCACGCCTCTCAGCCTCGGCAGCATGAGCTCGCTACATGATGTGCTAAAGGTCTCATACTTTTCAATACAAAGAATATTTTTTTGCCTGACACGTTCATAGCACGGTCATGGTATGAGACGGTGTAGTGGTCAGACACCTTTATTCACACTACTTGCATATCGCTTCCCAGTTTCTCCGATTCACGCCCGGTTGAGTTGCCGGATACTAGTGAGCCAGTACACCTCCCAACAACAAGGTGTACACGGAGAGGGGGGGGGGGGTGTATGTCCCCTAATTGCGAAAACAACAAGAGAACAATTTTTTTTAACTAATATTGACAAAATGATATCAAATGTTGACAATTTATTGTTTTTATTCTTTAAAAAAAATTAGATGTTTATTTTTACATTTCAGGTGGGAACGGACATGGGCGAAGGCCTACAATCTGAAGACAGTAGCGGCGCTTCGCCCCCGCACCCAGCGGAACCCTGATGGTAAGTTGTTATTATTATATACATAGATGTTTAATATATTATAACAAAATAATTGTACTTACTGTGTTTATTTACTTGGTACTCTTGTATAACTACTGACTTCCCCAGAACATAAAAGAATTAAATATATATTTTTGTCCGTGTATGTTTGTTTGTAAACATCATTTTATATATATGTATATTCCTATTTATGTATGTATTTATTAATGTTTAGTATAGAAATATTAATACATGTAATTATAGACCAGCTACCGTTTTATATAAACTTTTTAACTCATGATTGAAAAGTTCTTTTTGTTTTTATGTTTCATATGGTGATTATTATTTTAAATGTATATTCATTTCAGAAGCCAACTGGACACGTATTGGAAAATCGACATGTCCAGGTTTTACGCGTGTTTTTGTTGAACGAACAAACAAGCGAACATTCTATCGGCAATGTGTGCGCTCGGACGATATTGTTTACCATAAAGTGATATATCTATATTAAGATTATTTTATAAATATAATGTGCTTTTGATGATGTTTTTACACAAGAAATTATTAAAATGGCGACAGTTGATATAAGTTGTTTTACATATTATAATAAACCAAGCGCCGACTCGCACTCGGCCAGCGTGGTGGACTATGGCCTGATCCCCCTCGTATTGAAGGGAGGCCCACCCCCAGCAGTGGGACGTTAAAAAGGGCTGAATACATACTTATAATAATGATATTAATATCTCTGGGATCTCTAATTCTTTGCTGGAAAATTTGTTAAAATATCATCAAAATGTTATTTTGTATATGTCATTGTAAAATGGCTCTTACGTCGTTCGTAATTAGAATTATTTTACAATGAAGTTTAATGCTGTAAATGAAAGCGTTCACAAATCTTCCATAGTTCCAATTTGAAAGGTTTTGTTTTGTTAAAAGATGTTTTTTTTTTATCTAATAATGGATTTTATATATCGATTCATATTCTTTTTAACAAATTCGCATAATTTTGACTGCTTGCTATCTTTTAACCAAGATATCTTTTAACAAATGAAAACTTTTTCATCATTTGTATCGTTTACATATATTTATACTTGTGTGTATTATATGTTTTTTATTAATAAATTGTATACATATATATAATATATTAAACATACATTCGATAGTTGTCACTATAAATTAAAACCCATAAGTATAAATGTAATCGATTATATTATTATATACATATTTGGTTCCTAAACTATAAAGAAAAATTGCAATATTTTATTATTAACCTTGCTTTTATTATTTAGAGGATCGACAATTTACAAAAATAATTTAAAAATAGTGTTTTTATTTCTTGTTTAAACAAAAGTTTTTAAAATCTCCTGCAAGCTCCTAGACTATACGGCAGTGCATATTTTTATTGGTTAAATTTTTTTTAACATCACATTTTTAAGTATTTTTATGCAATGGATAGATAGTTATCCTATCTATGAGGTCCTCTGACTAAACTTTATATACCAACTCCCTTCCATATGTGGATAATAATATTGCGTAGTTAGATTATATTTAACCCGAAGTGGCTTTTAGGTCAATTAGTATGATATTATTATATAATATATGTTTATATTGTCGGTATGTGCGTATATATTTTATGTATATCGATTGAATTAATAAATATCGTTTCAATTTCAATATAAAAAATTACTATCGGCTCTCCGACTATATATTAGCTTTATGTACTTAAGATTTGAACGATTCATGTAAAAATAATTCAGGCTTTTTTTGTTTCATTATTTTGTTTTGCTTTTTTCTGTTTCCATTATTTATTACTTATATAACGTGATGCATTTCATAATAACTAATTTAAATTTAAAATTTTGATAAGATTTGCCTGATTGCTATATTTAAAATTTATTTAATATTTCAATTTAAAATATTAAAAAAAAAACCATATCAAAAATTCAAAATTGAAGAATTTTTGATAGGAGAATATGAATTGTATACTTTACTTATGTTTTGTAACTTTATAAATTTATATCTAATCGCGTAGGGGTGTACCTGCGTGTGTTTGTGTAAGTCTTAACCAAATTTACGTTTATAATACTTTCTTAGATTTACGCGGATATTTGACATTTTAAATAAAACTATCTTTTCGGATTTTTGTCGCGGATTTATTTTGATTTTTGGTTACCGACGTTTCGAATGCTTCACAGCAATCATTGTCACGGGAGAGACTAAGGTTTTAGACGTCTCGCGTCAAGATATAATTGTTACAAGCAGCACCTATCCACAAAATTACAAATTGATTTCAAAAACGCCGCACCGGCAACCACAAATCTACATAAATCCGCGAAAAAATCCGAAAAGATAGTTTTATTTAAAACAAATCATTTATTTCGGTTTAAGGCCTATAATACTCTGTCGTCGTATACCATTAATCACCGCCGATTATTCTTTAGCAATTAGATTCAAAATGGCGACGTTTTAATTTTTTTTTATTATGGCACTGTATTTAATACTAGCAGTAGTTCTGTTCGTCCTATTTACCAAAATAACATTAATATTATCCTATTGTAATATAGAAAAAATAATACGTTTCCGACCATTTACTCTATATAAGCTGGGGTTGCCATTTTTAAACTAATAAATATTAAATTAGCGATATTTATTACTTACTATTTATTTCAAATTAAATATTATTGCTTATTAACAATAGTGAATATGTTTATTTTTTAATTTATTTTTAAAATGGCAACTCTAAGCTACGAGTGCTAGTTAAAGCTAGACTTGAGAATGATAACCTGAACACTGCCAAAATAATTCACATACGTGCTAATTTTTGCACGTTTTTTCATACCATGACCAATTTACTAACATATTTTCTTACAAAACTAACTAAATACGAATGTCTTACAACAGAACTTAGACGTGTTTATTTCATTTAAATACACAAAAGTATTCAATCGTAGTGATTAATTTTTTTTTGTGTTTTAAGGTTTTAGCTTAGTGTCCATGTTTTTTTTTTTTACAATTAAACGTATTTTGTATTTTTTCCCGTAAAAATCTCATCGCGATTGTGAATTTAATGTAAGTAGATTAATTATTATTTTTAACGATCTAGTCTTGTTTTTTTTTATATTTGTGTCGATTATGTGACAATGTATTCTTATTTTAAGGTTTTATATATTAGTGAAAATGAAAAAAAAAACGAGATTTTTTTTTAACTTTTAAAAGTGTAAAGATACTTATGGTATTTTTTTGTTTGTCAAGCTTCGATTAAGTTTAAGGGTAATTAAACATTTTTTACGCGTTAAAAAACTTCGCATCCAAAGATCTGTGTAATAATTTATCTATGAAATGTATTAAGTAGTGGAGTAAGATTTCTTTTTTTTTTATTAAATTTATTTAAACGTGTACAAGAAAGAACTGAATCGTATCATATTATTAATATGTAATTGGTAGTGAAATTATTGGAGTATTTAATTAAACACGTTCTAGTTTCAAGCAATTAAAAATAAAAGAATTTAGACGCTCTTTATGAAATTAAAAAAAAAAAAGGAATATAATTTTGTTTATTGAAGTTATACTTCTTTTGGCACGTTTAGAATAAAATATGAGGGTAAAATTTTTACGATGCGACATGATGAAGTTAGCTGCATTCCTTTTACAAACAGAGAGTTGTGGCATACGGGATGCAATCTTTAGCTATTTTTGTTCTGTTACGCCAAAGAAGTATAACTTCTTACGTGCGTACATACATAAGTACACACACACGTTTTTTTAATTATTGGTCGTCTTATAAAGAGTGTTAATAAAATAACGTGTGAAATATTGTCTAATACCACGTTTTACACAACAATAAAAGTATAGGATAATTGGCTATAATGAACCTAATAAACTTTGAAATCCAAATTTTTAGAATGTAATTTATAATTGTTGTGGTTTTAAGGGTGTCTTCACACTTACAGACTTTCACCTTCATATATTAATATTATTATAAACATTACAAAATCATGTCCGTCTGTCAACAAAACTATAGTAATTTATATAGTGTTATGTGATGTGACATAAATCCATCCTTAATATGGAAAGTGTCTCGAAGTGTGAAGAGTCCTTAAAGGTTCCTGAGACGGAGCGTTGATTAGATTTTGCTAAATTAAATATTTATAACACAATTATATACGTGAATACATACATAATAATATTGTATATTATCGTAATAATCCTAATATGTAACGGAAGTGTCTGTCTTTAAACTATTGAGCAGATTTTGATGGAAACTAAAACATTAAAAAGCTTCGTCTTCCGGCCAATAAAAGCTAACTTAAAACGGTCAAAGCCACGGGTGGTTGCTACACTATACATAGATAAGGCACAAACGGACGGACAAATATTTTATATATAAATATGTCATGCAAGTCCGTCTGTGTATCTGTCTGAATAATCCCAATAATTCACAAGTAATATTCGATAGACACAATTTAATCGTTACTCAAAATGGACGTCATTTACTTACATTATTGTTTTTTTTTCTAATTAAAATTCCATTCTATTTCATTTTCTTCCAAGTCTTGAGTAGAGCTTTTCTTTGTGTCTGTGACAATATTATATGTTCAAAATCATTTACTAAGTTTCTTCCTCTTTAAATGCTTTGGTGAAATCTTAACTTATGTACATAATAGCAATTCTATAAATAATGAATTATGTAAGTAAATAACGCCATTTCTCCCATAGTTATATATCTCGTACTACTATAACGAATGCTTGCGACACTTACTCTATTGTTTGAATATTCACTAATATGAGATGTATTTATATTATATATATATATATATATATATATATATATATATATATATATATATAATGCTTTATGTAATATATATATATATGTGTTGCGTGACCTTTTGTATTCGCTGAATCGAACTATTAGACTTAAATAATCGACTTCCTTGTATCTAGACTCGTAACCGCTAATATTATTTGTATGTAAATCTAAATTATTGACTAATGTTTAAATCGCCATTACGTGAAATTATCTCAATACTTAATTATTTCATGTAAATATCTGAATAAAGAAATTGAAATTATTTGTCAGTTTTATTTTGGGATAAATTGAAGTTTTAGAACTTTTTTATATATCTTCTCTAATATATAAAAGAATGAATTCATTATAGTAAAATCAACAGTTAGGTAATTAATTCATTGGTTTATAAGTATTTGTGGTAATAGTTACATTTGAGTGGTTTTATATAGATTAAAACGGTCTAAATAGCTTGTGTTTTTGAATGTAAAATGAATATTGCTATTTGTCACATAGATGTTTAGTACTTACAATAATAAATAGTTGTAAAATGTATGTTTTTAAGCCATCTATAAATTGGACACAACATATACGACGAAATGCCATATTGTACATTTATAGCACAGATCATTTAATACTATATTAGATTAGTATCATCAAATCAACATTGTCATCTAAAGGTTTAACATAATTAATTTGAAGCCATTAACAAGGGAATTAAATTGCGACCATACTCAAGATCAAATACTAGTTGGGTCAAGCTCGAGTAAAACACGAACTAGAGTATGAACTAGTTTCTAATTACACTAAACTATTATAAATACGAAACAGTTTATTGTTCGTTACTCTTTCACGCTAAAACGGGTGAATGGATTTTGATGAAATTTACTACACAGATAAACTATAACTTGGGAGTAACACAGCTAATCTTAGTTATAAAAATTGCCTAAAGATGGCGCTGATAATTTGCTATCGTTTTTCAAAGAAACTTTATGTTTTATAAATAATGGTTATAGACATCTAGGGACGTCACACAGCACCATCTAGTTCCATGGTAAGCTGTGTTATTGATACCAGATAGTTGATACACTACACATATATAATTTTAAACACATACATATTATAAATATAAACACACATGACTGGAGTACACACATTCGTGCTCATTACACAAATGAATGCCGCCAGCGGGACTCGAACCCGCGACCTCTGGCACAACAAGTAGGGTTACCAGAGCCAAACTTGTCAAAAAGCGAGGGTGAGTCATTAGTATTAAAATAAAAACAAATAATAAATACGATTACTTTATTAGCGGGCCACTTGTTACACGCACTAAACAATCTAGTCTTTGTACAAGGCAATTTTGTATCACGGACAGCACACTTGAGATTTTCCAATTAAATATAAAAAAGATTTTTGTTGGCTGTCCGTACTTTATATCATACAATTTAAAAAAAACGTATACAATATAGATAATATTAGAACTATTAAAATTGAGTATTACTAAGCGCAGATATTAAACGATAACATGTTCTCAAGTGTGAGGCATTTACAATAATTTGAACTAAAACAATTTAAATTTCTAAAGCAAATGTGCATCTATAAGTCATTACAAATTAAGTTAAATAAAAATTCAACCTTTATATCACAATCCTTTCAAAAAAAAATTGCCATGTCGATTTGTTGTAAAGTTTATTTTTATTTGTGTTAAGAAAAATTCAAATCGCCATTTTTATTTATTTAATATTAAAAAAAAGACATTAAAACTCCATACATAAAGCCAACTTGAAAGAGCACATGTTACAGAAAAATATTTACACAACAAATTGCACTTCGGAATGTTCTGTAAATAAATACGTATCGCCGAGTTTTCTTTAAACTGCAAAATTAAAATATAATAATTAATACTAAAATAATACTTCACTAACTATGGTGCAGGGACTAACTAGAATTTGGTGCATTCGTGGCACAAACTGAACAATTACACTTGTTAGTTCGCCATTTTGAAAAAAAAATCGTGATAAAACACCAATCAATTAAATGGTATTAGTAAATGCAATATTGAGCTTTAAAAAGCGTGGATTTTTGTAAAATTTCAAATAATACAATAATGTTTGACATTATTTTAACAGGATTTTAATTCCCCATTTTAATGACGATAAAAAAGTTTTATTTTTTAATTATATAATCTATATATTGGTAAAGCTTTAAAATTAATGATGTCGTAGCAAAATGTAGAAATACGATTATTCGTTCAATGGTGTTAATGTCGCAGGGAAATTGTAAGAACCGTTAAATTATAATTTCACTAGAGGAATTATACAATATCGCGGTACATTTTTAGGTAAATTATAATTTCCCTAAGCACATTCAGTTAAATTGTGAAACGGTCACTGATTGGTCCGATTAACACATCTTTTTTGATGCGCAGCATGAACCATAGACTTAGTAAAATAAAGTAATAGAAATAGGGAAATTATAATTTTACTAGTTAAATTATAATTTAACGGATCTAACAATTTCCCTGCGCCATTATTTTTAATTATATTTAAAGAATCGCTGAATATTTTTATACAATTTCATTAACAACTAGCATATTTAGGCACTATTTATTATCGGGCAAAAATAATTTCAATATAATTTTAGAAATACAATCGAAAATTTTTTATTGTTATTAATTATAATCTATTTTGAACGTTAAACAAATTAATTTCACGTATGTCTGTCTGTACAGATGTTTAATTAAAAGAAGCTTAATTTTTTAGTTAAAGAAAAACATATTTCAACTCGATATTGCACAAATTCAACTCAACGTATGTATTCTGTGAATAACTTTGAATAATTAAATCAATTTATTACAAAATTTTAAAATAAAAAAAAAGTAATCTATACAGATAAATAAAATTGAAGTGTCTGTTGTTGAAGCTTTTTACTAAATGCATATGAAATTATATACAGTATTTTTAAAATTTTGTCTGTCTGTTGCGGCTAACCTCTAAAATGGCTGGAGAGATTTGACGGGACTTCCACTGGCAGATAGCTGATGTTATAGGGAGTAAACTTAGATTACTTTTATTTTAGAAAAAGAATTAGTTTTGATCAAAAAAAAATTAAAACGTACCTAGGGAAGCACCCGAGGGTAACGAAGGCGCTTGTTTTTTAATAAATAGATAAACGGTTAAAATGAACACATAAACAGTTAATACAACAATTTGTATGAAATTTTGACCAATTTAAAGACAAAAGAAATGAATCATCAAATTATTCACAGATAATACATACATGAATAATATTTTATATGTGCAATGAATGTATGTATGTAAGTAAGATGTAAGGATGTAAACCACACTATCTAGTCAGCTTTGCGCGGCCTACGTTTGCGCACTTCTTTGTTTTCTCCTTTATTCTCATCTCCACCGGCTTTCTCTTTCTCCTTCTCTTTGTCGTCTTCTGAAGTCTGTAATTGATATACAAAGTATAATACTTTCTTAGATTAACGAGAATATTTGATATTTTAAATAAAGCTGTCTTTTCGGATTTATTTTGATTTTTACCGACGTTTCGTATGTTTACAACGATCATGGTCATGATATGGATACATATATGGATTTTAAAGTATAAATATATTTTTTGAATAAATTGGATTTGGCCTGACCCAGAACTCGAAGCCAAGACCGCCAGATCTACCAGCCACACATACATCCACTGTACCAACTAGATATAAACAATACAAACTTACATCGCTGGGCGAGTTCTTTTCCGCGTCACTGTCTGGTGCCGGCTCCGCGTCGTCCACGATGTCATCGTTGATTAGTTCCTGAAAATAATTTGTATTATCATTATTATTCTCATCAAAAGAAAAGAAAAAATACTACAAATAAATATGTAAGGACATTAACACACATCAACATCTAGTTCCATGATAAGCTACGAGGCTTGTGTTATGGATACCGGATAGTTGATACACTACTACTTTAAATACATAATATTATAAAAATAAACATCCATGACTGGAGTATAAACATTGGTGCTTATCACACAGAGTGGGACTCGGCGAGAGTCGAACCCGCGACCGCTGGCACAGCAAGTAGGGTCGCTACAAACTGAGGTAACCGTGTCGTTACTAAGAATACCTTGACAAAAAACTCAACAAATAAACTTGGCCCGACCCGGGAATCGAATCCAGGACCTCTTCAAGGCAGTTAGTAATATAACAATACTGACCTGTTCATCATCAGATGCTTTATCCTTGCGTCTGTTCATCTCGGCTTGAGGGATGAGAACCTTGTCTGACCTACGCGGAGGGTATAGCAGGTCTATGATGCAGACTAGTATCTGGAATGAATGGAAAATCACATTAAAGAACTACTCTAATAAATGTATGTACTATGTATGGTTCATACAAACGTTAACTTTGGATAGGATTGGAACTTGTAAATGCACACCCATTACATATGTACAATTTGCCATGAGTCATTTGATAAATATCTGTTGAAATTACTCAAAATTGAATTATAATGATTAATTGTATGGTAATATATAATCTGTGTCCTACGTGTGTATTTACTCTGTGGAATAATAATTTTTAGTCTTTGTGCCACAGCCGGACGACACATTGTTTCATTTTGTCCTTAAATTTTACTTGAAAAATTATAACAATATCAATATATTACTTAATATATATCAATTTTACAGTAACACTTAAAAAAAATCCTTATTTTTTGCCATGTCTGTCTGTGTGTCATTTACTTTACTCAGAGAAAGGAAGGAAAGTGTCTCATGCAAACCCTCAAAGTCTACAATGGTGTAAATTTATCTATGTGCATTTAAATGTAATTGCAATCTTGTTGGTTTTGGTCAGCCTTTTGATAGTTCTTTAAAAGCTAGCGAGATTTTTCTACTTGATTGGCAATAGTTTTTTTTTATTATTTACTAGCGACTTAGGTACATTTGTTTTAGCAGAACTTAAATTCTTTTGCTAAAATTAAAGTTGCCTATAGTACTCCTTATAACATCAGCTATCTGTCAGTGAAAGTCCCGTTAAAATTAGTCCAGCCGTTTCAAGATTAACCCGAACAAAGAGACAGACAGACAGACAAAAATTTTAAAAATTGAGTTTTTCTTATAAGTATCTTATATAATTTTAATTTCATATGCATTTAGTAAAAAGCTTTTATTTAGACATTACAAACAGACACCTCAATTTCATTTATCCTTATGGAAAGTACAAAGAAATCTTATCTATCATTCTTTTTTAATATTAGTTATACAATTATATTCAGCATCCTTGCTTAGGGCTAAAGCAAGAATGCTGTTGTCAACACTATCAACCATTTTATTTAACTTAAATCATGCAAAGGAACTTAGTTATAAGGTAATAGTTACAAAATGACATGTTTCTAAAGTGTTATATATACAACTAGCGACTCACCCTCGCTCGGGTTCGTCCCTAGCTTGCTTCCCAATACACTTTCATCCCCATTTTCACCCCCTTAAGGGATGATTTCTGGGATAAAAGTATCCTATGTCCTTCGTAGGTCTCAAACGATAGTTGAAAATATTTTTACCAAATTACATCTAAATCGGTTCAGTAGATCCAGAGATTAACCCCTACAACATCACAAACTCACAAACTTTACCTCTTTATAATATTAGTATAGATGTACATATTGTACACTTTTGTCATCGTATTTTTGTTTTTTCATATGGGATAGATGAATATGTATTATGAAAAAATATATGATTCAAGATATTGAGACCCAACTCAAACTACATATATAAATCAATAAATAAAGATGTAAAGAATAATCAAGAATATTTTTTTTAAAATGTTAGTTATTGCTTTCTATAAATTAATCTACTTTTTTAATTTTCTAAGATATGTTAAATTGTAAATAAAAATAACAATATATTACCACAAAAACAAGTCATGCATTGGAAGGTCAATATCCATAGTATGTTATGATACTGAGTTCAAATCCCAAAACGATACAAATTATTATAAAAAAATATATACATATATTAAAAAGAACCACTATATGTATATAAAAAAACCCATATAAAACAACCATGCCTTTACAGTTAAATAGCATCAAAATGTAACATGAAAAAGATGATTTATTACAAAAATTACCAATCCGAGCAGTGCACCAATGAATATGGTGGCCACAGCGAAGATCAGATACGAGCCCCATGTTGGTAGCCCGTACGTCTCCATTAGCATGTTGTGTACACCCTAAAAGAGAAAAATAAAAATATTAATAATAAATATGTTGGGACATTAACACACAGCACCATTTAGTTCCATGGTAAGCTACGAGGCCCGTGTTATGGATTCCAGATAGTTGATACACTACACATTTATAATTTTAAATACATACATATTATAAATATAAACCAACACCCATGACTTTAGTACAAACATTCGTGCTGAATGTCCCCAGCGGGTCTCGAACCCGCGACCGATAGCACAGCATGTAGACTCACTACATACTCAGCCAAACGTGTCGTCAAACTTCATCCTTAACGTCAAATTGCTGGGAATAAGTTAATATTGGTCATGTGTGTTATCGATGGACTACAACTGATGTAACGTCCCACTGCTGGGCGTGGGCCTGCCTTCAATACGAGGGGGATCAGACCATAGTCCACCACGCTGGCCGAGTGCGGACGAATTGCTAGATTCTCTAAGACATGCAGGTTTCCTCACGATGTTTTCCTTCACCGTATGACAAGTGGTAATCATGTTGGACATGATTTGGGCATGAAAATATCAGAGATGCGAGACCCGGGATTTGAACCTGTTCGCTTAGGAAACTCATGATTCCAAGCGAGCGAGTTACAACTGGGCTACCACTGCCTATAAAATAATAGAGTTAAACATATCACAATATATAAAAAGTAAACTACAAAAATGCATGACATAATATGTCATATAGGCAGTAGGATCTATATTCGATATGTATTTTATTTTTGAGTAAGTCACTTGTGCTTAGCTCAGGTCTTTGATCTTGGCTTTTTTTTATTACTAACATTATTGCATATTTTACTCCAATTCAGACTCTTATTATTATGCTAAATTCCCTCTTAATCCATCCAGCCATTTTAGCATATATCAACAAACACATATACATACATACATACAAACATTCGTATTTATAATAATCGTGAATTAACACTTACCCTCAAAGCCTGACTGAGTTTAAAGAAATGTGCCACAAGTCCCATTTGCAGGGAATGTGGTGCTTTCCAAGAGGGTATCGCCTCGGTTTGTTTCCACTTGCCTCGCTCTACGTAGTCTAACATGGAGTCTGTGTCTCTTGGGCCTTTGTATTGACGGAATTCACCTTCTTTTACACTGCAATATGTTAGTTATAATTAACAACACCTCTTCTAAGAAATTAATTAAATTTCTAAGAATCTATTGTTAACTGTAACGCCGGCGTGTCCGCGGTCGTTGAGGGATTAACACGTCCCGGGACTCGAACTTCGGACTTATAAATCAACAAGGTACCTAACAAAAAAATAGTTAAATATTATTTCCCTCAAAAAATCTATCAACTTACTGGAATATAGTAGGCAAAGCAGTAACCACAAATCGACCACTGAGCCCTGGCGACTTGGTCACGTCTACTGCTGCAGCTTTCATCCCCAAGTTCTTCGACTTGGCTCTATTTGATAGTTCTTTCCATGCAGGCGCGAGAGCGTTGCATGCGGGACACCATGGCGCGTAGCTAAAAAAAAACAAATATTATAATCATCTATTTTAAGCCCACTTTAACGTCCCACAGCTGGGCATGGCATAGCAATATGGCCGTAAGTAAGCTAAGTGCGGGAAGTTGATTTCACATATTTTTCGAAAACTTCCCAGCTTCTCTCAGATATGCAGGTTTCCTCACGACGTATCTTGTTTAAAAAGATACAAATATCAGAAATGTTGACTGGATATTTGAACCCGCTTCGCTTGGTTATTCAATCGAGCACGGTATCACTGTATTCAGCCCTTTTTATCGTCCCACTGCTGGGCACGGGCCTCCCTTCAGTACGAGGGGAATCAGGCCATAGTCCACCACGCTGGCCAAGTGCGGGTTGGCGGACTTCACATGTCTTACGAAAACTTGCTAAGTTCTCCAGACATGCAGGTTTCCTCACGATGTTTTCCTTCGCCGTAAGGCAAATGGTAATCATGTTAGAAATGATTCGCACATGAAAATATTAGAGGTGCGAGACCCGGGATTTGAACCCGCTTCACTCGGTTTCCCAAGCGATCGCGTTACCACTGGGCTACCACTGCCTACTAGACTACGGTATCACTGACTTACAAGAAATTATAAGCAGTGATGCACCGTGTACACGGAGGTGAAAAAATATGTATTTTTTTACTTTTTAATGGGTCTTGTACATAAATTTAATGAAATTTTAATGATACCTATCAAAATGATCAACTTTAACTGTTCAGACTTAATAGTAGGAAGGTTTATTACAAATAATTAACTCGTGTGGAAATCGATCTCTCGACCCTCGGAATAGAAGGTTGTGCTGTCAGAAACGTATCTTATTACTGCCTTTGCTATATAATATCACATGATTGTCTCACAGATATATTTCAAAATAATAATGTAATTTAATAGAAACATTTGATTAAGTTAGTTAAGTTTCTAAAAAGTAGTAGTTTTAAAAAGATTTCAAAAAGAAGACTCTTTCGTACTCAATTCAACTATACCTTTTTGTGTCAATTATAAACATATTTATTAATGAATAGGTTTTAAATCAATGGCGGTGCAAAATTTTAAAATGCCCTTAAAAGTTCAATAATCAATTTTAAGCTTCGATCAAAAAAGTACTAGATACACAATCAGCGACAAAAAATTTCCTCACCAAAGGAGCGCTCATTTGAACACTTGAGCGCGTTTAATAAAAATTTTTATGAAAACAACTTTAAGCATTGCATTTGAGGTTCAATTTCCATTGTTCTATATTTATTTCAACTAGAATAATTAAATTTTAAGAGAATATTTGCATGGGATTGTGTATATCAAGATAGATAATCCCATGGAAATGTTTTCTTAACATTTAGTACTCTTTTGATCAATGCCTCTAAGTAATTTTAAAGTCATTGCACCTTTTTATTAAACTGTAATCTCTAATAGATTAAGAAAAACTTGTTAAATCTAGAACCCTTCTTGTACGTTGCATAAGGCTTAAATAAACCAATACAGAACTACAGCTCAGATAAATAATTCATTGACACCCACAAAAAGACAAAAGAAATTATTAAACACATGACATGTACAAGCACATGGCATCGTTTAATACATAATTGATGTCTCAATCAATATGAGAAGCCTGTTAGTGTACTTTTAGATTGCTAGTTCACATACTGATGGTTTTGTTAGACACTAGCAACTCATCCTCTCTTCGCTCATGATTGTCCCTGGTGAAAAACAAAACAAATCTAGCCCACGGGAACTGTACATTTCTCCACAGTAAAAAGTGACCTATGTGCTATTCCAGACTATAATCTATCTTTATGTTAAACTTCATCCAGATTCGTTCAGCTGTTCTGACATGAAAGTGTAACAAAAATCCATCCATCCTCACAAACTTTCATATTTATAATATTAGTATGGATTAATGGTATTTGTGGTGATAATATCCACAAAAAATGAGACAAAATGTATACCTATGTTATAAACATGCAAAGCTTATGAGTCAAGAGTGATGTGGAAATTTTAATAAATTTGTATGTAGGCTTTAAACATAAAATAACCTACTAATACTGCCCACAAAACCAGTTGGTTATATTACACAACTGCATGTGTAAATGTAATATGATTTAATTTAGTACTAGCAGCCACAAGATTTGAGACTTATTTTTAAGACAGTTTATATTTAGTGTTAAGGGCAATATTCATTAGTCAGAAAAAAATTAGCTATGAATTCCTTATATATAAAGAGTTTTCTTGTTATTACTTGCTATTATATGTTTATTCTACCAAAAGGCTTTAGGTAAATTGAAATCTTTTATAATATGCTAAAACACCTGCATAATAAATGAAGAATTTATCAATAGTGATATCAGACAGGTAGCATTGATGTTAGCAATGATGTCACCTTGAATATGAGCACATCCATTTTTGTTTCATAGTAGGTACACATAAAATGACTCAAAATTTTACACATTAACAAATCAGTATCTCCTTATTAATTACAGTTTTGTTTTTTAGTTCAGAGGACCCATTGCCAATAAAATTGAGTAACCTATTGAGGTTGAACTAAGTATGGTCAAAGTTGTGTTTAATAAAGATTTTTTGTAATTTGGGATTTTTGCATAATGAGATAATGAGAAGGATAATGAGAATATAGTGATTCATTATATAATTTTATGATCAAACACATGTTAAGGATTGAAAAATGCATGTTTACAGAGTGCAGGAACACATTTTCAGCCTGTTTTATGAACAAAAAATATGTGTTGGTTTATTTATACATAAATGTAGGCAGGTATTTATTTAAATTATGAACACACAATTGTGTTATAGTAAATAAATAAAATTGTTTTTTGTTTTTTTTTAAAGATTTATCTTCAACAGTTACCTATCAGTTTTATAAATATGTATGTATCAACTAATAGTGTTCGTATTTGTAAACAACTAGTATGATAACATTGTTTTTTAAAACAATAATGAGTTTACATGTTATCATTTATGGAATGTGTTATTGCTTCCATCATAACTTTTAAATAACATGGATTTTTCACATATCAATAAATATAAAAGAATTATTTATATTTCCTTAGTTCTTCAATTATATACCTGATTTGATGAATGAGTCTTGGTAAAAATTAGTGTACTACAGCTAAATAACAGAATCAGATTTTCAAGGATATTATGCAACAAGATATTACAAATCGGTGCAGCATTCAATTACGAGTCTATGAGTCACGCCTGCACAAGAGGCAATTTTCTATTTGACTTCAATTAGACTACGTTTACTATTCGAGAAAATACGATAATTTGTAAAATGAGTTTTCAATACAATAAATGGACAATAGCAGGGAATGCGGTGACCAAAACGGTGCTTAGACCTTAACGACCTTGTAGTAGTTTATTGACCCTTTGTGAATAGACAAGACGTCTAGCCTTATTCAATTTATATTAATGTTAGTGTCCATAATATAGCAAATAACGTAGTAAATACTTTTAATAACTTTTATTATTCGACCTCGTAAAAGCAAGCTAAAAATATTTTTATGGGCTAAAAAATTATGACACGTTCTGAAAATTGCTAGGTACCGGTGAGAGTAAACACTTACAATTCGACCATCCATTCTCCCTCGAGGATTTGTTGCCAATTTTCTTCATCTAACTCGACATTCGCACTTGCTAAACTCGTAAAACAACATAAAAATACACAAAAATAAATGAAAATATTTAACACTTGCGGAATCCTGTTGAGGCGCGCCATGTCTTTATTTGTAAGTGTTGCAAGCTACGATTGGCACAATGACAATCTAAATCGCGTTCCAATGTTGCAACAATTAATATAAAAAAATGTCAAATGACTATAAATATTATTACTATTAAATTAAAATAAAATAAAAATTATAAATCTTAGCATTTTTTGAATATTATGTAAATTAATTTTTAAAATATTTCAGTTTTCATGATGCTCGGCAGCTAGATGGCGCTGAAAGTAATTTGGTTTTCATATCATTACAATAGATGTCTCTACTAGCTAAAATTTAAAAAGTATGATACAAAATTTTCCAAAAGTACCTGCGGAAGATAATGTTTATAAAATACTAGTAGAACCCGCGGGTTCGCTCGCGCTAAAACTACAAAAAAAACTCTAAAAAGGTAGGTTTCATACAAACTTTAATATCCTATGTTACCCCCTTATGGGATGAATTACGAAAATTGCTGAAACACATATTTATTTAATTGTTTTAAAGAGCATTAATACCAAGTTTCAAGTAATTCTGATCATAAATATTTTTTGAGTTCTATTATATATATAATATTAAAGTAAGGATGACATGATATTTAGCTTAATTTAGTTTTCATTATCTGTCAAATATAATACGAGTATGTACTATGTACCTATAACACGGTAATGTTATGCATAACAATATCGTGCCTATACCAATATTAATAGCTATTCAACTAAAAAAAAGTGACTAGTTTCTGCGCCATTCCACACCAAGTATTAAATATTTGTATTGAAGATAAAGAGGTTCGTTTTGGCATTACATACCCCTTGACCCTTCTAAAATAAAAATTAAATTGGTGAAATGTAGTAGGTATATATATCTCTACATTAATTTATAAAAGTTTATACTAATATTATTAAGACGAAAGAGTTATTTGTTTGTAGGTAATTGATAATTTCATAAAGTATTGAACTGATTTTAATAGTTATTTTACTTTTCAAAAAGTTTTTTTTAAGTACATTCGTAGATCCTTTAAAGTAGCTGAAATACAGAAAAAAATGAAAACGTAATGCGCCGTAGTGAAGATCATATGACCAGTCAGACAGGTCTTGGCCATTAAGGAAGGCAAAAGAGGCAGAGGACGCTCACCAACTACCAGGGTAAAATCTGGCCATGCATCTGGCCAATCCAAAATGTTATGAGGTTAACGATGGGCTTAACACCATAAATGACGGAAAATCGCCAAGAGTGACGCAAAAGGAATCAGGAAGGCTGACACCAAATAGGGAAAAGTCAGGGGGTTGATTGATGATTTTATTTCAGTAATTATCAATTTATAGGCTGAAATAAAGTCTACGGTCAGAAGTTAAAAAATGTAAGGAAAATATATATACCTAAGTATAACAATTTAAACGAACGGCTTTTAACGAACTAAAATCTATATAAGTTAAAAAATATATATTATTTTATATTTTCTTTGTCTTTCTGAAGATGACTTAGAAAAAGATTTTCCAAATCTACTCGTAAGTAAATGTTATGTGCTTATATTTTTGTATAAAATACATATTAAGTGGTATATACATAACTACCTACGGCAATGTCTATATATTTTTTGTCATTACATGATTTCATATTAAACGCGAACGGACGTTGTTTACCCATCCCCTGCCCATATCGTTGTATTATCATTGGGCTACATTGCGTACAGACTTGCTTGTACAACGAAGGTACCTTGCCTTTTTTAAAGTTTCCCTGAATGGACGATAAACTTACTGTCCGTCAGTCTGTATAATCGCGTATTTCATAAGAACTGCTAGACATATGTTATTAATATTTAATCTATCTCTACATATGTATAATAAAATTGTAACTAAGCCGAATCTTTACATTAAATATTTTTTGGAAAATCTTATTGAAATAAACATTATTATCGATACAGAGGCCGAATCTATAGATTTTAGAATTTTTGTCTGTCTATCGTTACCGCATCACAGAAAAACCACTGGAGGGATTTTGATGAAATTTGGTATGGCGATAGCCGGTTATCCGGGTCAACATATAGAATATTTTTTATCGCGGGAAAAAGTCTCATTTCTGAGAAAAAAATACAAAAACTGCAATGTAAGAGTATACTAATATGTAAAACCTAAGAATTTGGTTTTTGGTCATCTGAACGCGGGCAGAGCCGCTGGCAATGCTAGTTTAAAAATAAGTAGTTTTAGTACTTACAATCTTCACAATTTTAAATATATTATTTCACCTTTAGAACGGATTTTTCTTGAAATTTAAGTTTAAGTCGTTATTTAAATAAAAAGTGATATCATATCCTTTTAATTTATCAATTAGCGTACCCCAGCTAATCAATGTACGTAACTGTAAAGCTAGCTTTGTTTTGGTAACCCAATAGGCTGCCGGGCGTCGACAGAAGCCAGTCCGTGCCGGCGTCACCCGAGCCCCGATAGCGGAAGAATGTAGCATGTAGGCTCATGTTTCTTTGATTTGTATATTGTATTTTACTTACGATATTATTATTTTTTTATAATAGACAGTGATATTGTAGGTTTTCTTTTTTATAAAGGTAAGCTAATAAGTACTATATGCCCTGAATGTTAAATTCAATTTTCTTGAGCTTCAAAGCCAACCCTGAATGTTATAATGGCACAGTGAGTCGTATCTGACTTAGACGGAGGTCGTGGATTCTATTCTTTTAAAGTACAGTAGGGTGTACGTTTCATATAAACATGTATTTACTGTAAAATATACCTAAAGACGTTTGCTTCGGCGTGGTGAAGATGAAAAGTGGTGTATAGTAATAATAATAATAGTTTAGCCTTTTTTATTTCCTTAATAAAGTGACATAAATAGTATGTTTATACAGCATGCATTTAATATATAACAATTTTATAAAAAAAAACAAAAAATAAAATCTCTTTAAATAGCCTACACAATAAAAAATCTTAACTAAATTTAATTTAATTTACTTCTATTTTAACAATTATATATTTACCTTTCTTTCTTTTTTTTTTTTTTATTTTATTTATTAAGGACCTCCCATAGAGTAAAGGCCTCCTCCATTTTCCTCCACATAATTCTATCATTGGCTTTGTCTAATCACTCTTTTCCTGCTGCTCTCAAAATTTCATCGAGCCATCGCTCCGAAACGTCACAGTTTCCAACTGTTACGAAAAGTGGTGTATAGTACCTACTACTAACATTTAGTACGCATTGCTAGACAATAGTGGTAAGCAATAAGTGAAGAGGAAAATCTTTGTTCTATTTGTTTACCCTGTAAAGATATATTCTTGTGGTCAAAAGTCATTACAATATGGAGGTTAGGTGGTAAATACAAATTTGCTAGAAGATATTATTTATTTATACAGTGTCTACATAATGGCTGGCGTCAAATTTCTCAGAGATTATTGCAGCGGATTAGGATTGATACATATAGTTATACGTTTAGATTTACGTATGTATGTATGTAGAGTCGGTTTCGATATGGATTGATTTTCATTTTATTTTCATCTAGATTATTCTAACTTCATATAACTATGAAATAACAGAATAAAAATTTCTTTAATCAATGAATAAATTAATTATTATATAACACGTACATTAATAATTCTATTTTGATTAGTGACCTTCATATGTCCAAATACTCGTAATACTTAGTTATGGCATAAGATTTTTTTTAGAAAAAAGAATATTAAAAATTACAAAACTTAGGTATTATAAAATAATAAACTAAATAAGAGATGGTTAAGAGTAGGTTGACTTTCGGATATAAAGTTTAGTAAAAATGTATCAAATATTGGCGAGTGACGCTTTAGTACCAGAGATTTAGTACGATTATTTTCGACATTATTACTTTATAAGTTTATCCTCTAATATTTGTTTGATGTGTTGTACTTGTAAGTGTGCGCATTTTAAATGTAATCTATACTAATATTATAAAGAGGTAAAATTTGTGGGTTTGAGACGTTGTAGGGGGTGATATCTGGATCTACTGAACCGATTTAGATGAAATTTGGTAAGAAGATAGTTTGAGACGCAGAGAAGGACATAGGATACTTTTTATCCCGGAAATCATACCTTAAGTGGGTGAAAATGGGGATAAAAGTTTGTATGCGGAATGATGATCTTATAATATGTTCGACCTCCATATTAATTGTTGGTTAATCTTATATATTAATTCATCTATCGATTATTACTAAATGTACCTAAGATCCTTATTTAAAGTGTTTAAGCCTATATTTAAGCCTATACATCTATTATTAGATACTAAAAAATAATTATTCATCCTCTTTTGTAATTATTCGTCTATAGGTAGGTACCTGCATAGTGCATTGATCTTCTCAATAAATGTACACAGATTAAATAAATATGCGATAATAAGGCACCAGTAAGTTCACTTACTTTAGCTATTTAGGTTTTTAACAACTTGAATTTGACTTTTTTGAATGTCTAGACCACTTGCAATATTTTTTTTAATTTAATTCAAGGTTTTGACACAATATTCCATCGACCCACTCGTGATTTCTGTTTTTTTTTATAGCAATGAGGAAAATCTTTAATACATAACGCGTCTACTGGAGCTAATGCCACTCATTTGAGGTGGGTGGATATAAGAATGTAAGAAATTAATTATGTTCTAATTTCTTAAATTTAAAAAGCTCATTAGAAAAATGTTGTAACTTTGATTTGGCTAAATTGATATCTTTGAAGCTCTGTTCCAATTTTAAATAAAACGAGAGTAAAAATAAACCGAATTTAATAAATTTGCACATCATTTTTTATGATTAGTCCTCGCATAGAATTTAAATAAAATATAATATATATTCAGCCCAACGTCCCACTGCTGGGCACGGGCTTCCTTTCAGTACGAGGGGAATCAGGCCATAGTCCACCACGCTGGCCAAGTGCGGGTTGGCGGACTTCACATGTCCTAGAACCTCAAACTTTTATAGAAACTACCAATTTTTTTTTATTATTAAGTTAATGACTTACGAATATCATAAGACCAGACCCGTGGGCGTATTCTAGCACTTTTATAAAGTAAAATCATAATATCTGTATTGTTATTCTTTATTAGTAAAATTAATCCAATTTTTTAAAAAGACAATAATTCTGTATAAGAACTGTAGCTACTATGACGATGGTCACGACTTCCCTTTCTTCTTGAGACAGTACAAGTTTGAATATATCAATGTCTTTCTTTATCTTAGAAGTAGGTATAAATATAGTGATTTTGCTAAGTATATATTTTGCTAAAAAGTGAAAAGTGCAATTACATTGCAAGTGTTTAAGAATAACATAAATGATTTTCTTCTATTTCCGTGCCACCTATATGTATTCGGGACTTATATCAGGATTTTTCTTTGGGCAGTTGGCAAAGTGTAATATTATGACTTTCTCTGCTTTCTCTAGTACATATTGATGGCTGATATTTAGACTTGACCAGGCCGTAATGTAATTAAAGCATTTGTGCTGTACAAAAATCGAACTTGAGAGGCTTAAACTCTTTTAAATTTCAAGTAGTTAGTAGATTTAGTATAGAAAAAATAAACATTTATGATTTGAATTTACACTGGGCGGCTTTGTCTATTTTACTGGTCGGGCAAAGATATTTTAGTGCGATTTTTTTTATATTAATAATAATTTATAATCTTTGGTTAAGCTTCATATATATAATAGTAGCGTATACAGCACCTAGTGTGTATTTGTAACAAAAATAAAGGCGGTGCGATTTTTCTTTGGATGTCAATCATTATGAATTGTGTGAAATAGGTATAGAATTAAGGGGCTTAAAACACTATGACGTAGGTACCGATTTTTTGAAAGGTTAGTAATCGATCATCAAAGTTAATAAACTACATATCTATATAGAGTCATATTAAAAAAAAGTACATGAACGATGGTAGGTACTCAACTCGATGTAGAGAAAAACTCAGTAGTATTAAATATTTTTAGGTAGGTACATTTGACAGGTAACATAAAATACTTATTAGTTCTAAAAGATTTTGGGTCATTGTTTCTTTACTGTGTATTATTAAAGGACTTTTTCGTTAGGTAGAGCTATAAATATACAAGGTTTTATAGCTGATTGCCATTAGCTATAAAAACAAAGTAATATAATTTAAAAAAGTAATATAGCCGAGAGGCAATATAAAATGTATACCTACAGCAAGGCGACATAATATTACAATGTAAAGCCGCCATCATTAAAATAAAAAAACATCGAAATCTTTACTCGACTCGGTTAAAGTTCTCTCAAAATTAGCTGTTTAGACGCCACGGTAAATTGTGCCTGTACATAGCTATACCAAAGCAAACTTTACTTGTAGCGTCGTAGATATTCCTCGAAAATGTATTTTTATTTTAACGATACCATTATTTTTGACTAACTCACTTTAATTTACCAAGCAAAAATAAGCTTTATTGCATTGTAACAAAACTTTAAATTGCTTCTAGTGTGTTGTGACTTAAAGCTTTTTTCATTTAAGTTGTAGAGACTCGTTGTACGCAGTAATACTCGCAGTTGTATATAGTGATGTATTGTTGTCTCGCTCACTCTTAAGGTTATTAGGAATGGTGTTGTCTCGTTCGGGTGCGGAGTTAAGCCGCTTATCTTCAGCCCGCACGCCGCGCCCCGTCGCCGGCTGCTGCGCGTAGTTTGGTCCATTCCACATTTTTGTTGAAAGGAAATATTTATTTTATTATTTTTTGAATATTTGTAAAAAACTAATTATTATTATTATTTGCATTGATTACAATAATATAAAGTTATAAATTATAATACTAGAAGAATCTATACATATTATATTAAAAGTGTAACTGATCGCTGTCTGTACATAAAAAATATTTAAGAAAAACCATTGTTGGGGATCTAACGCAATAGAACCCAAAACAACAATTTTTAGAATTTCTATCTGTGTGTCTGTACGTTTGTGCGCGCTTATTTCAGAAACGGCTTAACCGATTTGGGTGTGGTTTTCACTAATGTAGCTTCACTTAACATTTAGCATTTGTTATATTTCAATCGGTTCATAAATAAAAAAAATGTTCATTTAAAGCATCTCCTAGGAGCGAATCCGAGACAAGCGGGGTTGAGTCGCTAGTAGTTAATAATTCTTTGCAAGGTTTTCTAAAGAGGTATATCTATACATTGAATTAAAATCAAAATTCTCTGTTAAATGTCATGTAAAATATGTAACATTAGTTACAAATCCATTTTACAATGATTAAACATAAGTATAACTAATTAATATAAATATCTACATATATACCTTTACAAGTTTACGACGTTTATTTCGAAACATGAAAATTACCGAAAAACATTTAAAACAATCCTTTTTTATAACATAACATAATATCTCTTACAGTGATATTATTTATTAATTATATCGATACAATATTCAAAGCAAAATAATTTTTATAACGTAGCTACCCAAATAGTTCATTATAGTTTTAACTGTACAATGCTGTTAATGAGTCTTCATTTATAATCCCATTCCATATACTTACGTGTAGTTAAATTCATTCTATTTCACAAATTTTCCACTATTAAATTCAATTACGCTGTGGAATTCCGCTGTGGAATGGACCAGCAATATATATCAGAGTACAGCACTCTCACTGTCCCCTATATACTGCGTGTAGCCTCCATCATACCTATAGACGTACCTTTACGCATATTTCTTGCTTCGAATCAAAATGGAGGACTTTTCTGAGACCCATTTACCATAGATATGGAATCATAAGTTAACTCGATATGATATTTTGCTAAACCTATAATAAAAAGCATTGGAAACGCTAGTGCATTGACACTGAATAAATATAACCTAAAACTTTCTATATTTTTATATCTTCTTAGTCTAGTATTTCTTTAAGCACTTTTTCGTCTTGTTATTTTGTGTTGTATATCTAAGAAACATTAACATCGTAATCGTTAGTTTGCTAATTTCGATTTTCTTATAGGAGCAAAGAGATACAATATGTAGAGCTATTATAGTTTCAACTTTCAGCATATTTATGTATTCACGTATTTTTTGTTAAAAAATCGAATCCAGATATACTGTTAAATGCTAAAACTAGAATATATATAGTTATAAAGTAAAATTGATCAAAAATATTATATTAATCCCACAAATTTTATATTTAGAGACCCCATAGATACTTTTGTATTTACAGGGACACCTAAAAAAGTCAATTTATTTTAGATATTTTTTATATATTTTTTATTTTTTTTAATATATTTATGTATGTATGGGTAAGTTTATGTAAAATGATTATAATATTTTTTTAAGACGTTCAATTACATTTAAAATAAAATCTGGCTTTACATAGGATTAATGTCATACAAATACATAACAATATTTTTCTTTTCAAACTAATAAATTGAAATTGGTTATTTAAAAAATACAATATTTCTATAAAATTGGTATTATAAGTTAAAAAGACTTTTCGGTTCTACGAAATATTCGTTCAATACATAATTTTAACGAGAATATTAGTAGTAATAAAGTACACAAAATTAATATCTATATAATACATACAAATATAGACAAAGAATCAGACACAGATTGAAATATCTTGAAAATTAACAAAATCATTTCATAAGGCCCCGAAGTTAGTTTTTCCCAAAGTTAACTACTGTTAATTATAATTGAAGAAGTTTGTACCTACTCGTGTTTGTTTATCCTTCACACTGAAATGGCTGGATTAGGATGAAATTTAGTAGGTACACATATAGGCTGAGACCTGGAGTCTACATACTGTAGTCTGTCAGTAATAAAATTTGCAAAAATGTGACACTGCCTGATACAATATTATAAACACAAAGGCATCTAGGGATGCGCTAGAGCAAAGCGCGAAGTCGCTCGTATAACATAACAATCACCCCAAAAATGATGATGTATCTATAATAATAATGAGTTATTGTCCCAAAAAATATTTTTCTATACATTGAACTATAGGCCCGAGAAAGACCTACTTACCAGAAATCGAACTACCAACAAACACCTTTCGCATTTATAATATTAGAAAGAATAGCAGCTTCTTTACAATTAGTTGACTCGGAGAATCAAGCTCAAAATCTTCCGGTCCAACGTTAAGACCGTACTGTTATACGGGTGTGAGGCGTGGAAGGTCACTAAGAACATCTCGCAGCAACTCCAAGTCTTCGTGAACCGATGCCTTCGCAAAATTCTTGGTATTTACTGGCCCGTCAAAATTTCCAACGAGCAACTTTGGGAACACTGCAATGAAGTCCCGATCACTCAGCAGATCAAACGCCGTAAATGGCGCTGGATAGGTCACAATCTCCGAAGGGATCCAAACCATATACTGAGGCAAGCCCTAGACTGGAATCCCCAAGGAAAACGCATACGCGGCCGTCCTAAACAGACCTGGCGGCGGACAGTCATTGGCGAAGCGAAGGCCATCGGGAAAACCTGGAGCGAAATGAAACGCGTAGCTCAAGAGCGAACGGGGTGGCGATGCACTGTGGACGCCCTCTGCCTCACCTAGGGGACATAGGAACATAAGTCAAGTAAGTCATACAATTAGTATAAATATAAATAATTAATATAAAATGACATGAAAAAGACCAAAACGTGTGTTATCTGTGAATATACATCTTGAAACTAACCCAAAATGGCAGTGGTATTTTAGTCCATCTAGATTTAAATTGCGATTTTACTGTATAACTAAAATTTCCTGAAGCATACAACGAGAATGTTAAAAACCTAACTTTACTTTATATTTTAAAAGTATAGATTCATCATATTTTAAATTAAAAAAGGGCAAACCGCAAGTGGCAATAAGCAAGTGCAAAGAGGTATCATGGCATTTAATAAACCCGCCAGCAGGCGCCACTTCAACCAACTAATTCAAACAAATGTTACGCCATTATTAAACTACAAGTTTCGCGCCGCTTTTGTTTATGGTCTTTTTAACTTTTTATTGAATTGCGGCAAAGGGCGGTATTTTATCTCTTGTTTTGACATTAGTACTGAAATTTATTAATATGACTATAGTATAAGCATAAATTACTATTAGTTTTGTTCACTAGAAAGATATTTTCAGTTTTAAGGTAAGATACGTATCCCGTGACGGTGTGTTTACGAATTCTATGAAGGTAAAAAACATTAAAAGTATATACATTTGCCGTAACATGTTTTCAAAGAATCTCTTAAATTTTAAATGCAATGAGTATATTTGATACTCAAATATCAAATAGCACTCACCGCAATCGAGAACTCATAACCGTCAGATGTATTAGGAAAATGAATAATAAATCCGTACCACAGACAATGGGGGCATTAGGCACCATAGACAAGAGTGAATTTACAAGGGGAGTAACAATCCCGTGCGTCAACTCTATTATTTATGGATTCTTTAACATGTAAGGACCGTCGAGTGAAGGGGAACACAAATATATCGGACATTTGGCTGAAGGAAGTGTTTCTTATGCCTTGGTGAGCATAGAGAGGGGTTTAACATTTTTTTTTATTAAGACCCAAGGGTACAGGTTCATGGTTAATACTTTTTCAATTATATTTTGATATTGATCAATCGGTCATGTAAGGTGTAGGTATTTATTTTTGTAAAATCACAGATTAATTTTGTTTGGCCATTAAAAAAAATATTGCTCAAGATTTTGTTGATAATTCGAACATCGAAAATTCTGAAATATTTAAATTTTAATGTTTATTCTAATTACGAAATAAGAAAACTTAGAACTTTTCTTAACTTTATACATAATAATATTTATGCGTGTATTTTGTACCAATTATATTTTTAAAAAATCACGTATAGGTAATTTACAATTTTACCGAAATTTAGTAAACTTAATAAATTAATGTGTAAAATTAACCTTTTTCTCATGAAACAAATAAATGAGATGATGATATCAGAGACAATCAAACAAATAGATCAAAGCGTATAATTTCATGCGGCAGTAACGCAATAAGTTTCGGGCATGGCGGCAAATCGAATCGCTTTGCCTTCACGGTAAAATGTAAATTCAATTTCTTATATTTACCCCAATCACTTTGAGAAAGTTCTATAATTTTGAAAAAAAAGATATCGCTACGTAGACTATTAAGCAGTCCGCGGTTTCACTTGATTTTATATAGTTTAAATAATATTTGGAAATATAGGTGTCTACATACATTTAGTTTAATTAAAAACACCTAAGTAATTTCGTAATTTATTTTGAAAAGATGGAATCGCTAGTCGTTGTTAAAAGCCATTTTACAACCTTAAAGTTAAGAACAAAGATGCGAATAAAATTAATAAAATTTTTAAAAAACTAAATAAACAAAATAATATAAAAATTGGATTCGATTTTTTCCAACCTATTAAGTGAAGAAACATACCTCAGCGTAAGAGACAATTAAATGGGATAAATAAAAAATTATGTTGATAATCTTGTTTTAAAGGATTTTCATAAGCCGTTGTTAATATCTGTAAGCTAACGCAATGCGAAATACGGAAGTTTTGAGACATTTAAGTAGTCTTTGCGACTGGATTCAATAACAGTAAGAATGTAATAGAAAATTTAAGTATAAATGTAGGTAGGTTTGTTATGTATATTAAATTTGGTACCTATAATATTAATGATTTTTAAATAAATCTACCTATATATAATAAAAATAAAGTGATTTCGGTGTAAGACCTACATGGT